ATGTGCTCTAGCAGCCGCACTAGTCGCACCGGCCCTGCCACTCTATCAGTGATTCGACCAGGAATTTCCACTTGATCTGCGACGAGGGAACTGAGGACGTGGAATTGGAAAATTGTATCTGCTTTCTTGTCACAAAACAGGCTGGAGAAGGGGCGAAATCGCCAAATTGACGGCAAACTTTGGGATCTCATAAATGGACCCTCGTGCCGGCATTGTTCATGATGTGATGATAAGCAGTCCCACAGCTTACTGCAAAATTTGAAGGACATGGTGATTCGGCCAAAGTGAGCACTACGACCCTTGGATGACACAGGGTGTTGGGACCATCAGCGGCCGATGCAGCTGGAGGTAGAGACCTTTCCCAAACTCCGCTCTTACCATTTCCCACAGAGATCCACGCTGTCGACTCACCAACATAGCTTCTTGTCCTGGAGACGAAAATCCTGATTGTTTTGGGCTCGGTAACGCTTTTGGAAAACGGGAGTGAATGCTAGGGTGTTCCCAGAATAGGCAAATGCTCGAACATGTAGAGGAGGCGACAGGCTGATATTGGGCCGAATTAGCTGGCCAGCCCACGGATCTATAGGCAGAGCAGCTCTTTTGTTGACATGAGATAACAATACTGGAAAATTTTGCATGCCTGGTTAGCGTTAGCAGAATGGCTCGGTCGTAAGTGGAGAAGACTGGCCGGGAATCAATGAGCACGTACTTATTCGATCAGCTTTTTGGTTGTCATTCCGAGTCTCAGCTGCTCTGCTCCAACACAATCATGCTGCTATTCATGCTCTTCCTCATCAACTGCCTGTCTGTACATCTGTATTCTTCTCATGGAAGAAGCCCTTAGCGGCCCCCTTACTTGTCACCCTGACCTACTGAGCAGGCCTCACAGAAGCAATGCATCGTCCTCGTCCAACCATCGACTTCTTTGTTCCTTCGTATCCTTGTCCGACTCGTTTCGCACGCAGACCAATTCTTGGAGCACCAGAAGAACCAGTAAGGAGCTCGTACTACTGCAAAGCGGCATACTTTCCTTCGTTTCCCTCGCGGATCATCTCCTTCCGCTTGCGACATCGTACAGTAGGCAGAGATCCTAGCACAACCCGAGCTCGCTCTTGTTCAATCTGACCAACTTCAGGCTAAACTCCCAGATTTCATTCTGCTTATCCTCGTCCTTCGCCCACGCAGTAGGTTCCTCATGCTTTGAGCCATTCAAGTACGCGCCTTTCAAACACTCGCCTTGGCTATCGAGATCTAGTGCAGCGCTCATGATGTCCGACGCGGACTTGTTCACGGTGCGGAAAGTTCCATTTGGCCACACATATTGTGCAACCTTGGAATACGCCATGAGTGCCGGTCCGATGAGCTTTTCTATAATTATACTATTATTGCTGTGCTTCCTGATGAGATTTGGGTGAACCATCACGCCGGGGTCGACACCAACGACACATAGTTCATTCAAACTGGGCGTCGAGTTAAGGTGCTTTTGCAGCTTTTGCCTAGATTCCAGATGCATTAGCGGGGCCTGTGTTCATCGAAAACCGGACCATAAGAAGTCTACTCACATGAACATGATCTGACACAACTTCGACCTGCCGTACCGTCTCATACCGTCACTCGCCTCACTACCGGCTGAAGGCAGCTGTCGCGCAAAGGCAAGATCCTCAGGATCCCACAGCAGCTCGTTCGAGCTGACTTTGCCCTTCGCAGGGTTAGACGCAATGCTCGAGACGTATACTATGCGTCCGGCCAGTTTGTCCATGCTCTCCAGCAATAGGAGCGCAAGCAGCACGTTCGCGAGATAGTTGACCGCAAAATTCATCTCGATCTTTGCTCCATCTTGGTTATCGACGAATTCAGCGTACTTGCGATCAGGTCCATTGGGAATATATGCCGCGTTCAGCACAAGCGCGCGTATAGGTGGAAGCTCGCCGGCTGAAACTCGCGAATTGATATGGGTACAGAAATTCCGGATCGAGGTGGACTTGCTGAGATCGAGACTGACGATGCAGGCTCGATGCTTGCCGGAATTGGATTGAATTAGGTCATGGAGTGGCTTTGCATTCGGAGCATCCTCATCGCGGACTGTAAATACAGCATGATACTGCTCCGGACGCTGGAGGACCATCTCTGAAAGGGCGAGCCCAAGGCCTCCTGCAGCTCCGGTAATGATTATCGTGCCAGACATGTTATTTCTGTAACCCCGTGCCTCCAATTTTGCAGTCTCATGGATGCTCCCGAAATGAATGCGTGGGGGATCGCACGTAAATGTAACCTGAGGGTAGGCCTAAGTGCTGGGAGGCGCTTAAATATAGGAGTCCTGTATACCTAGACATTTTCACAATTCGGTATTCGGCACCTACTGAATCCGTAGGTGACAAGGGCTTAGGCGCTGCTCACACCGTCACACTAACTTGATCTAATTGGTTTCTGCTTCGTTGTACTTTTTAGCTCGGGACATTCGAGATGTTGCACAGGGCTAGCCCTGTCGTTGCTCAGCGATATTGCTACGTGCACACATTTGCACTAAGCAGAGAATGCTGTAGAGTCCCTGATACCTAAGCAAATGCCAACTAATCCGATCAATCCGATGAATCTGGCTCCCAGATCTGCAAGGCTACAGAGTCGACGTAGGCCCAGTGCCCTACCAGCACGATCAGGCTACTGGTGAATAAAGTGTGCGAGGTATCAACGTCCCACTCAAGGCCATTGAAGTCTGGGATCATGGCAGTAGATTATTCAAGGTTGCCACGTTCTTTGTACCCAAGTCTGAACATGACTAGAATGGTTGACTCAATCAGCCAGTATGTTCTGAGCTTCAGATGTTGGTAGAGGCGTTTCTTGTTCCGCTTCTTGCGCGAGACGGTAAGGAGCCTCTTGTCCTCATCTCGGATTCCTGGCGAGAGCTGATCTAGCACGACCCACTCATCGATGAGCAGATGCAACTGCCCAGGATCTGCCGCAGCAAAGTGCTCTACACAATCTTGCGCCAGTTAACGTCCCGCGAAAAATGCATCACAGAATAAAAGAAAAGGAGACGAGTACCTGTAATCCGCCCTCACTGGTCCTTTTCTGCGGTGCCAGCATATGTATCCTTGACCACTTGCGAAGTCGATTACTTATATGGTGTCGAATCGACGCCAGCAATGCGGCCGCCATGCTCGATAGTCCAAGGCCGATCTGAAAATATGCATTCGCCAGGAAGTTGCGTGAATTGGGATTTGGGAGCTGCAAAATAGTTCCCGAGAGCGCTGCGTACTTGTATAGACTATACATGTCGTAGAATGTCTACGACAAACCTCGAACTGCGTCGGATATATTATTCGAAGTATTCTAGAAAGTAAAATGAATGCTTAACAAGTTATAATAGAGCTGTCTCCTTCCAGACGCTCTTCCGATGACGTGAAATTCCGGAAGCGGATCATCTTTGGTGCGGCGCGACGTTCTGTGCTCCGCAGAAGCGTCGCGTCACCACATTGTTCCTTCAAACAACGGCTTCGGAACGTGCAGTCTGAAATGGAGACAGTAATAGAGCACAGTTTCGCAACGACATGCCCGATTCACAGTGGCGGTCGATCAATGGCGTCAAGCTCCGGGAAGCTGCCCCACTAACTTTACGCCCTATGGCGACTTCTTTCCAATGGTTACGGGGAGAACTACACGATACAAGTACATATTTAGCACGTCCACTAGACGCATACATATACACCAAAATTCCGCAAGTCACAAGAGCTACAAAGTCCAAGACAAGATGGCTCGTATGTGCCAAATCCTGACCTGAAACCCATCACCACTCACTAACAAAGCAACAGACACAACCTTCCCCGCCGACCTCCCAATCCCCATCGACGACGGAGCAACCTCCCACCTCACCCCAGGCACTCCCTTCCCAACCACCATCTCCCTTCCCTCCACAGCTTCACCTCCAACATCCAAAGTCTCCCCAGGCTCCCTGTCCGGCCTCACAATCCTCTTCTTCTACCCCCGCACCGCAGCACCCAACGAAACCGTCCCAGATTCCTGGAACTCCATCCCGGGTGCAAGAGGCTGCACACCCCAAGCCTGTTCTTTCCGCGACCTCTCCACCGAACTCCTCAAACTTGGCGTGAGCCAGATTTTCGGTTGCAGTACGCAGTCAACAGAATATCAACTCGAACTCAAGCAACGCACGAATTTACCGTATCAGTTGTTAAGTGATGACAAATTGGAGTGTGTGAAGGAATTGAAATTGCCGACTATGGAATGGGAGGGGAAGACGTTGATCAAGAGGATGGCGATGGTTGTGGAGGATGGGAGGATTTTGAAGGTGTTTTATCCTGTTTTCCCGCCGGATAGGAGTGCGGGGGAGGTTGTGGAGTGGTTGAGGAGTGAGTATAAGGGGAGAAAGAAGTTGGCTAGTCAAGAGGAGGAGGGGATGTTACGGAATTTGCAGAAGAGGGGGTGAAAATGAGTGAATGCAAGTCTGATAAAGCAGATGTGGCGAATCTTGATCTCGTATTGTTAAGCAGCAATCTACTCTTGTATTTTCAGTAAGCAACAGCAAAGAAGAAGAAAAGCCAACGATCTAATTCAGCCGATTCCTCACGTCCTCCCCATTTAACCACAACCCCAAATTCTCCACCTGCTCCTCATACCACCTATTCATCGTCCCCTCATTCACATACGCCATATGCGGGCTCAGCAAAACCTGACTCTGACTCCACTCCCCCACTCTCCTCCAAACACTCTCTTTCCTTAACGGCTCCTCCCAAAATACATCACTCGCAAAACCCGCAATTCCACCTTTTTTCAAACACTCAATCAACGCATCCTCATCAACCAACCCTCCACGACTCGTATTCAACAACACCGCACTCTTCTTCATCCACTCCAATTCCTCTTTTCCAACAATCCCCCGACTCCTCTCCGAAAGAACCATATGCAAACTCACAACATCCGCCCTCTTACAAAGAATCTTCTTACTCCCCACAACCTCAAACGTCCCTTTGGGAAGCCCAACGCTTTGGGCAGCCTCATCAGCCTTCTCCTCTGTCAAATTCTGACTCCAAGCAATCACTTTCATCCCAAAACTCTGCACAGCAATTTTCCCAAACTGTGTCCCCAACTTCCCCAGCCCGATCAAACCCAGCGTTTTTCCAGCTAAGGAAATAATCGTTCCAGATTGCCACTCTTCTCCTCCCTCTTTCTGAAGCAAATTATGATGTTCAGTGATTTTCGAGCAGAGAGATAAAAGTAATGCCCAAGAATGCTGAATTACACTACTCGGTCCTTCGGCTGGAGGCGGAGGTTCATAATTCTTATCCTCGTAGTGCGAGTCCGGTAATCTGTCGCCTTTGGTTCCAGTTACGATGATTTTGTGGTCTGTGGCAGAAGGGAGAGAAATACTGTTGTTGCGCATGCCGGTTGTGAGGAGGAGTTTGAGGTTTGGGAGGGAGGAGAGAAGTTCCGGGGGAAAAGCTGTGCGTTCGCGCATGGAGGAGATGATTTCTGTTTATCATTGGTGTTAGGAAAGGTAGTGTTGAGGATTTGTTACAACGCGAGTTCGAGGGTACGTGCTTACCATAGGGCTGAAGACGTTGAATGAGAGCTCGGAGATCATCTTCTTTGGCGGCGTTGAGGGTTTTGTCGTAGTAGGAGACTTGTATGTTTGGGATGTTGTCGAAGTGCTTGCGAGCTATGCCGGCGTAGTCGTCCAACACGGCGACTTTCTTGATAGTGTTCTGTTTCTCTGACATGGTGGGACGATGACGGGCTTCTGGTGATGATGATGGTTATCTGTCAACGACTGTGTTCAGAAAAGCTTCATTGGTTGATGATGATTGCTATATCCTACAATGATCCCGTTTTATAAGCCAACGATCTGACACAGCATTGGCGAAGAACCCCATCCAAATGGCACAATCATCAAGCTTGAGGCAATGCGGTAGTTGGTAGCGGGGCCCCGTCCGGCATCGGAACCCGGGATGTTTGCCCATACTCCACAACCACAGCCACAGCACATAAATATAGTCCTCGTTTACAACATGCTTCTCCTTCGCATTGAATCAATCATCTTCGTGTTCCCTGGCGCTGGCCTCTCGCATTTCCCGTTTCACTTGCTCCAACCGCCGATGCATTTTCCACAATCGTTCCTTGTCCTTGGCCGGAATCACATCTCCACGTTTCTCAATCGCCTCCAACTCATCGTACAGTTTCGCGTACGCGGGGTATAACTCCTCTCTGAACTTCTCGGCAAGATTCACGCCTTGTGTGAAGCTCATCCGAATGCTGTTGTCTCTTCCCCGACCGGGAGAGTATGATCCGTGATCGTGGTCCGAATTGCTGCTTCCCGCACTGATGGAGTTCTGAGAATGCGAAGAACTGGAATCGGTTTTCCGATGCTTGATCCGGTTCCCATCCTGAGGTGAGTCCACTGCCTTGCGCTTGGTTGCTGTATCGGTCTTCCGCTTTGCGCCATTCGTCAATGCAGATGATTCTCTCGGCGTACCCGCACCATTGGGAAGCGATTTGCGTGACTTCTCGTTGCCTACAGGCCCACCGTTCATCCTGAGGCTACTGCTGCTGGATGAGTCCGTACTGTTGCTCGTGACAGTGTCGTTTCGCTTTCGAATCCCATTGAGATTGGATATGCCAAGTCCTTTGGGTGTCTCGGCGCCGGGTCTGGGTCGTTGCACGCCTAGAGCTGTACGATCCGAGACATCAGAAGCCACGCGCGGACGTGCGGCACCTAGAGGCGATGGGGCAGTAGGGCGGTGATGAGGCTTGTTGGGACTGAGTTGGGTTTTCTGCGAGGCGGGAGCATGTAATCCATTCGGCGTGCTCTTGCCCAAACTCGAGCCCTTCGCCTTTGCAGTCGCGGTCGTGGTCGGCGTTGCTCGTGCAGACGCAGTCCCGACCTTCGATTTGGCCGCAGCTGCCGGTTTCGCGGGATTGCGTTTGTCAGGAGCATCGCTGCTGCTTGCCGATGCGGAAGCCACAGGTTTTGGTTTCGCCTTGGCGGCAGCGTTTGTCGGTTGCTCTCGTTTGGCAGGCGCTGGTCTCGGCTGGCTGCTGCTGGGTTCGTCCTCGCTCGAGCTTTGTACCAGTTCGGCAGACTTCACTTTGGGATTTGCCTTTGCTGCTGTTATGCGTGGCTTCTTGGCCGGCTTCCCTTCACGATCGCTGTCCACTTTCGCCGCTTCTCGCTCCTTTCTCTTCTTCTCCTTGGCCTCCTCGAGCGCTCGCTGTTTCGGGTTCTTGGCCAACTTCTTCATCAGATCACTCTTCACAGCGCCAACCTTGGGAGTTCCTGCAGCACTTCCCACCTGCTTGTCCTCGAGATCGCCACCAGCGGCACCGCTGTGCGGCAGTGGACTTGCTCCCATGTTCGGCGTTGGACCACCGATATGCAACTTGGACAAGTACTCCCCCTTGTTCCTCCTCTCCTCCGGCAGTAGCTTCTGCCACAGTTCCTCTTCTTTTCCAATTCTCTGTCTATCATATGCTCTTACTGCGTTATCAATAGCGGCTTGTCGCTCTTCCTTCGTGCTGTATGCGAAATTCCAAACGTCTAACTCTTTAAATGCTCTGTCTGTCAGGCCCATCTTCTTTCCGTCTGCCTTCCCTATCTTGGAGAGGATGTCTTCGAGTTCTGGTTTCGGGATGCGCGTCTTCCGCGCGATCTCATCCACAGTCAGTGGTTCGATCGCAAGCAGATGTATGAGCGGCTTCCGCATCGCCTTGAGGCGCAACGAGGACTCGTTAGATGGCGCCGAGGTGGGCGCAGTTCCAATCCGCGGCGTACCGGACGCGCTGAGGGATGGGCTGGCATGCTGAGAGCCCGACAGACCACGTCGATGGGCATATTTCTGTTCTCGATTGGCCTCGAATCGATTCTTGGGCGTTCCAATGACGGAGTTCGTCACCACCACCGACTTTGCTGCTTTCTCCTGGTGGTAAGACGCAAGACTGTTCTGTAGAGCGGCCAATGCTGCATCGCTGCCCAGACTCTGCTTCCTTTCGGGTTCCTTCAGCTGAGCTCGATGGCCTACGACGCCGGCGAATTTGAGATCGGTGAGGGATGCGGCGGTAGCGGCGAACAATTCGTGCTCGAAGGCTTCGGGGGAGATAGTCAGGTCTATCGTACGCTTTCCGAGTCGTATTTTCTGCAGCCGTTGTCAGCTCCTTGGCCCTTGCATGTCGATCACATGGCATACTGGAGTCGTGCCAGTGACAAACTGCAGGCCACCGGCATTATTCGACGCCTTCTTCACGTCCTCGAGAAGCTCCTCGCTGAGCTTGAACAGCACTGCCGGCGTCGGACGTTGCTTGGTGGACGCGTCTCCATGTTGGATGCCATGCAATGTGACGCCGCTCGGAGGTATTGCGGATACCGACATTGCAGGACAGGGCGGTGGTGGTCTATCGATTACTCGCACAGCAAGAAGGCAGAGCGGTGGTCAAAGGATCCATGTGCTTGCTCGCGGCGTGCAGCACAAACTGGAGTACAATGAGTGAATGGTGCTTGGAGGGAGCATGGCATGACGTTCCGCTGAACTCACCCAACGATTAACGGAGATGTTTGCTGCGAGACATGTCCAACGGTCCCGTGAGCGTTGTCGTAGACAGGCTTCACGGCAGCGAGGGGCGAGAGGAACAGACGGGGCGGACAAAGAGAGGCAGCGGGTGCGTGTGTGGCCTGAGACAACAATGGACTGGCGGAGCGAGAGTGGTAGGTAGACATCGAGGTGCAGCAGCGAAGCGTCGCAGGGCGCTAGTGCACAGCGATCCAGCCAGCGGGCTTCGAGTGGGACACAGGGCGAGAGCGTGCACGCACATTAACCTCCGACTCTATTCCACATTCGCCGCCGACGGAGCTGTGGCTCGAGCCTGTGATCCTGCTCCCGTACGAACCTAATTCCGTTTCACTGATCTTTCATCATTCATCACCTTTGTTCAGTTGTGATGAACTGCCCGACTCGACATCACAAATCGTCGAGATCGTGCCCAGAGGCAGCCTGCAGCCGCATGCCCCGCTGATACTCTCTCGTCCCGAAAGGGAGGTCGATTGCTGGCAGAATACCCACCCTCACCGTGTCGACGAGCCGATGCGTTCCCACGTTGGCCTGGATATCCATGCTCCTTCGGCTCCCAGAGCTGTGGATAACCTATCAATGTCCACCGGGGCTCGCGGCCTTCCCGAGAACGTGCCATGTCTCTCGTACCTGCTCTACCCTTGCATACGCCGCTGACATCCCTTTTTTGGAGATGATACAAATACACTCGCTTGCCGTGTCTACGGTCGTGAGTGCTCAGACATGCAAAAGAGCGTGACAAAGGTGCATTGCGAATGCGGAAGGTGGGAAGACTCTCGTGTGCAGCTCCCAAGACGCCATGCTGTTGCGCCACTGCTCCGACGCATGCCACGAGAGAGGCTTTTGGGTGGACGTCTCAACGCCTTACCGTCTTGGGACTCGTGGCGCAGCTTGGCTGATGATGGTAACGAGATGCCGGACTGCCTGCAGCAGAGCTACATCGACACCAGACTGCTTTCGCCAGTGCAAGCGAGGGTACTGTATGCTAGGGCATGCTGAAGATACCAGCTGCGTAGCGATATACAACGACTCCACTGGACTTGAGTTGTTTGTAAAAGCTGATGTGGTGACACGAGAAGTGTTCTTGGAACAGCGCACGGGCACCAAGCTCGATGAACCGGTAGATGCGTCCGAGTGTGTGCGAGCCGTCCGGGCAAGGCGGAGGTACAAGTAGTTAGTGGGCAGTAGTCGGCCGCCATCCCACTTGTTCGCGCGCAAACTACTGCCTCGTGCTACTGCACCGCACCCTTCTGGAGACAACCCCATGCACCCACTCGAACCGAGGAAAGAAATGGTGGTGGTGGTGTCTTCTGGCCCTGCAAAAGACCCGGAGAATTCAAAGCCCTATTCATTCATTATCGATGACAAAAGTACATCATCTGCTAACCGAGCAGCGCCCCAGCCCAACTGGACGGAAAATGTCGCCGCCCGTTTTTGGGACGTGACCAGATGCGAGCGGATGCATTGCACGCGTTTGGACTGGCCAGGCTCGGTACGCCGCGAGACGGGAAAGACGGTGCACCATTGCTGCGTGACTTGTCCGACATCACGATGTGACAACACGGCATCATCGAACCAGCTTGCACTGCAACTCTCATCTTGCAGGACATTTCGCGTTCTGCCTTCCAAGATTGCCTTGAGCGATCCGCACGTGAGGGCCAGCTCTCCGCCGAGAACTGAGCTCCAGCCTTATCAATGCGGACTCGCCTCTATCATCTACAATGTCAGGGATGTCGTCTGGTTTATCTCTAAGCAGACCTCTGCCTATCTGAACTCGACATCCTGCAGTTACGCATTGTACGATGAACGTATGCTACAGGTAAGTATGGATCGCAATAGGTAGGCTCGCACAATTTCTTCATTTCATCGCTTGCCAAGATGTCCTCTTTCACAGACAAATTCCGCAGCATAGTCCAAGTCAAACGAACGCACGACAATGCAGAAAATGCAGAACAAGACACAGCGACAGCAAAAGCCTACGGAAAATGGTCCAATATCGACCTCATCCCAACTCCACCTCACCAACGCTGCTGGTCACCCTGGTACTACTTCGCCTTTCAATTCAGCATCGCTTTCTCACCCACAACCTATAACATCGGCTCAACACTCTTCTCCATCGGCCTCACCTGGTGGCTCATCATCATCGCCTCCTTCGTCGGAACCTTCCTCTGCTGCATAATCCTCTACCTCAACGCCCGAGGTCCAGTCCTCTACCACATCGGCTTCCCCGTCTACGCTCGAATCTCCGCCGGAATCTACGGCTCCCTATTCTTCATCTTCATCCGCGCCGTCGTTGCGATCTTCTACATGGGCACACAAACATACTACGCTAGCCGCCTCATGGACGTCGCATTACGTTGTGTCTTTGGATACAAATGGACCCAAATCCCCAACCACCTTCCAGTTTCAGCAGGAATCACAACTTCCCAAATGATCGCTTTCTTCCTCACCTGGCTCCTCCAATTCCCCTTCGCTTTCCTCCATCCTAGCGCTTCCGGCCCCCTCTTCGTCATAAAATCTTTCCTCTCTCCTACAGCTTACATCGCAACAATGATCTGGTCTCTCATCGAATTCCGCGGCGTAGACCTCCACTTCAGCTCCAACCCCGCCACTGGCTCTGCTCTCGCCTGGTCTTTCCTCCGCGCAATCAACACCGTCGTCTCCGGCGTCGTACCACCTATGGTCAACATTGCCGATCTCGCCCGCTACGGCAATCATCCTACGAGAGATATCCTCCCTTTAACGATCGGTCTCTTCATATCTAAACCCTTCGTCATCCTCCTCGGACTTTTTACCACAGCCTCCGGAGCCAAAAACTTCGGCATCGCAAACTGGAATCTCTGGGACTACTACTCCCTCATCCTCTCCTCCTATTCCTGGACCCCAACATCCCGCTCCCTCATCTTTTTAGCCTCCATAATCCAATCTTTCGCCACAATCGTCACAAACATTTCCGCAAACGCTATTCCCGTCGGCTCTGATTTGGCAGGTCTTTTTCCAGGATATTTTGACATTCGCCGAGGAATGATTCTTTGTCATTTATTGATTTGGGCTGTGGTACCTTGGTTACTTGTCGATTCTGCGCAGAATTTTTTGACGTTTTTGGGGAGTTATTTGTGTTTTATAAGTCCGGTGGTTGCGATTATGATTGTTGACTACTGGATCGCACGAAAAGGAAACGTGCACGTCCCATCGCTCTACAGGCCAGAAGAGGGGAGTCCGTATTACTATACCAAAGGCTTCAACATTCGCGCCTACATCGCTTGGGCCATCGGCGTCGGCCTCGTCATCTCAGGTATATCTGGCGCCATTTCACCTGGAAGTATAAGTCTTACCGCTGTGAGGATATATAATTGCGGGTTTGTGTTGAGTTTTGCGGCGGCGGGGGTTGTTTATTGGGCGTTTTGTTGGATTTGGCCTGTGGAGATTGTTCCCGTGGGGAGAAGAAGAGGGGAGGAGAGGATGGAAAGGGAGGAGATGGTTCTGACAGAAGGCTTTCTTCTGGATGATGAGGTTTTGCCGGGGTATGTGAGGGAGAAAGTGGTGTTTGGGGAGGAGCCGGTGGGGATGGTGGATGGGAGGGATGAGGGCGGGTTGGACGAGAAGTAGAAAGAGTAGGATGAGACTAGAGTCCAAGGCATAGATCGCTTTATATATACAAGTGGCCGAAATGCACCTTTTTGCACGCCTTCTGTACACTGTGACTGTATCGCATCGAGCCCAATATATGTCCACTCATGTCCAATATACACAACAACAAATGCGAAACGTTTCATCACTGTACAAGCCAATCCGTCCCATGATTCCCCTCCAAACTCTGATAATCCATAAAAGACTGATACTCAGGCATACTGTTTCCATTTCCATTCCCATTCGCATCTCCATTACTACTCCCCACCTCTCCCGATCCAACAGGTCCTCCCATCGGAGCAGGCGGCAATCTGGGCATATTGAAGAAATCAAACACATCCAAATACTCCAACTCATTCGGCGCCGGAGTCTTCATGTTGGGCGTCGTCATGGAAGGATGTTGTTGTTGTTGATTACTGCCGCCGCGGGTGTTTGTCAAAGACTTGCTGTTATTCGCGCCAAAATACGTCTGCCTCGGTTGTCTCGAGATCAAAAAGTCCAAATCATATGCGCAACGACGCATGTCGGCTAAGATTCTGACAGTACTTGGTGTTTCCCTCACACCACTTGCTGGCACAGGCGCGCTTTCGGATTCGCTATATTCGTCCATGACGCGCTGCAGAAGTGTGGCATACCGTTCTGCGACTTTCCAATAGATTCCCAGTTCACGTAGGGTATCGACCAGGGGGTGAATGGCGGGATTGACATGGTGGTCAATGGTGGAGCCATGTACAAGTAGGAGTCGGGCCGCAACCCATAAGCTGAACGCGAAGGGTGGTCCGAGTTTGGTGAGCATTTGATTGGAGCGCACGTAGGTACATAGGGCGCAGATGTCTTCGACTGCGGTGTGGCAGCGTTGGCTGGCGGAGAAGGATGGAGTGAAGATGGGTGATCGGGTCGTGGGATAGGCTGCCGAAGAATGTAATCGGATCACGGTACTGTTTGCGCAGAAAGCTGACGTTAGCGATAATGCAACATGTGCATCTCCGGTGAAAGATGAGTGCATGTGAATGCCATCGGATGTCGTAGGGCTATACGACAGGGACTTCTAGGGCTGGTGACTTACGTATGATAAGTGATGTGCAGCATGATCCAGATGCAGTTCACAATCTTGTTGCCTCCATTAGGGTTAAATAAGCGAGACATGTTGCCGTACTCGCTTGGGAGGCTGTACTTCCACTGATTGAGCTTGCCGTCCAGCTGACGGTACTCCTTCTGCCATTGCTCCACGTCAGATAAGGCGCTTATGTCGACAGGCTTCTTCAAAAAGCGATGGATCTGCGAGAGAATTCCGAGAATCTCGACGTAGTAGCTGAAGCTGCCCAAGTTTTCGGGATGATTCATCTCGCTGAGTGAGTGCTGCTCGCCCTCCATGGTCTGGAACCACCTTGTCTCGACTGGCTGGTTCCGCGCGAACAGGTCATCGCGGCATGGTAGCTTGCGATCGATTTCTTTGTCATCCAATGCGAATTCGAAAGCTGTTGCGATGGTGGCATAGCGGTCTAGCAGGTAGACCATCCAGAATAGTCGTCTCCGGCTTTCGTCTTCGATGAAGGATTTGGGTTCGGGTAGGACCATTGCTCGAAGGGTGTATATGGAGGGGAAGAGAGGCGCCACTGAAGTCGAGCTCGTCTCCACAGCCAATCCCAGCTGCACTACACTTCTGGTGATCAGTGCAAGGAGGTTCCATCCCGGTGGTCCATTCGAACTTCCGACTGTGTCCAAAGCAAGTATGACCAAAGCCTGAAGCGCCTTCACAGAGCTGTTCTCTAGTCCGTATAGGAGGACCTTCTGCTTGGATATGGTATGATACCGTTCTCGAGCCGAATCGCTCAGTCGCGGATCTGTAGAGAAGCGCAGCGTGGTCGCCACAATCGCATGAAGCAGTATGCGATCCGCTTCTTCAAGCGTATGCGAGCCGAACAACGAATCGAGGGTACTCCTTCGATGTAAGATCGGACACCAGGTGTTGATATGCTTGAAGAACAGATCTGCCAGAGCATAAAGGAGATCATAGGGCGGGAAATGCTGGTCTTGAGAAACCGCTTTCAACGCATCTTCTTGACCTGCACCTCCGGTTATGTTCATGCTTGGCGATTCGAGAGGACCGTTGCTGGTGGCGTATGGATCATTCGACGTGGCAGAAGGCAGGTGAAGCGAATGTTGCGAGGGATGGCGTTGGTGTGCCGCGTTATGCTGAGCTGTATCAGCTAATGCTACTCCATGAGATGATTCGAGACCGTGTGCACACCGCATTCATGCCGTCCTGTGATTGCAGCCTGTTGTACTGTATCGCCGCTGCTGTGGGGTACATATCGGGTGTTTGCATGAACAATGCCGTGTTCGATGCATGTTGGGAATGGACACTTGCAGGAGAGGCATGAGTTTGTCCTTGTGGCTGCACTTGTGATTGCACTCCTGGCAGTGCGCTGGCGACTTGTTGAAGTACCTGCTGCTGAGCGGCGAGGACACCTTCGAGCTTGTCTGACATGATGCATCAACAATGAGGCTCTTCCAACAACACCACAATCAATGACCTACCGAGCCGTGCTTCCAGCTCTCTTCCATAGCCAGCTCGCAGACCAGGCTTCTTGCGCTCTTTGTACTCACAGATCTGGCCATTGCGCACACACCAGTCGCAGCTGGGTTGCCCACGACTACATTTCACCTGAGGCTGGAGTCAGTGGACGGCGTTTGAGATGCAAGGATCCGGAACAATTCCATCGATCCCCGTGGGCAGGCTTGGTGCAACACATGCCTTGCGACTCTTGCACATCTCACACGACACGCTCATGGGACGCTTTCGCTTGCGCGATCCGTCGGCTTCCACCACCTCCTCGCCCTCATCGCCACTCCACGCCTCGTCGGCGTCTTTCTGCTCGCCGCCATGGTCGTTGCCGTTACCGGGCGAGCTGTCGATGGTTCCATTGGGTGAACCGACGACACCCTTTTGCGGCGTCGTGGAAGTCGTGTTTGGGCTCATCGTCTCGCTCGGGAGAAATTGCGACGAGGAAAGCGGAAGCAGCTTGACCGAGCGACGCCGGAGCTTTTGAAAGAGGGGCGAGCTGGAGCAAGCTTCCAGCGAATCCACACTCGACAATCCCGCCCTCGGCCTCACCACACGCTGTCAGAGCATTCGGTACATTGTTGTCCCTATGCGGGTGCGCCGTCTATGCTGGCCCGCATGAGATTGCTGGTAGCATGATAGACAAAAGGTGATGTTGACGCGTTGCAGATAATTCTTCTGTTCTGTTCCTATTCTTGATTCTTTGCTGCTCTCTTCTGTTTCTCAGTTCTCCCAGGCAGCTTAACACGTGTGGACAGCTCTACAAAGTCGCGATATACGTGTCGAGAAGAATTGAGACCCGCAGCCATCATGGCGAACAGCAAAAGTGGTGTGGCGCGCTTCCCACGAATCAAAGAGATCAAGACCTTCATCATTTCAGGCGTGGGCTCTGGAGGCGATTATCACAATGTCAAAGGCGGCCATTGGTTGATCGACTCCAAGATTTCAACACCTATGTCAGGATATGAAGAGTACCGAAAGTCGAGAACAAGCTGGGGTATCAATGTTCTTGGGTCATTCTGTGTTGAGATCGAGGCAGACGATGGCACCAAAGGTTTCGCGACTGGATTCGGTGGTCCTCCAGCTTGCTGGCTGGTTGCTGAGCACTTTCGACGATTCCTGATCGGCGCAGGTGAGTTTCCATAATATCCTATTTTGTGAGCTCAAGACTGATATCTTCTAGACCCACGCGACACAAACCACCTCTTCGAACAGATGTACCGAGGCTCCATGTTCTACGGCCGCAAAGGTCTCCCCGTCGCCGTAATTTCCGTCATCGACCTCGCCCTCTGGGACCTAATCGGCAAAATCCGCAACGAACCCGTCTACAAACTCATCGGAGGCGCAACAAGGGAAAGACTGAGCTTCTACTGCACCGGCCCCGAGCCAGCTTCAGCAAGAGATGCAGGATTCAGCGGAGCCAAAGTCGCCCTCCCATACAGCCCCGGAGAAGGCCCCGAAGGAATGAGAAAAAATGTCGAATACCTCCGACAAAAGCGCTCAGAAGTCGGACCTGATTTCCCTCTTCGTGTGGATTGCTACATGAGTTTGAATGTGCCTTATACGATCGAGTTGGTGGAGAAATGCAAAGATTTGAATATCGATTGGTGGGAAGAATGTCTTTCACCGGACGACTACGACGGTCACGCATTGATTAAAGCCGCACACCGCACAGTGAAATTCACGACCGGTGAACACGAGTACTCGCGCTATGGATTCCGCAAACTCATCGAGGGTCGCAATTTGGATATTCTGCAGCCGGACGTCATGTGGGTGGGAGGTCTGACTGAACTACTCAAAGTTTCGGCTATGGCTCAAGCATACGATATTCCGGTGATACCTCACGCCAGTGGACCGTATTCTTATCATTTTGTGGTTTCGCAACCACATAGTCCTTTCCAGGAGTATTTGGCGAACTCGCCAGATGGGAAGAGTGTGCTGCCGGTGTTTGGAAATCTTTTCACGAATGAGCCGATTCCTACGAATGGGTATTTGGATGTTTCGGTGCTGGATTTGCCAGGGTTCGGATTGGAGATTAATCCTTCTGCGCCGCTGATCGATGCTGCCGGGATACTTAATCCGGCACCGCAGAAGTCTTTGCCACCACCGCAGCAGCAGCAGGAGGCGGAGAATGGTCAGACGCAGGTTAACGGGACTACGTAGATTTTTGTACATCTTCGCGTCATTGCAGGCAGGCGTTTCGGGTGACGCGGCTAGGGAGAATATTTGATGACCGGATGCTGGGTTCTAGGCAGACCTAAGGGCAGGAATCCAACGTATAGTGATGCCCTTGTACCAGGAACGTTCATAAAAAGAGATGCAAGACTTGCTTACATACATGCTGAGCCTCAGAAGGAACGCATTTCGCTTGTAGGGTTGTTGTGGTTCCTGTGTTCCGTGACATTTTTTTGTTGTGTGGCTAATGCTAGTCATGGATGACTGAGCATTGCGTGGGCGGTAGGTCTTGTCAACTGACAGAGGGCGAACCAAGTACCAGACCGGTGGGCTCAGGATGCGATTGTTCGCATCCTTCGATACACTAGCACGGATGATGGTAGGTGTCCATGTCATCAGCCCTGTATGTGGTAAATGGTGTTCTGAAGCTATGAGTGGTTGCAGGTCAGAAATGCGGCCAGCGTAGGAGGTAGTCTTGGCCGCGTATGCTTTCGCTTTCGCGGACGACGTTCGGCGGACTCGCCATGCATCGTGCAGCTCGCGTGCGTGTTCGTAAATGCGAAATGTCGGGGACTGCTTCGTTAGTCGGCGTTCTAGCACTTTCGTTGCCCTCGCTTCCTTCACGACTGATAATGATGGTGCTTCGGGACGTCGTGGCTTGTTGACTATCACCATTCGAGTTGCAGGACGAGGTGATGAGCGGGCGCCATCATGCCGCGCTTGTGGCTATTTTCAGGCTTTCAGCCTTGCACGGTTTGTGCTCCACTCAAGCCACAAGTGTCGATACCGCAGACTATCACGATGGCGAGGACCAAGGTCTGCAGCTGGTCTTGCTGCGACGGGGTGGTGATAATGAAGGGTTGGCTCATAACTGCGTAGTCATCGCGTCGAGGAGGAGGTGAAGTTGCAGATCCTCGCTGGCGGGCTCCCCAATGCAGCATCCGGTGGGCATGCATGTGCTGCTGATATTCGCCGACGCCCTCATGCTCGGGCGGGCGCATGAGGTGCATGTCGAGTCGAGGTACAGTACCTGCGCTGCGTCGTGGTGTCCAAGTGTCGGTGCGTGAGAACAGACTCCATCCTTACGAACACGCGCGGGCGAATGAGATGGGCGCCTCGTGGTGTGCAGGGATGCGGGCGAAGCTTTTGCACCGGCTCCCGTCCACAGCCGAGACATTTGTCTTCAGCTTGCATCATCATCGTCCTTCTCCTTCACCAACATCGCCATGGCGTTGTGCTGAAGGTGCTAGCACGCCTCGCCTGCCCACAACCCACGAATGCCAGGCGATAGACGCGCTGAGGGCACTGCCGCTGGCCCCCTGTCCCGCCAGCCCGCGCTCCTCCGCCGCTGCGGCCTCGTGGGATTCCTACGGCACCGATCCGGCAGAGTCATCACCGCTGCACTACGACTGCGCTTGCAGACGCAACGCGCGTGGGTAGTCGATTGCACCAAGGGCCGCGCTAGCAGACCGCACGATTCCAACTGAGCCCCTTGAATATCTCACGTCCAGCTCCGACCTGCCTGTAACTAGTCCTGCCACCAAGACATGGCCCGAAATGTCCTCCCAGCCTATGACGGCTCAGTATTGATCCCAAGCTGTCGATGCAGCCTTGCTGCATTGCTCTGTTGCTCATGATTGAATGCGTAGGCTATCTGTCTGACTGACTGCTTACCCACACATCCTAGCCGTGACAAACATCAGCTGCGATATATAAGTTTCGCCACATGGCCTTCTGCCTCAGTCATTCACTGGCCGCCACCACTACTGAACACCACCTCAGCATACCTATTCATATCTTACATCAGTCAGAGACGACGTTGCACAGAAGAACGCCATCATCATCGACCGCATCACGCAAGCGCAGGACGCAACATGTGCATACAAATCGTCGAGCGATATAGCGTCTGCAAATGCCTGTACCACAAGCATGCAGTCGACCCATGCCCAGCAATGAGGCAACGAGGCCATCAACTCAAAGAGAAGACCGTCCTCGTCGGCTACGCCTGCGCCAACCATTCACGAGCACGAACACATCAACCCGCGATCGAAATCCCTCAAGTCCTACCTGATTCTGGATACTGGAGTATACCCTCACCCACAAGCATTTACCAACCATGAATCACGTGTGCCATCTGCACACCACCGAACACGTCGAATGCACACTCAGGGGACCTGGCAAATTATACCCACTCGTTTACAACAAGATTACCGAGAAACGCCAGACGCCAAAGACGGAGGATCCGCGCAGCGATCTGGTGGTCCGAGCGCAGATGAAGAGAAATTGGTGTTACATCATCGCAACTCATCATATGACTGATGAGCACACTCTGGCAGTCTCGCTCGAGTTGATCGCTGTTCTCGCTGCGGCATCAGTGATGGTGATGAGATCCTGGTCACCACGGCATCTGCCGTCTGCAGGATCATGCACACTGTCACATTACACCGCCGCTGCAGCAGTACCAGCAACGTGTGATCAGCGCTGCTTCGCACTCGTTTTATCGGAGATACGCAGCTGACGTGCTTGCATCTTCTTATGTCTGGATCGAGTATTATCAAGAGCGATCATCGACGCATATACGCTGCACCTTTAGCATCACATCTGGCGTCGCACTGGAGTTATTCAACCTTGATGGAGCGTTCTCACATTCATTCTTCACTTTCAGGTCACCTGCGACGAGGCTTCGGAGTCATCGGTTGGCTTTATGAGCGTACTAGCGAAACAAGACTTCAGCCTTGTATCTTACATGTACACTAGAACCCTTCGCTTCATTGTTGCTCGTATACACAACTCTCCGTTGTACTAAAACAGACAGGAAAGTCACTGGCGCTGGATCGCTCGTTCGGACTGTAATGAGGAAGAAAGTTGAAATTGGAACCACTGTTCATGTCCTGACAAACAGTATCGCTATACAACTCCAAGTCCTCTGTGTGAGAGACTGATGAGAGATGGTTCTTCGCATACACATCGCATAGTTTCAAGACAAAACAGACGGAAATCCCTCGATCGATTTCCGTTTCCTCTAGCTTCAATGCGTTCGTCAGCGCAGCGGATTTGTCAAAGGTCGACTGCGCGCTCTCCCTTCCGTTTTGGGCTTCGCAGTTGCTGGCCTCGCTCTTGACTCAAGCATAGAGTATCTTACAAGCTCTTTCAAGTCTCCTTATACCAGTTGCTGATTTTCGTAGTCTCTGATCTGTCTTACCATACCTTTTGTGCCCATTTCCTCCAGCTATCTTAGCTGCTGCTGTGATACTATGGAGGCTCGGGGATTCTGATATCGACACCTTTGTTTTTCCCCTTTCCTACTTCGTCTGTTCCCAGAAGCGCTTTGACAGTCTCCTTTCCCCCGTCTGATGCTGCTCGTCCGAAATAATAGGAGACGTCGTGCATGTCCAGGTCAATTTCTCCGGTCTCGATCAGTAATCGGAGAATATGCGCATGGCTATGGCTTGCTGCGAGCTCGAGAAGCGTCTCACCAGAATCGCTGTAGTGCCTGCTATTCATATCGATAAAACCTCCTTCCCAGAATAGCTTCACAATCTGTGCATGACCTCGGACGACTGCGGCCCAGAGAGGCGTCCAACCAAAATTATTCTTGGTCCATTTGCGGACCCTGCTGTCCTCCAATAGCATCTTTGTTATGTTCTCATGGCCCTCATATGCTGCGTGCCAGAGAGGCGTCTTACGACCCAAGTCCCAAGCATTAGGATCGATATCACTCCTGAGCAGAAGCAACTTTGCAGTGTCTTGATAACCATTTCCCGATGCTAATGAGAGAGGAGTCCGCAGCATATCGTCCTGACAATTGACATCGACCCGCTCACTCTTAAGAAGAAGTCTTACGCTCGTCTCCGCTCCACATCTCGCTGCTTCCGCGAGAGCGGTCTCACTTCCATCATGCCGGGAATTCACATTTAATCGTTCGATCTTGAGAAGCAGCTTCACGATATCCTCATCCAGATCTGTCTTGTATAGCGCCGTCCAGAGAGGAGTGTAGCCCCATGGATCCGGAAGATTCACATCCACGCGATCACTCTCAAGAAGCAGGCGGACAATTCTTTTGTGAGCTTTGTACATCGCTGTGAGCAAAGGGGTACTTCCAATCTCGTTCCGAGTATTCACATCTACTCTGGAGCACCCAAGAAGCATTCTTGTCATCAATTCGTCGCCGCTTTCCACTGCTGTTGCGAAAGGGGTCTTCTGCTGATAGTCCCGAGGATTTACGTCTACCCGCGCATTCTTGAGCAGTGGTACTAGGACACCTTCGTAGCCTTTGTCCACTGCTATGGCGAAAGGGGTCTTCAGATCCGAAAAGACATAGGAATTCATATCCACTCGCTGGCTTTCAAGAAGTAGTCTTATAACTTCCTCATGACCCTCATGTACTGCTATCGCGAAAGGAGATCTTTGTTTCGTGTCCGTGGAATTGACCTCTACTCTTCCGCTGTTCACAAGCAGCTTGACGATTGCTTGGTGACGCCGACACGATGCATACCACAGCGGAGTTCGGCTCCATCTGTCTTTCGGGTTTAGGTCAGATTTTGACTCTCGGGACAATACTTCCTCGAAAATGCTGGTAATGCCGAAATGTGCTGCCAGGTGTAGTAGAGTCAGATCTTTGTTGATTCCCGGATCACGGATCATACTGAATGCGTAAGCACACTTGAACAAAGGCCAGTTAGTGATCTTGACTATCTCCTTCAGTGATCGACCTTCCGCTTCGGCAGCGTAGGCGTGTTTCCAGCAGAAGGATCTTGCATACTGCCCTAGTTGCAGTTCTGGATTGGCTTCAGGATCCAGTTGAGAGTGGCGGGACCAACCAGGTCTGCCGGACTCGAAAGCCTTCAGAACTTCCTCTGAACGCTTGAGGACGTCGTGAGCAGCCAGATATCGAAAGCAGACACGAGACAAGATTGCTTCTGATTTTCCAACTACGTTGTCGAGTGATGGATCAGCTTGATCTCTCTCAAAAGATGAAATACCCCGAGCTAGCATATAGTCTCGAACGGACTCATGATCGAATTGAACATAAGAACCATCGAGCTTGACCACGCCAAATGATAAGCGTTGCAGCCGTTTCAACATCTTATCGTCATCTTCGCACCAGTGGGCGGAATGCTTGCAGTCATTGACAAATTTCAACGGCGAATCGGCATCAATAGCAGCTGCATAACGAAGCTCACCGAGTGAGAGACGCCCCTTTGCGAAGGTCATCCACCGGAATAGACGCAATGCTGCTCTTCGATCACTACTGTTCTCTGCTCTCAGGGGCTTGAACATGTCATGATAAAGATCATTGAGGTCCTGAGGTAAACTTGCGATGCTGGCCAGGATCGTCGCCAGATTCTCGTCTCGCAACTTGACTACCCTGCCAATAACGATGATGACCCACTGAAAAACGCCCGAGGCTCTGGATAAGATCTCCTTTTTGACCCTTTGCAACGCCTGCGGGTCAGACCAGTCCGACCATTCGCTACAATACTCCTCGAGAAATCGAGAAATGTCTTGCTGAGTCTGGTTGACAATCTCAATGCAGTAGTCGTAGGAACTGAGGCGCTGTGGATATGGGCGACAAGAGACACAGATGTTCAATTCGTGCCCAATTTCTCCCCGACAGCTCTCGAATAGAGCCATTAGCTGTCTCGCAACTTGCTCTCCTCCCTCATCAAGCGCATCAACATAGAGACGAAGGTCATTAGTCTCGATGAATTTCTTGACGTATTTGCGAAATAGGTCCCGCAGGTCTGACTCTGTCCAGTCCCATGTCTTATCCCTGCCTGGTTCGCCTTTGGTACGATGGTAATCCGCGAAACCAGAGTCTTTCGTGAATTGAGATAGTAAGTCATCGTCACAACGAAGAACCTGATGAAGTAAAGATCGAAACAGACCAACCGCTGTCTGGTGCAACATTTCGCCTCGTCGATTGAAGAAGAACGACACCACCAGCGTGCGTCTTGTTGGGCTCAGATGTTCAAAGCTCTTTTCCCTTGCTGGTAGGCTTCTTGCTCTAATCGCTTCCATCAAAGTAGATTTACCCGTGCCGGCTCTACCTTTTATCCACAAAAGCCCTCCTCGACCCATCCAGGTCTGGTAATCCTCATGCTCGAAAATCCACTCGCAGGTGTGTTCCGCCTTCTCGTTGATGTCACTTCGAGCTTCCATATCTGGGAAAGCCAGTGATCGCAGGCACTGCTCGGGGAGAGGGATTTTCGAATGGCCCTCATGTATGTGAGTGCCTAGGCCAGGAATTAGTGTGCGACACGTACTGCGAAATGCGATGTATCGCCAGAATGGTCACCAATGGAGTGCCCTTTCTTTAGATTTTGATGACTACCAAGAGCTTCGCAGCACAAGTTCATGAGAAGAGACTATGACCGACCGAAGTTCTGATTGAATGTATTATTGCTCCCACCACCAATGTTATACTGGTTGCCAGGGCCCTCATGAACATTCAAATTCCCACTCCCGGAGTGCGCGTTTCTGACTGTGGTGTCTTCTTCTGCCAAGATTTGAACAGTCTCCGTGAGATCGTCCAGCTTGTTGTCGATGCTGAAAATTCCTTTGAGCTCCAGTAAATTCAGATTCTCCATAATGTCGCTCATGTGCTTTTGAAGCCTGCTGTCTCTCCCGAGAAATACTGTCTTCGTACCCTTCCAGAGGCGTTTGCCATAATTATCACCATCTTCTGGACAAGCTTTCCAGAACAAGATCCTCAGCGCGTCCAGAGACTCTTTGCAATGCGCCAGGACCGGCTTGATGCTCTCCTTGGACTCCTCAGAAATCTCGTCCTTCTCGGCCCTTTCACGCGCGGAATTGAGCAGGTCAATGATTGCTGGTAGCCTTTCAAATAGCTCTTTGAGCTTCGGTGGCAGGCCTTTGGCGTCTTTCGCGGCTCTACCGATGTCGTTCACGGCTTTGGTAATGTCGATGCAGGCGCCGATGAGCTGGACGATAGTGATGGCCTCGACACCCGACATGCTGTATGCAGCGGCCGCGGTCGAGTTACTGGACGAAGCAAATAAGACTCAAGCTGAGCTTCTGCAAGTCCATTCTAGTATGCACGGCCCCGCAGCTGAAATGCAGGACGAATTGTGGCGTTCTGCCGGCGAGCACAACGCAAGTCGAAGGCTGGATATGCAGCCACAGTCTCAGATGCGCCTAGATGATTCGTTGTAGGAGTTGCCTCCACTCTGCCTGCGATGCAGTGTCCTTGCATTGAGATAAGTGATGGAAGTGGGAAATCGCGCTGTTGGGAGTCACGGAGGGTGCGCTACTGCATTCGGAAACAGCTCTCTCCAAGGGTCTTGAAGGTATGCAACAACCAGCATGCAGTCATTTGATTCATGTTTGTCTATGTCCGATCAAGTAAAAATCTTGGGCTAAACCATTACTGCATTCGAGCTGAACCCTTTCCTCATCACAACTCTGTGACTGCACGCGTCTGTTCCATTTACATCTCAGACCTCCTCGTGACAGTCTCTCTCCAGGACATCCTTCTGCAATCCACCCCAGAAGTCCTCTGTTGCATCGCTGGCAATGCTCATCAGAATGGCTGATGGAGCAAAGTGCGATATCGTCTTGTCTTGTCTGCTGGTCGCCAATGGATCAAAATCGCAGGCGTGCAGATATACTTCCAAGACAAGTGCGCCTAGACACACACATCGGAGCCGCGGCGGGTGTGAAAGAAGATATCATGCCAGACCAGCCAGCATGACTTTCTTCAAACACAACACCGGACGGCACAGTCCGATGAAAAGGTGTGCAAAAGCGTGTCTTTCTCTTTCCTTTCTTGCAAAAAAACCAATAAACTCGCTCTCATAGAAGAAGAAAAGTCGTCGTAAAAGAAGTGAATGGTCGTCATCGTATTTCTTTCATTCCATCATCGTCATCGTCAAACAAAACAAGCTGTCCAGTGCCGAGAGCACAGAGAAGTCATCCATCTACTGACGAACAACGATTCCGTGGCGGCGGGTAGAGCCAGACTTGTAGCGGCGAGCATCATCCTCAGACTCGGAAGAGCAGTCAGATCCGTCAGAGTATCCGCATCGTGCACCACCGCAGTCCAACTTGACGCGGTTGCCTGCGCGGGTGATGCCGTAGCGTTCGCAGGAGCAGCAGGAGCTGTTCGAGGAGACAGAGCTTGGGGAAGAAGCGCCAGAGCGGACGGACGAGGAGCCGGAGCTGCGGGAAGAGCTGAGGGATGGGACATCGGAGTCGACATCGCTGTCGCTGTCGTCCTCAGAGTCGTCGGAAGACTCAACGAGTTGCTGCTGAGCGAATTTGGCGGTCAATTGCTCGAGAGTTGGCTGAGCGAACTGTTCGGTGCGGACCTTGAGGGACTCTTGGGGCTTGTATGGCTTTGGGGAGACGATTTGGCTCTTGTCGAGGGGACGGCCCTTGGGCACACCAGAGGAAGTGCGGTTGTGGCGCGAGGATTGGCGGGCTTCCTTGCGGGATGTCTCGGTCTTGGCTGCGGCACCGCTGGATGGGATGTCCAAGGTGTTGAGCTTGCGGCCGGTGGTGGGCTCGGTGACGCTCTCGCGGGCTGGGTCGTGGGAAACGTGGTAGCCATCGATGATGTAGTAGTACCAGTAGCGCTGGCCTTGCTTGAGGGTGGAACCCTGGAAGCGGAAGGTGCCCTTCCAGCCGCCGGTCTTGGAGGAGTCCTTGGACAAAGGAAGTTGTCCGTTGTAGTTGTCCCAGGAGCCGAGCAAGTGGACGGTCTTGACGTTGGCGGAAGTGCGCAGGGTGAAGTTGAGCTGGATAGCGGCCATTGTGATTGATTTTACGTTTCGTAGAGAGTATTGAAATTGAGAGTTATGGTTTTTGAATATCTTGAAATGGTGTAAGTCGTGTTTTGAGCAAGCAAGAGACTGGTAATTAGTTTCGTGATGATGAAGTCGACCAGCGGCTTCGTCGTAGAATTTGGATTTTTTGGTAATTTGATATTGGCGGTTGTTGAAAAATTAGTGAGTAGTGAGTAGTATGTGGATGGCACCAGGCCTGAACGATTAACAAACAACTAAAAAAGAGGATAAAAACGACCAAAGACCAGCTCTTGAGATTGACACGCTTGCTAAAGAGAAGAAGAGAAGAGCAGTGCCTGAGGAGGATGAGCGCTTACTTTATGCCTTCCGCAACTCTCGCGCACTACACTCCTACGGGCCGGCCGTACAACGACTGATTCGAGCTACGCATGTGGCCGGCCATCGAGCGAGGATGAGGGACGACGGGGGCGACACCACTATTGGCATCGTGCAGCGCGAGCGCGTAGATGCTGGCGTTGCTTTGCGGGTGGGAGGGAGGAGGTGCATGAAGGTGCAACACGGCGACCAATTGGCAGCTTAAGTCAAGCGCTGAGGTTTCCCCCACTTCCAAGAAACTTCACCTAAGCCTGGTCAGTGCACGTCGGCACGACCCGCGTCGCTCCATTCCGCAGGATGTGAGGTACACGTCTCCATCACATTTCCATCACACTTCCACCGACTAAGACGATGAGAAGATATACACACTTGCGCGCCTTTGTGCATGGTATGTCTTGCAGAATCAACGCGATCTACAACGACGAAGCCTGCGCAATGCTTGCATTGCATACACTACAAGCTTGCGCGAGCTCAGCTTCCACGTATCGCCGACTACACGCGACCCGCTCATCTATGCAAGAGCTTTCTCGGTCATAGGATAGTCGGCGCTTGGGTGCATAAGGGTGTCCGGCCTTTCTCGTGGACTACTCTACTTCATCTGCACATGATCTGAACGAGGGCCAGCTGATGTGGTGCTACCGACCAAGCCGCTCTCAACATATGCACAGAAGGAGGCTGGAATCGCACAAGACCGCGTGGTAGTGTGCGCAAGCGAGACATGGGGTACCCGGTATTGAGGCTTGTGATGTGTCTGGATTCTCAGCCAATCCGCACCTCTCTGTCGACATATTGAACAGATGAGGCGTCCGGAAGTATTAAGTCGTCTCGACAGGAACCATCCCCTTCTCATCCGACAGCTGATTCGAGTGTGCAGCCTGAGAGTATCTTGTCACTTCTACAGAGGGAAGAGCGACTAGAAGCACATGCAAAGGTCATACACTGCCGATTGTTCCACCCTTCCGCGATAGCTCGCATGCGCTGCTGCGAAGCAATCTATTCGCAATGCAGGTGACGCGGACTTCAGTCGAAAGCAGGCAGTGGACACTTTGCTCTTGGATTTCCGGCCATCATGGCTGCATGCTTGCGGGGATGTCTTGTGCGCAGCTGTTGTCAAGGTCGGAAACTTACATCCCGCTGGATTCGTAGTCGGAGCTGTCATTCACCGGCCTCATATAGCAGAGCTCGACCGGGAGCAATCCTTTGTGATGCTGTACGACAGGCCGGCCTCTTTGGAAGTTCGTCCTCCGATACTCCGGCGCCCATTGCTTACCCGCAGCTTTCAGAGTCGGCATGGACGTCCCATCATGTGCTGAGAAAATGCAGCTGTCCGGCCCATCACATTTGACACTCCTTTCCAACTTTGAATTGACATTAACAAATTACAGCAGTCAAACCATACTCACGAAGCTACCTGACACGCATTTGAAGCAACATCATTCGTCTCCAAGAATTCCAGCTTCGACTCTCCAACCACAATATCAAACATCGTCCCACTGACACTCTGATCTCTGAGCGTAGCATCCGCCTGATAGAACACATACCCTCCGACGACCTTCTCGGTACGCTTCATCTCGATCGTCTCCTGGACCAAATGAGGCATATGCGATCCTAGCATGGTCTCTCGCTGCACGACGACAATTTGCGGCGCAGCGTTTTCTACGACTTGTTCGCGAATCGCCACAACAACAGAAAAGCGAGTGGTCTGAGTACTTTGATCGAATGCCAAGCACGATGACTCCCTCTGCCAGAAGATGTCCGCATTTAGTGGGAAGCCTCCTGTGCCACCGTTGTCGTTCGTGACAACCTTTCCTGTCGAACGAGTACTGAGTTGGATGTCGAATGCTTTGATCGCACCTGCGTCCAAGGTCGAATTGAACTCGTACCAGTTGAAGATTTCCTTATTATAGCCGGATGATGATCCGCCTTTGAAGGTTGCCATAGTCGTCGAGATGGTCTGCGTGGAATCCTCGGGAAGCAAGGTTACTTCGATGTCAGAAGCGTTTCTGCCGGTGCTCTCTGTTGTTCGAACGCGGATCCGGCCAGCAAGCTCGACTTTGTCGCCTCGGAGTTGGTAAGAGCTGATCGTGGGCCGAATGTCTGCTGGTTGGTAAGGTTCTGTCAATTGCACGTTGCCTGGAACGGTATTGATCATTCGTTCTAGCAGCGACTCGCATTGCGACTTGAAATATGCTGGATCCGAAAGCTTGGTCATGGTCTGGTTCTTGTCCGAGGTAAAGATACGCTTGTCAGAGTTGAGAGTATCGTTCTTCGCCACGACCAGAGGATTCTTTGTCGTGTTGTTCAGGAACTCGTTCACGACCGCATTATCGAAGCTCCCAGTTGTCGTATCGAATCTGGCCACATTCTCCTCGCTGACTCCGCCCTCAGTCACAATCTCCGGATGATCGACACTGTGCACTCCACCGATGGTGTGGCCACAAGCAACAAGAGTGATCATCTCCTCTTGGCTAAAGCCCATAGTCTGGAATCGCTTCTGCGCTGTCTCCAAATCGGTATGAGCCTCTGGCACACCTGCAATTCCCTCCTTCGTGGCATCGACTCTGCCGAAGCGAAGAGGCACGACAAGACCGCCACACTTCTCAACTGCCATGACCATTGCGAGAGCCAAGAGATCGGATGCGGAGTCGCGAGTGTTGTACGAGCTGGAGATATCGGCCAGAGTGTTGTTCAACGCAGCACCCTTATTCTCAGCGCGATCAAGTTCGAATTGAATCGATGCATCGAGGCCTCCAAGTTTCGTTGCTGTATCGTACGTGGCGGCATCATGGAAAGCTGTTCGGAGCCATTCGGCAGACTTTTGAATGCCGGGTGCACCAGCGCCGAAGTCACAAGTTCGAACTTCTGTGATGGAGGAGGTCAGTCAAGACGTTGACCATTTCGGAATCTCCAATGCGAAACTGGAAGTTACTCACGATCAGAGAGCTCGCCGTTCCTGATGTAGCCGCCTTGGAGATACAATAGATCGTCTAGCCTGTCGTACTTCGATGGCCATACGTATGCCGCTTGAGCTATGCCGCCCAGTTGAGCGAGCATAATAAGATGGCCAAACATGTCGACTGCTGCGGATGATGAAGATGATGAAAATGCCTTATATCCTGTCAGAAGAATTCTGCGCACCGAATATATCACCAAAAGCCCATCAGAGCAATTTCGCCGCTCATGCCGGTATACGAACTCCTGTGCTGGCGCTAATGTTTCCTAACTTATCTGTACAGTCGGGGGCACTCAGCAGTCAGGCTTGGAAGGTCGGTGTGGATATATTGTCATTGAGATTTTTCCATTTTCGACTACAGCCCGCACTTCCGTCCAATGAGAGCATTTCTTGAGTACGAGGGAAACATATAGGTAGCAGTGGTTAGTAACATTTGTGTCTGTCACCAGGCTTTTGCTGTATGGCGATCCGCTTGGCATTATGTCGGAGAGTTCCTAGTGGTGGCATTGATGACTAGCTTCGTGCTAGGCTGGAGCTCAGAATAGCAATACGAAGAAAGCCTCTTATGCAGAGCCGACGATGGATTGTCCATCTCATGTCTTGAGAGATATACTCCACAATGTCCGACTGAAAACTGGCAATTAATCGTTCATGGCTGCCATCTGCTGTCGGATCGTGAGAACGACAACTTTCCCGTCTTGTGGCATATATTCACGCGCATGTGAACACCCCGACTCTACTCTAACTTGACAATCGTAACTTGACTCCTTCCTACAGTGTTGAGTGAATATCAGCATGGGGTCTGCTAAGTGAGCTCACTGCGCCGGGCCCCTCACGGAGAGTGTTTCCAATCGACTCGCCAACTACGCGCTTAGATTTTGGTCTGGTCCGCTTCGGTATGGATTATTCTGACTTAGCGAGACGCGGATGTGGTATGCACCTGTCGCTCAACAAGAATTCGCGAACGATGTGGCTTGTTGCACACGATAGGAAGTTCTTTTTCTGACACAAAGAGGTCGATATTAAGCGTTGCGGTGGGATCGAGCATGCTTTTGACAGCGGTCTTGATGGATTTGAGGATTCGACTGGAACGGTTTTGCATTGAAATACTCACGCAATCCGTATCGTGCTTTCAAGGATATCAGGGCATGACGAGATCAACCAACAGATCTAAGTGTTGGTTCTTTTTCGGGATCAAAGGGTTGGAAAGCTACCGACAACAATCCATCACCGCGATGCTAGGTGCAGTTTGGACCCTTCCGACTTTTTGCCTTGCGCGCACCAGCAGTGAGTGATTGCTGGTGTCACTACTCGATCGAGATCCTGTCAATCGATGGGTCGTCACCGGCTGTGGCCCAATTCTCAGCGTGTAAATTCGAAATGTCTTGGTTTACGCCTGCACCATGATAGTGGTGACAGCTGAGGTCTCTACATGACTCATCTCGATCAACAGATTACTTCGTTCTTCTTCCCCAAGATAATGAATGATATTCGACCTGAGTAGCAAAGTCCCTTTATGGGGATCGTAATTTGGGGCCAATATGACTATGCAAGCGCAATTGAGGCCCATTCTGAAGCAGTTCAACGGCACGCCGGTGACTCGCAGTACTTCTCGACCGTCCTGTAGCGTGACCTTTCCAGAGATCGTGCTCCAAAGGGCATCATCATCGTTGTCACGACCACGAAAGCGGCCAATGTCCAATTCGCACTGCACGATACGACCTTGCACTCTGATGCCTCGATTTGTCATTTCGAATGTGCAGGGTGATGCGGTTTCTTCCGAGATTGAGAGCTCGATGGAACCACAGAATTGGTAATCGGCAGTTGTTCGTGCAAGCAAACCTCTACTATGTCCGGGTACAGCCGGGAAGGCGAAAATAGACTGATCGTTAGATGTCCTGATCAGCTCTTCTTGCAGTCTGCGAAAAGCTCCACGCCCTTCGCCGTACAGAAGTGGCATATTGACGTCGAGCAGGCCCAAGAGGCAATATGCTTCGTCTTCTTCCCTGGTAGTCGTGCGTTTTGAAGCCCAGCTCATCCGACGAGCTATCGATGCGCTGTGGATTTCCCATGGATCGTTCAAGTAGTGCTCGCCAATGCCCGTTATATTCCTCAAGAGAGCCTTGAGGTCAGGGCCAATCTTCTCGTGATGTGATTGTCGAGCGGCTTTGTGTCCTATCGGCTGCCAGTGACGATCGAGAAACTGAACAAATTCGGGCGCTAAAAGTTCTTGCAGGGTCCATCCGCGAGTGAACCATTTGGACCTTCCCAACTGGGATTCCGACACGTCTTCACCGACAATGTCATCCAAATAAGCATAGCAAATTTCAGCTCGCCAATACCAATTCCACATGGAATTGATCGCCTCGGTGAGCTCAGCACTGGAACGTTTGTCGATGCAGATGGTATCTACCCATACCCAGCTCGCACCATGACGTTCTTGCACGAGCCCACAAAAGTCAATCACCTTCCAATACCCAATACTGCTCAGATTGTTACCATTCTTGAAGTCTTTGTATGATATTTCGTCTCTGGTCCATCGATGCGAAAGGATGTAGTACGGCTCGGGTATCTCCCGGTCGAAAAACTCTCCAAACTTGAGTGTCTGCGTGTTGAGAAGCCGCATCTTGTCTTCCAGCAAGCAGTGAAGGCAGAGCAGTAACGTCTCTGACGGAATCTATGAGAAGGGGGACTTTCGAACAGAAGAGAAAGCGCAGTGGTAAACGCCAGTGTCGTGTGACCCAACTCATCTGAACTGGATGACATACAGCTTCTCAGCCAGCTTCGCGAAGGAAGGAGGCCGCCCAGCTCGCTTGTGCTGCGTGCTAACTGCTTCGCCACACCCACGGACTAAGCAGCTCAGCAAGACAAAGGCCCGCGCAGATAGCGGACAATGCTCGGTGACTTGTATTCCGAGAGGATTGAACCCAGGGATCGATGGCTCGCCAAGCCCCCTTCAAGTAGCTGAGACCAATGCTATTAAAGCAGGCGAGATATCTTAGCGATTGTTCCGAGCTTCCCTTGAGAAAGACATTGGAGAAAATGTCGTGGAGGTGGCCTCGCTCAGCCGTATGTCTCGTGTTCATATAGCGCTACAGGACGTCGGGTGAGCCCAAATCGCAGTAAGGATGCCGTAAGGGCAGACCACTCCCGTGTAATGCCAGGAAGGCGGCTACAGGTTAATATCCTCTCATTCCCGGTCATAGTCCCGTGGCGTAAGCTACTCTACGCTATCAAGAAACTTCACAATAGGGCATCGCGTTCCCTAACCAGAATCAGAAGCACCGAAACACCTTCGCTAAACGACAAATCCAATATCGCCGGAAGCGACTCGTCAATCAATCCTGGTGTTCACGTCAAGCTCCAGTCAAATCCAAAACTTCAACACCACTCTTTCTCCAACCCTTTCCAACTCTTCCGTTCCCAGTCTCCACTGTAGTAGATACCAGTGTCGCCTTGCCACCACTCTGCTTCCACCCACTACCATCACCTGTCATATCCAACGTCTCCGCTTCGACGACTTCTTTCCACGCGCCTGGAAGACTTTCCCGGGTCACGATCCGAGTCTTGGTGATCTTGGTCGAGAGGCGAGATTGCTGTACGGCCGCGATTGTCTTTATAGTCTTGGAAGTCGAAGTGCGAGGAGAGCGACGAAGCGAGTTCGAGACGGACGAACGGGATGAGGCAGAGGCAGGCATTGATGTCGATGTCCGGGATACTTTGCGAGCATGAGTGCCTGGTAGGGCAGACACTGGAACTTCAGTTGGAGGTGGGCCAGGCTTGTCCTGCACAGGGGCGCGGGTGGGGAGCGGACTTGCGAGGTCCATGGCTTCGACGGTGTCCCCAGGAGGCGTCGGATCTGGTGTGGTAGGCCGATGCCTTGCCGTAGCGAGTGGCAGATCGAGTTGATCCTCTCCTGCTGAAGGAGCGGTTTGCGCCCTTCTCAGCGGCGTCTTTCTTCTCCTCTTCGTCACAGAATCAGGAAGCTTTGGCGTAGCAAAGTCCACCACATCATCACTCTCACTGCGAATGAATCCTCCGCGGAAGCGCTCTGGTGTCGGAGAGCTTGGGCGAGGACATTCCACTGATTTCGCTGGTGACGATGAAACAAGTGAGATAACTTCATTCGGCCTCTGTGGTGCCGCTTGCTTCCGCGGAGAAGGTGACAACCAGCTGGTGATTGATCGTTGACTCAACGCCGGACTTGCAACCTCGTCAGAACGCCTCTTGCGGCGCGGCGGAGTCTGTTGCGATGCAGAGGGTCTCGTTCCCCCAAATGGCTTGAAGAAGTCTGCATTCGGCTTCGGAGGAGGTGCAATCTTCGCAGCTTTCGGCGTTTCTTCATCATCTGTCTCAAAGTTGTACGTCATTGGATCTGGGACAGTTTTGCGCGCAGAAGGAGAGAGCGCTCGAGGCTTCTGAAATCTGGAGACCGAGGCGACCACATCATCGATATCTGTCTCCTTCTCCGACGCCTTGCTCGGCTTCTTGGATCCCACATTAGCACCGGTATTAACAGTCTGCAGTGGTTTCCGAGCCTGCGATCCACTCACTTCAAGCACAGACGCTTGTGAAGATTTAGTCAAAGTGCCAAACGCATCGATGGGCATTTGGGACGAGTCCAGCTCGTTCTTCTTGCGACGTGTCTTCTTTGCATGCACATTCGTATCGCCCCTCGCAGCAGCCCTCGCCTTTCGCCTCTGCTTGAAGAACTCTTTCGGATCTTTTGATTTGTCCTCATAGTCTTCAACATGTAGAGGGCATCCAACCTTGAGAAAGTCGCGCAACAGCCAAAGCTTCTCCGGCTGATCTGGATGATAAGGCTTGAAAGTGCGTTTCTTGGTGGGAGAGGTTGGCACATCTGACTCGTCTTGTGTGCTGCTGGGTATCTGGGCCCATTCGTCTTCAGCTTCCATCTCCTCATCGGCACCCCCAGCAGGAACAAACTCGTCGTCCTCGTCTTCGACACTCAGATCGATAGGGACCAGGCCTTGAGGAATGAATGTGATACGATACTCGAGCTCTCCATCGGTTGCAGCATGGTTGCGACTGCCATGAATCGCCAACACATACTGCTGCTCTCTCTCTGCTTGTGCGTCTGTGTTAAGCCGCTCGTCTTTCTCGCCCATCAGTCGCAACTCGCGCACTAAGATAGCAGGGGCAAGATTTTTGATGAACTTTTTCGCACCACCAATACATCTCCAATCGAACGCATCGGCCGCGAAAGCTCTCAATGCCGGGAAGTCCATCTCCATATCCCACTTCACCTCAGCCTTTAGTCGCGCTACCTTGTCCAGCGTGCTCACACACGGGTCCGTGTAGTATCTAAGGACTTCTCTATTCGGGAAATCGTCCGGTATCGCGAGTTTGCTGTTTCTCTTCGTGAAGAATTTGCTCTCGTTGGTCCGGATTTCGTGTGTCAGGCGCTCTCTCCACTCCTTCAACCCATTGACATCCCTCTTCCTAGCCAGTTCGCACAGCTCTCTTCCAAAGCCAGCTCTGGCGGCGTCGCATGCAACCTTGGGCCCGCAACCAGGAATACCCTCAACAATGTAATCTCCTCCACTCATCAACGCGACCAAGATCATGCCCTCTTTATCCAACCCACTCTTTTCTTCTACTTCGTCGGCGCGATAGACAGTGCAGTGTGTCGGAACCTTGCCCTTGCCTTCCGCGGTCCAGCTCCTCCACAGCACACCACTTCCAAACATCAATGTGTCCACATCTTCGCTCAAGACCGCGTCTACCACGCCTTCCCTCTGTAGAAGCGCACACTCTGCCTCGGCCTCGCCAGGCGCAACATGCCACGGATATCCAAATTTCCTCAATAATTCCTTGGCCAGAAACTCGGGCACACTAGCGACTCTGACGCCTGGCCCTCCAACCTTCTTGTTGCGCTTAAAGGCTGGCTTGTTCGGTCCATCGAAGACGAATAGTGGATGTATGTTGAGCGACAATAGTCGTAAAAGTCGGTAGTAGAATGTTCGGAGAGCAGGATTGGAACCGCCTTTGGAGGCGAGTATCTGGAACAGCCAAATGGAAATGTCAATCGCCAGTCGGAGGGGTCGTCCATGGGTGGAGAAATGCTGGACGGAGAGTTTGGCGACACTGATGCGCTGGCCAGGCCCAAGTTCCTTGAAGAGGCCAGAGACCCCCATTCTGCCCGCGCGGTCAGTCCAACGCCATTGCGAAGTTGTAGTCCGATCATTGTCGCCGTTGTTCAAGGTGGCGATGGAGTGACTGGCTTAGGGTCTGTTGTCATGGCGACAACCCTAAGATGCACGTGACGGGTACAAAGCAGGTTTCAGATTGTGCCCAACGCGCGTGCGAGCCGGGCTTTTACCAGACGGCACTACTGCACTCGCCTGATATTGCTCGTCGCGTGGGAGTAGACAGAGTGTGTTGACATGCGACGCGCAGTATTGATAATGGGATTGAACTCGCGCAGTCGCCCTCCCCAAACTTGAGCTAAGCCCAAGGAGCGCACGGAGGCTTCAAAACACGCCGCCAGGACGATCGCGCGCGGAACGGCGCATCCACAATGGACGATTCTCTCATTTCCCACTATCAGGACATGGGCAGTCGCGAAACTTCTCCCGACCCGATCGTGCTGCCTTCATCGCCTCCATCCGGGAGGAAGATGAGGAGTGTGCGAAAGGCGCGACAGTCGACTCCTCGAAAATCTCGCCTCTCGACCGTGTCGCGCATGACGCCGAGTAAGGAAATCGTGCTGGACACCCCGCAACTTGGACCCAACGATGGAAGCCCGTGGAGGATCAAGGTGACTGTGCAGGCGGAGCAGAGGGACAGTCCAGGGAAGCTCGTCACGAGGACGACGAGCATTCCATTGAGAAGTCCGAGTCGGTCCCCCACCAAGAAGAGAAAGCCGACACCAAAGAGGAAAATTGTGGAAGAAGAGGAGGAGGAGGAGGAGGAGGAGGAGGAGGCAGAGCAACCCGTGGCAGCGAAGAAGCCCAGAGGGAGAAAGAGGAAGGCAGCACCAAGCGCAGAGAAAACAAGTGCGCAGCCAGTCTCGCAGGTGAAGCAGAGTATCGAGCAGCCTGTGGAAGAAGAGGACCAAAACGACGACGCATTCGACGTGTTCGGGGAAGCTGCCGCCCTGGAGGCCGAGCAAGCCATGCAGGCCATGGACTCTTCATCACGAGCGCAAACCCCACCGAACAACCGCCGTGCCAGTGGACGCCTATCACGACTTTCTGCGCAATGGTCTAACGGGACCGGCCGGACACAACGACTTAGTAGAGCTCGCGAAGAACTTGACGAAGCATTGCAGGATGCTGTTGGAGATGTGACCTACTACGGGGACTTGACGCTCAGTAGAGCTGAGGACTTTACCATGGTGTCACTGGAGAGCTTGCAGACTGCCAAGGAAGCAAGCATGCTGCATAACTCACACCTCTCGCGATCGCATTTGTCTACTGTGAAGGAGGGATTGGAGCCAGTGGAGAAGTCAGCATTAAGTGTGAGCTACCTGCCGAGCAGTCCTCCGAAGCAAGCACAAACCGTGCAGTATCCAGACCTTTCTGCGGTCAAGGGACGAACATCGCTGCTGTCATCGTGGGAGCCTTCGGTGCAGAGACAAGGTAGCTTGCAGAGTCCTTTCGAGCCTACGAGTTCGGCAAGGAAGCGACGAAAAGTCTCCAGCCCGAGAGAAGAGAGTCGTGCCGATAGTCGAAGAGTCACAGAATTGAGAGCTTCGACAAGCAGTCGCAGGACTGGAAGTGCGAAGGAAACCCCGCAAGAACAGTGGCGAAGGGAGCGCGAGGCCGTCAGTCAACAAATCCGGGAAGCGAATCCACAGAATGTCGTGACTGTCGACGACGATGTCGACATGAGCGATGAAGATGATCAACAAGATTTCGGACCCGAGACTCAACTAGACGTCGAAGCTGGAGACGAGGACGCTGGTGATCTATGGCACACTGAGGCCTCACGCGACATCGGACAAGACTCACATCGTGACAACGTAGCCGAGCAACGAACGCAGGATTCGCAGAGGTCAGAGAGGGTGGAAGATTTGTTCGCACACATACCGCCGAAACCACTTCGGTCTAAGATACCTCGTACGTGGCGCCGCTCATCCGGTATGGACTTTTCATATATCGACTCACCTGCTCACGTGCCTCTAGCAGAGCCCACGAACGAGCGCCGCAATAGCACCGACGGAAGTGGTGTGCTGACACCGCCGAGTACTGATCGAAGCAGTGAAGATATTCAGGAGGAAGTCGGGACTGTTGACTTGCAGGGAGAAGCCAATGATCAGCTTCAAAGCGAATTCACTCAGCCTGAGACGGAAGGAACACGGTACCAGGACGATGATATCGGGATGTTTGAAGATGAAGAAGAGGAGGATGAACTGCAGCAGAACGATGCGATGCCTCAGGGTGCAGACGACGAATCTTCTGACGCCGATATTGAACGCCAGGAAACACCTCGAAGCAACTTGAATCGCGACGGAGAATACGCGCCAAGCAGGAATGATAGTAAAAGCCCGCTTTCTGAAGTCGAGAGCCTTGACGCGGCCGACAAGGTGCTCGCTCGATCGGCCATTCACTCGTCGGCCAAGAGCACGCGATCATCTCGCGCACCTGAACGCGGCATCATGCAGGGCGCGTTTCCAAGTGATGTTGAGTACCAGCCAAAACGTTCGCGACGGAGCACAAGTCGCGCACAAGACACATCGGCCCAGGACTACGAGAACATCGCCGCCGACAACTCGCATCGGAGCAACATGCCACAACAAAACAATACGAAGCCTCGACGAAGGCCTCCGAGAAGACCGACCGCGGACTTGACGGAATTGCTGGGTCTGGCGAGTAGTCCTGCAAAGCCCGCGCCTCAAGAAATCAAGATCAGCGAGGTGGGAAAGCCAGCCCAACACCTAAGACAAAGCGCGTCCGCCGGCACACAGAAGGTGAACTCGAACGAGAAGCACCATCCTGTCAAAGCGAACGGCGACACGCAGCACTTTGAAGAAGTCGACTTCGCATCGCCATACCGGCTGAAACAAACGGCTGTTCCAGCTCAGAATGCTTTCATTTCTCCTCCGAAACTTACGCACGATCCTAGCACAGGACAATTATTGGCGCAGCCGAAGAGGAGGGGAAGGAGAAAGAAGGCTGGTGATCAAAGTTTGACGGAGACCTCGATGACCGATAGCTTCGCCAGCAGCAACAATAGTCTGCAGCAGCAAGAGGCTGCAGTTGGAAATGGCGCTACGCGGAGCGGTGGGGAGCAGATCAACGATATGCCAGCACCTAGAGGTGGAGATCTGTCGAATCTGTCCCAACAATCTGAAAAGCCGCAATCGTCATCAAGAGACCTGGTACAGCAAGGTATCTTGGAACAGCAACGCAGAGACCGCGAAACGGCGGCGCTTCGCAAAAGTGCACTTTCGAGGAATGTAACTCAACCCGACCCGATCGAGGTACTCCAGTCAAGTGCTGTCAAGAGAAAAGAGAACCATTTGATGAGACAGTGGGGTGACGAAGAAGAGCATGCTGCTAAGCGTCGAGCACTTCGCGAGCCATCGCATGAAAGACCAGGGACGGGAATCAGCACCCGGGAGTATCACGCGCCAGCTAGGTCAAGCCGAAGAAGCGGTGACCAGGAACAGCTACTGCGGGAGAGCATCATGTCGAGAACGGGCTTAATACCTGAGCATCGCCGCGGACAGCCTCAACGAAAGCAGTTCGCAGTTTCATACCCTGACAATGAAGGCCATGAACAAAGGCACGAGTCAGAGCATGCGAATGGCCACTGTCGCACCATCAGCGCTGCAGACAGCAATACCGATATGCCTGACGATGAGGGTACTCGTGCCCCTATAGAAGAAGAAACGCTTGACCAGGAACACTCCTATGAAGACCAGTCGACAGTGCATCCCGAATACCAGCGAAGTTACGAAGAGAACTTGAATCTCGACTCACCGGCCAAAATCAAGGTCAACTTCAACGATACACTGTCCTTCGCTGAGCACGTTGATCAGACGTCCTCCTGGCTGGCCGAAGCGCGAAAACGACCTGCACTGTTTGATACCTCAACTCCACCACAACCGAAAGCGCGAGTCTTTCCGCAACCAAACTTCCGACCAATAGCTTTGGAACGTCCGCCAGGAACACCCGAGCAGAAGAGAGCTGCTCCACTCCCTGGTCTCAACATCTTCAGCAAACTCGGCTCTGCCCTCTGGAATGCTGTCCCTCGCTCCAAAGAGCCCACGGAAATCTACCCGGAGAACTACAATAAGGCTCAGCAACAAAATGAGACCTCATTCGCCACGATTATTACTACTCACGATGATTCCACCTTCACCACCTCCCTTCGCTCCCAGCTTCGTTCTCGTTACGGAGTACTGTCGTCAACTCATCCTTGGACTATGGCTCACCAGCGCACCCTCCACCGCATGCTCAACTCTGCTCTTTCGCGCCGTCACGACACCTTGATCCCGTCTTCTGGCCCTCTTCCAAAGCAGGTCTTCAAGCTCGTTGACACGACGATTTCATCCATCACCGGCTACAAATTCCTTTTCACGCATCAACATGCTTACGTCGTGTGGTCATTCTTCCAAATCTTGGTTGACGACGCTTTGGTCCAGGATATGAAGAATGGTGACGTGGGATTCCTTGGCGATAAGACTGCGAGGAAGATCAGAGGATATCTTGATCCATTGCGGCATGGAGATGATTTGGTTTGGACGCTCGAGAGAGAAGCTCCGGAGAAGGTTGTGCGTTATGTCGAGGATTTGGCCGAGAAGAAGGAAGTACTTGAGTGGGGATTTGTGGCGAGGGCACTGGGTGATTGTGTCGGAAGCAATGAGATCCTGGAGAGGAGGAGTGCAGAGAGGTGAGTTTTGGATACCACTTGGCTCTTGGTTGTCGAAGATGTTGAAGCTATTATCTGTTGGCTTGGACTGCGGTGTTGGAGACCAGAGCTTGAAGCTGGAAGATTGTTGAACGATTGCTTGGCATTGGCATTTGCTGTTGGAGCAAAAGAACAGATTGAATGATTGCACGATGGGTCGGATGCGGAGTCAAATTGGAGAGCGAAAGATGATACCCCAATAATGTTTCTTGCTTTGCTTGTATTGCTTGGATCTTAGTTTTAGGTCAGATTGAAGAGTATTCCTTAGCTGTTGATGGGTAGTCCTGGCAGTTTTGGCTTCTGCGCAATGGAACTTGCACACTTTTGGCCCCTTCTTTCTGGTTTAGGGGACTCTCTGGGAGATGCTGCTTTGCCTCAACCTCGTGTCGAAAGTGGAGATCCAACAGCGAGCGTCTTGATTGCAGGCAGTCCCTTCCGACCTCACTTGGGAACGCTGAGAAGTTCGTTCGGGGCCCGTACAAAGCTGAAGGAGAGCTTGCTCACTGCTCTAGCAAACCTATCCATCTTCTCCATACCAAGGACCATCGAGGAGTTGAAACCTGGAATTACAATCGGAAGAAATTCTAGCCTGTGTGTCGAGGAACACGTGCAACTTGCCCATCGCCAACCTGCCGTAGTCTCGCATACTCGGCATGCGAACTCATGCCAACCATCGGCAAACTCCATGGCATGCACCGCGGCCCACTCGACCTCACGCTGCCCAGCTCACAAATCTGAAGTCCACTTAAACCTTTCCCGGAAAGCCATTCGACGATCTTTCCAGCTTTCGCGCGCTCGCACGCGAGCCAATGCTCGTAAAGTGCAATGCTGGACTTGGCGTATGCGGTGGCGTGGCCCTTGGCGACGACGTGAGAGATGGCAAACTTACCGCATTCGGAAGGTGAAGATTGTACACACGCTGGAGTTGCAGCGCTTGCGCTCGGTTTTGCGGCCTTGGATGTGTGAGTGGATGAAAGTGGAAGGTCTCGAGAAGAGGGAAGAGGTGGGTATAAGTATTTGAGAAATCTTGCTCATTTGTCCTCAAAGTACGGGATCGTTTGGTCTTATTTTGGTGATTTTGAGCTTGCCAAGATGAAGTTCACGACTAGGACGACGCTGTTGGCTACGGCCATCGCTGCTCCGGCACTTGCGGCGGAGTATGCTGCGGAGATGTATGCCTCAGGCGAGATTCACTCGCAGATCATGGAGACGAAGCATGTAAGTATTGCCTCAAGTCTCGCTCACAACCAACAATCTCTGACATGTTATTCAGGCCCAATGGGATGCCGATCAAGCCGCAGGCCGCCACGACCCAGGTGCTTTCACTTCGTGGAAGAACTGGCCAGGTCAACTTGGCTTGATCCTCCGTCGCGACCCAGTCCGTTGCGAAAATGGCCTCGCTGTCGTCGAGCCTCTCAATCCTCTTCAGACATTCCGTTGCCAGAACATGGACTTTTACGACTTCATGTCGCATCGAGACATGGGCTCTCTCGTCGGCGAGGGCTCGTCTTCATGGGGCTGGAGAGCGAGGAACGGCAGAGAATTCGGTCTGATCGGGTAAGTCCAGCTGCTGAGAAGCAATTTCGAGTGTTCGAAGTTGGCTTCATATGTGTGCGACCTTCCACTGATTGTTGTCATAGACAGTTCGATGGAACTGCGTTCGTGGAGGTGAAGCGAAATGGCAAGCTGGAGTATATCGGACGTCTGCCCAGCCAGAACCCCGTTGTGGATCGTGGACAGCGATGGAGAGAGATTCGTGTCTTGGGCGATAGAGCCATCATCGGCAGTGAGGCTGTCAATCACAATGTTCAGGTTTGTCCTCCATATCCTCTATTGTAGCGTTAGTATACTGACCGATCGTTGCAGATCTTCGACCTGAACCAACTGCTCGATGTCGATCCTTCCAGCCCAAGGACCTTCTCGACAACGGACGATGTCACCATCTTCTCAGACACACTTCCACGTGGCCGCACGCACAACGTCGTTGTGGACTGGGATACCAACACTGCGATGGCAGTTGGTGCTGCGCCACGAAACTTGACCTGCAACAGCGGTTTACAGTACTTCGACCCTGCGAACCCTGGTACTTCTCCGGGCTGCGCTGATCAAGACGGCTACGTGCACGATGCTCAATGCGTGATCGTAAGTTGAGCCTCTCTAAAAACTTCCAGTCATATCTAACATTGTACTTCATAGTACAACGGCCCTGACCGCCGCTTCCGTGGTCGCAACATCTGCATCGGCTACAACGAAGACACCGTCACAGTCTACGACTCGACTTCCCGAACTGGCAACCCAGGCGGAGCCTCCGAAGTCCTTTCCCGCCTATCTTACCCAGGCGCAACATACTGCCACCAAGGCTGGTGGACCGAGCGCAACTGGCATCAATTCGTTCTTCTCAACGACGAACTCGATGAGCAGAACGGAGTCGGACCAGGTGCTTCCGGCCGCCCAGTCACCCACATCATCGACTTCTCTGATCTACGCAACCCCAAAGCTACTGGCACATTCTTCGCAACAGATCACAAGGCCATCGATCACAACTTGTACATTGTCGATGGACTCACATATCAGTCGAACTACGGATCAGGAATCTGGGTTCATGATACGAGGTCGATCTCGAGAGATCCTACTGGAAACAGTGTGACCACACATGCCTTCTTCGACATCTATCCTGAGGATGACGCTGTTGGTGGACGAGTTGCGTTTGTTGGAACTTGGAGTCATTTCTTGTTCCCATCTGGATTCGTGTTGGTTAACACGATCGAGAGGGGTGCGTTTGTTGTCAAGATTGCCCGCGGTAGGGGAAGTGGACGTGGAAGGGGCCATGGTGGACCGAGTCGAGGTTAGATCTCTGTCATGTTTATGAACATCACGAAGGTTAATGAATGCTATGATATGACAAGGAAGAGTACGAGATACAGCGCACGTGCATTGGCGAACCGATGAAGCACATCGATCAATCCCATGCATCACGGCGTGAATCAGTCAACGCTTCACCTGCAAGAGTTCCCGTTATCAAGTTTCTTACTGACGATCCATCGGCATTCGAACGTCCATGGACGTCGCGCTCCCAAGCTTTCTTAACACCTACCGTTCTAGCTGCTTCTCCAAATTGCTAGATTGGCAACCAGCTCAGACCAGCTCTTGAGAAGGTGTTTGACAGACCCTGGAGCTTGTCTTCATATCCGGGCTGCATACATCACATGTCATCCTTCACGTAAGCATGGTATTCGATAGATGTGGCTGTGTGACGCCCTGACCAGAATCCGAAAATTGGTAACGTACCAAGACGCTTAGGGGATGTTTTAGCACAATCTGCCAAGATGGCCGGATACGAATCCCTGAAACATCTGCCCGGGCAGCCCGACCAGATAGACTGCACCTTTACCATTGTTGGGATGTCGCGAGGAAAAGTGAAAGAGAATGGGCTCTGATTTTGTATTCTTGTCAAGTGTGTCATGCTATGCGGCATAGAAATATGTGCTTGGTCAATACTCAATGAAGTGGAGTGGCTATCTCCCTCGACTGTCATAATACCAGCCCATCCCAGAGCTCTCTCCTCGAATCTTGCCCAACATCTTTTGTCTTTCCCTTGCTGTTAGTCAACTTCGGTCTCCGTCCGTCATCGACAATTTTGTCTGTCTCCTCCTTCTTCCCACCATCATTTCCCTCCTTCTGCTTGCCTCCCCCTCCATTCTGCAACCACTCCTCCTCAACCCCCCTCCAAAACTCTTCAACTTGTTTCCCTAAATTCGTCTCTCCCACTTCTACCTCAAACTCCTCCTTACTCCTCTCCAGCGCTCCCAGCCACTTCCCAATCTCCTTCTCCTTATCACCCACTCCCGCAAAATGCACTAACAACTGTCCCCTTCTATACCCAAACCCATCCTCCTCCCCTTTCTCCTTCTTTCCCTCATCCGGCTCATAAGAATTAAACCACATTGGCGGAACCTCCACAACACCCTTTTCAAATTTCTTCATTCTCATCACATTCTCCATAGCGCTTTGTTCCGTAAACCTCAACTCCGCATCTGGCTTGAACGTCCGAAATGCGAGGACTGCGGAGAGGAATTCCACGCTCCATTGACTAACTCGTAGAAAGAATACTCCGTTGTTGAGACCGTTCCAGTCGCGAGTGTAGAGCATCTGGATTTCGTGGGCGAAACCTTTTGGTTCTTGGTCGTCTGGTGGGAGGAATGTCTCGAGGGGTATGCGGTTGTTCATTATTATTGTGTCGGCGTCGAACCAGACGAGCCATGAGAGGCGGGTTGAACGGTCTGGTTTGGCGAGTTCGTGGAGGAGGATTTCGAGGAGGTAGGACTCTTTGGTCCAAAGGCCGGGGAGGATAGGTTGACTGAGGAGGTGGGTTGGGTAGGAGTGGAGGTTGTTGTAGTTGAGGTGGGTTTGGAGGGCGAGGTTGTATGCTTTGAGAGAGGGACCATGGGCAACTGTGACGGTCCCTATTCGTGGTTGCGTGCTGGCAGAGCCGGGAAGGTGTTGAAGGAGCGATGTCCATGGCTTGTGGTAGGTGAGGCTTGTGGTGGAAGGAGTGTAGTGTCTCAGCTTGTCGATGGAGATGTTATGCAGGCCGTTGTAAGTCTTGATTAATTGAAGGAAAACGAGAAAACATGTGGTGAGCAGGACAAAAAGAAAGAACACCCGGCTGAAGCGGGACATCATCGTGGTTGATGATGTCCGCCGGTGTTGTAAAGATGCCACTGGAGCTGGAAGGTGCTTGTACGCCGCATGCATCGTCGCTGTGCTTCGATACTCCGCACGTGCAGAAGCATCTTATATACAAACAGAGAGAACTTGCTGTATTTGATCCGGTGGTGGTGTTTCAAGCTAGTGAAGTATGGAGGACGACTAACTGGGTTCCATACCAAGGCGGCTTGGCGGCCAAGAACTGTCGCGTCCGATGGTGCTGCGTCAGCATTGTGTTGACGCAATGCTATGGCTCCTGATGCGGCTGCTCGAGCAGAATGCTTGGATGTCTAGGGTTCCATTGTTCGTTGACTACCACATTTGGGGTGGAGCGTTGGGTTGTTCATTTCTCCGGTGATAGGCCGAACCCAAAACGGACGTGGGAGGTATGGGTCGTGAAGACGATAGAGCTGGGAACCTGCACGCAAGATCCGAAGTGGTGAGGAGTCGAGCATTGACTTGGATGGAGGACGAATCCCGATCGATATGCTTCGCTAGTAATGCAAAGCCTTCCAACATCACACGGAACGTCAGAAAACGTCGATCTGCTTCAGCCCTCTATGGCAACAACGTATACAGTGATACCTTGGCTCTCCGATTGGTCATGGCACAAGCGCAACAAGCCAAAATCGGACAGGCTACTCACCAGCAGCCGACTCGTTGTCTGGAACTTTATAGCTGATGACGATCTCGTCAAGCGGCCGGCTGCTGCGGGCGAGATTCTGTAGCTCCTCCATTTCGGCCAAGATAGTGCGGTACGCGGCGTCGACCTCAGCATACGGGTACATCGCGTGGCACTATATCAGAAAGCAGCACCATCCACGCGTACTCGTATCATCTTGGACGCTGGAAAGAGGTTAGGCGACATGACCAGGACGTCATGACCCTGTACCGTTCCGTCGCCTTCTAGAAACGTTGCTGAGACAGTCCGCTTCGATTCAGGGAGAGTCAGACGTGCGCTGGAATATTTGGACTTGCTTGTTCCCGGTGCTCCGGTTTCGACATCCTCTTTGGTGCTCAGCTCGATGCTATATCGGCCTCCGAAACGAGCCTGACTGAACGATACGTAGAACTTCTCTGCCGTCGAATCTGTGAATTGCAGCTGCAAACTGCCTCGTGGCATCAAGTCTCGCCGTGAATTGAGGTTTCCGAGAACGAAGAAACGCCGACGACGATTATCCCAACAGTGACGGGGGCGGGCGGCTAGGACGTCGAACTGGCCGTCATCATCGAGGCACAGAGTGGAGGACGGGCTTTGCTTCAGTATGGTTGCGTTTATCATCGATACGTCATCTTTCCAGCTGCCGTCGCCCTTGCGCCATTCGTTGACGGGTTGGTGGAGGGGCGAAATCTGGTCACGGACGACCTGGCGCGACTGCCTTCCCCGTAGAGTAAAGGCATGTTCTGATCCAATATGCCAAGTAATGAATATGCTTGATCCTCTTCTCGAGTCGTTGATCTCCTTGCTGCCCACGATAGGCGTTTTGCTACTGGCAAAGCATGCAACATACTACGGTCGTGCAGTAGCGAAGTCTCAATGCCCGTCAAGTCAGCAAGAGCGAGCTGTAGAGTGGGAACGGAGGTATTGCCGAGCTCTCGCCAAAGCTTGTCATAGAAAACGGTCTTGTTGGGTGCAATGAGTTCTTGTAGAGTCCACCCGCGTGTCAGCCATCGACTGTGTCGCAGGAAGGCCTGATACTGCGTGGCTTTAGGGGGCGGCTGTGCGGAGCCAGACGAGTAGGCAAAGTTGGCCTTTTCGAGATCCACATCGGCTAGATAGGCATAGCAGACTGCGGAATGCGAAACATATTGGCTTACGGCTTCACTGACTGTAAGGGAGGCGTCGATATTGTGTTGCGAAGATACGAGCTCGTACATGCTGCAGAGCTGAAGCAATGCTTCATCAGAATGGTGAACCTGCTCGGGACACAGTGCTCTGTGGTGACTGCGCTGCTGAGACAATAGTCGAAACGGTATCGGAATCGGCAAAGCACGATGACGTTGGAGCGTTGGACAGCGCGCTCGAGCTTCAATGCTGGACTTGCGCAACTCTGCGACAACGCGTCCACTCCCTCTTCACCATCACCGAATAGAATGCTCCCGAGACGATAAAGAAGACGTGAACGAGGTCGAATTAGTTAGCCTCTGACCGATCCCTGCACGCCATCCTTGCAAAGCGTCATGTCGATTGCAGCTCCGCGAGGCCCAGGCGGTCCTCCCAAACGAACGCCAACCGTTCTTGTACGCCCACAAACTGCAGCAAAGTCTGCACACGGGAAAATGTCCCTCCCACTAACCGGTCGCAAGGTGACGGATGCGCGCGAACGAGCCGAAAACCGACCAGCACCACGACCGCAAGCCCAGCGCACTGGCACACGCATCATCTCCGTCGACAATGTGCTGCAGTATGCTTCGGAAATCCCATCTGCCCAACGACGATTACCGCCCGGCCAGCGACCGCTGAATCACACGAGAACTCCGTCGGGACGACATCCACTCGACCCGAAGCTGAGTGGGAAGGGCATCCCACTGAGCGGTGCCCATATTCCCGCACGAAGCAGCAAGACGAGCGAGAAGCTCGTGCTGCTGCCCGAAACAAACGAAGAGGACGCTCCGGAAGGAGATAGCTTCAGTGATGAGGATGACAGCGCGCCGCCACGAGACGAGGAGCTCAGAAGGCGACGACAAGGACAGCGACGAGGCAAGAGCGAGGCAGAACGGCTACCCAAGTCGCAGCGCATAGCGGATCCTCAGCTCGCGCGTGTCACAGCATATTGTATGGCTCAGAGCTTTAAGCTGAGGAGCACTGCTACCTTCATTCGCGATCAGCATGGCGCCAAGACCAAGCTGTACGATGACTGCTTGTACTGCGTCTACCAGCTGCCGTTGCTGGGTGGGAGTGACGGCTACAGGGTCAGGAGTAGTCCTTACGTCAAACATCCTGGTGGGAGAAGTGTCCTAGATGAGCAGATTGAAGCCAACGAGAGGAGGCAGTATCGCGAAGGATGGGGCGAGGAAAGTGAAGAGTACTCTGTGCGAGGTCACCATTCAGAATACCAGGCCAGTCCGCCACCCGAGATGGATCCCATGTCGCAGAATCACCACCGTGAAGAGGACGGCGGCTGGGACCAGGAACGCGAGGCAGGCAGGCGAGAGTCTAGCGACTCCAACTCTGGCTTCAGCTTCCCATCACCCCACTCTGGCATCAACCCGAATGCGCATACTGTGGCCGAGCTCTTCATCTTCAGCTACGGCGTAGCAGTGTTGTGGAACTTCACGCAGAACCAAGAGCGAGACCTGCTCGCTGACTTGACATTCTCGACGGTGGCGGCCATGCCATCTGCAGCACGAAACAACCTGCCTCAGACTCTCTCTGCGAAGACCGCTGCACTTGCGCCTCCATCAGCTTTGCCACTCATGACCCGGCCCTTGGACGAGAGCGACTTCGAGACGGAGGAATTCCACTTCCAATACGATCGCGAGGCCGACAAACCACGAATATATAACGACATGATCACTCTCCGGACAAGCGATCACATGATCAAGCTCGCCATGTCTCATGGGATAGCTCAATCGACCAAGCTCTCCTTCTTCGAAGAACGAATGCAACGAACGATGGAGTCGGCGCAATATGTGCCCCGCCGACTAGCACTCGAGGGCCGACTAGGCATGGATCGCAAAGAAATCGTCAGCCTCGTTGGCAAGCTCTTCGAAGGAAGAGTCGATGTCAACCTTTGTAAGTCATATCGCCCTTACCGTCATTCTGTCGTTTTTGACTAATAATCCATTCCCAGCTTCCAACATGCTCGACACTCCCAACTTCTTCTGGGACGCCGAACCTACATTACACCCTCTCTACGCTGCCGTCCGCGAATACCTCGAAATAAAACCTCGCATCCAAGTCCTCAACGAGCGATGTCGGGTCTTCCTCGATCTGGCCGAGATCCTGTCGGATTCGATTGCCGACGTGAAGATGACGAGGATCACCTGGATCATTATTGTGCTCATCATTTTGTCTATCTTGGTCACGTGCACAGAGGTTGTGCTAAGATTTGCGATCTTAGCGAAGAGTGGGACGGAGAAAGGTGGTGCGGAAGGCGGAGCTGAAGTGGTGAGAGTTATGAAAGGAGTTGGGATCTTGGGAGGAGTGAGGAGACTAAGCGGGATAGTTTGATTGAAGAGTGGATGGGTTATAGTATGAATGGGTCAATTAAGTGGAGCTGGTTCCGTGCTGAATGAGGGTAATGCAAAAGAGAGCCGCGCACACTGAAATCTCAGGCCGCTGTTTGAGCCAGCCCTTTATTCGCCAACCAGGGACTAGCTTTTCGACACGATCCTCCTCCGACCTGCTGTTCTGGTCTACTTGGGCTAAATCGCCGTTGCGTCATCGCGATCACCGACTGGTAAGATTCAGCTGTCGGAAGCTGACCGACTACAAGGCGCAAATTCTATCGTGGACCTCCAATTCGCTCACCCTACTGGTCTTCCGAATTCACGGCGTTACCCATCTGGCGCTCTCGGCTTTCTGAGCCTATGCTTTCTGGGCGCGTACAACCAAGTCTTCCACAAAAGTATGCAGAGTTGCGGCGTCCCTAGGACTGGATTTACGCTCTTTGGTCGTGGCTCATCGATTCTAGGTGTGCCGGCCCGAATATTCTGGAGTTCACGTGCGGGAAGCTTGGACCAATCCACTGGGATCCAAAGGTGAAGTGATGGTTTCGACCACGGGTTTCTGATTTTCTGACAGCGGCCATGCCACCCACCATGGGTTCGACATGAAATTGCTTGCAGTGGAAATGAAGTCGACAAGTGGCCAGTAGGTATTTCGCCTGACGATTGCAAGGGCGATGATTGGGGACGGCACACGGCAGACGGCAGCGGATGGGGAGGGATACCTTCTGTCGCTGTCGCTCTTCTTTTGCTGCACATTTCTTGTACCTCTGATCCTGGTTCTGTACTCTCACCTTTTCAGCGCAGCCCATATACTCTCTTTTCGTCGTTCCTTTCAGACGCCCGCTCCTAATTCATAAAGCCCACCATGGCACCTTGGACACCTACGGAGAACTTTAGCTGGGCTGATGACGTGGAGGAGTCGATTCCACTTCCACAGTGGAATGCTGGTGACTCTGCTAGAAACAAAGAGACTGAGCGGCCAAAGGAGAAGTCGACAAAGTTGAGCTGGGGTGAGGCATTTCTGAAGGCGGCTGGTGTCTCTGCTGAAAAGATCGACTCCAAGGCATCAGAGCTGGATCCGACAGAGCCGACCGCCATGGAAGAAGATCAGAGCGATGACAGGACTTGTCTCGAGGAGCTTCCTTCACCTGGAGACCACGTGGAACACGGGCCCGTTGCTTCTGCTTCTTCGTTTGAAGCAGATCTCAGTGCCAACGGGGAGGCAAACGCCTCGGAATTCACCTCGACAGATCGCCAGACCAATGAAGAAGTGGTGACTCCTCCCATGGGAGCTCCGGGTGATGATGAGGAGCTCTCATCTTCTTCTTCTGCTCTCTCGCAGATCTGCGAGGACGCTTGGGGCGAAGATATCGAAAATTTTGATACATCGTACGAACAGAGTCATGAGAAAGAGTTTATTGCATCTCTGACGAAAAGACTTCTCCATGCTCCCCGAGGGAAAGATGCCGCGGAAAGGGCGCCAGGAGAAAATCAGAGCGATTGCAAAGATAGAGAACATAACACACGACTTTCTGGATCAGAACTGCGACTTCAAGCCAACGAGGGTCAGCACGCAAATGCTGTTCAGCTTGTTGATGAAACAGAGAAAAGGAACCCAAGATGGAAAGTGTGCGTTGTTCTCTTCCTTTTTGGCTTATGCTACTGCTGTCTCTGCACGAGGCTTGGAACGCTGTGCCATCCTGCTTGAAGACCCTCAAGACTTTTCTCGACAGTCTGGCCTGGAAGCAATGAAAGTGTGCCCGACTCGCTTCCTTTCCCACTACAAGTCACCACGTTCGGACGTGTCCGGGCTGCTCGAATGTACTGTAAAATATCAGTATAAATGACAAGACTGCAACATTATATGCAAGATCACGTACGTTGCGTTCGATAATTCGATTCCTGCTTCTACTTGGTTGACTTCGGGGTCGCGAAGGTGTCTTGCATGTCGTCGGAGTTGCAGGTATGCAATGATAAGCGTGAAAGCGGCGAGCAAGGTTGCAATTATTCCGAAAGTTATTGCAAGCAGGACTTGCTGGTGATCGTTGTCCCTCGCACTCGGCTGTGTGAGTGAAGTGGCTGAGGAGGGCAGCTCAAACCAGCAGAAGTTCGGGGGTGCAGCTGCAAGGCTAAGGGCGCAGGAAGCTGTAGCACCAACTCGTTTCAGCAGAAGCTGGGGGGTGCACACGCGGGAACTCAGCTCTGGTGGCGTCAGCTCGATCCAGCATAAAGCAGGAGGTGCACACTGCTGTCGTTCGTCAGCCTTGTTGAAAGTATACTTGCGTTCATGGCACTCTTGCCGCGCCATGTGTTGTACATTTCGATTCAACGTCAGTCAATGCAGATACAAACAGTCGAGAGATGGATCGGCAATGTGCGACATGCGGCAAGAAGTTCAGCCGCGCGACGACTATGCGACGACATGCGCTATCACATGCTTCACCTGAGGAAGGCAGGACCCACAAATGTCATACATGTGGGAAGACATTCAAGAGAGCGGACAGACTTTCTCGTCACATGAAAATACATACCGGACATGATCTTAAAGATTGCAAGCACTGCGGTCGTGGCTTCCGACCTGACTATCTCCCATTTCACCACAAATCTTGTCGTGGGCGATTTGAGCACCATCCAGACTCGGAGCATCTTCCAGAGCAACGAGAGAGCCGTGCTTTCAAGGAATGGTGTCCCAGCGTCGTCCAGCAGGTGAATCCCCAACATCGGCTGGATCCCCAACATCGGCTTGAGTATTCAAGACTTTTGAAACCTATACAATTCGTCAATGAAAATGTGTCGAGTATCTGGAACATGGACAGGGAAGTGCGGCGTGCCTGGCGCACCGATAGCATCCGTTCTGTAGATGGAGCAGTCAGAAGCGCCTGGGACGTTATCAGAGAAGCGGAACGTCTCGTACGCAATGACGACGTACTCGGACTCAAAGACCTCTTGAACTCTCTGGAGCCACAATGGGCCAGAGTTACAACGTTCCTGCAACTATCTATCGAAGCTACGGAAGAGACGCGGGATGACGGATGCTGGCAGGATGATAATTCACGGGACATGTCTCTACTGGAACATGCGACCGCTTCAGGTGCTTTTGAAGTACTCCGGTACTTGATGTCGCCATGGTCAAATCTCGAAGACGTACCGCGGAGCCGAACTATTCTGCATCGCGCTGTACAGCGTGGTCACCTAGAGATGATGACTTTCCTGGTGCGAGACAAAGACGCCGATTTGGATTTGATATTGGAGAGCGGAGATTGGGAACTAAGCCCCTTAGCAGTGGCGATCGAGTCAGGCGACATCAATATTGTCAAGCATCTGCTTGATCTTGGATGCAATCTGCAGGCGAATTGTGATGATCGTTCATCGCCGGCAGTCTCTTTTGCTTTGAGGGAGGGGAGCCAGGATATTGCTCAATGGCTTATCGACCAGGGAGCTTCTGCTACGAATCCCGATAGCGAGGGCCGCACGCCACTCCACTATGCAGCACGCGCTGGTGCGCTGAGTTTAATGCGAGCTCTATTACGCTTGGGCGCGGATATCGATGCCGGAGACAAACCATACTTGGAGACGCCGCTATGCGTTGCCGCTCAATACGGCCAAGTGGATGCGATGCGTTTCTTGCTGGAGGCGGGCGCGAAGGCTGAGCGCATTTCAGGACAGTGCCCGGGCTCGCCTGTATATGCAGTATATTCCGGATTCCTACGATGTGGATCATCTGCCCTTGATCTACTGGTCGCTTGGAAAGTCGATCTCGACCGCATGTATGAGGACAAGAGCCAAATGTGCACTGTTCTGAGCTGGATTTGTCGATATTCTGGAAGTCGATCAGACGGGATAGGATATCTGGTAGGCGCTGGAGCGGACATTAATCTTGGAGATCGACCACCAGTACTTGAGGCCTGGCAACATGGAACGGTTGAGACGGTCGAATTCCTCCTCAGATCCGGAGCAGAATATGAATCTTTACATCTTGAGAAAGTGCCAGTCGAGGACCCATCGTGGGATCCAGGCAGGGGACACAAAAAAGTGCTGATTCTCCAGGCCTGGAAAGAGGCACGCACACAGGCAGGCTCCTTTTCCGGCTAAGCCTTCGAGTGCTAGCTTATTGCTATTTCAAGCTATCTGTCTACAATAGAATGACAAAACTGCGATTGCGTCACAGCTAGCGACAAGACTTCACGCCTGAATTTCCGTCCTGCTACTACTGTCATCATATTCTGCAGCGCAGAAATGTAGCGTATGTTAGCGGTGCGGAATACGAACCAACACAAGCAACGCTTCCAAGTAGGGCTGGTGTAAGCCGATGAATTTGCGTGCATGGCGCACGAACAGAATGGATCTGTTCTACGATAATGTCTAATGTTATGACTTGTTGATCAGAGTAACATACGAACTCCAAGATGCGTTATCGCAATGAAGGTTTGTAGCATATCACAACTTTGCGACCTGCTTCGAGGTGGAAGGTGTTGCTGCGGCGAGTGTGTAGGAGATCGAATCATGCCCGCTGATTGAAAATGACCAAAAGCGCTTTGCCGCACCGACTCGTGTGACTTTTTCACGCGTGTTCAATACATCTCGTTAATCTCAAGCAAGTAATTTTTCTCTTCGTGATCTGATTGCCTGTGCACGTGCAGCCTACCCAGTCTTCCTGGACTTGGACTGCCCCAACTGGCAATTTGGCTGGGGCTTATGATGAGTGATCTGCTTATGTCTAGTCTGCACTGGCCCAATCATTGCCTCTATTGAGCGGTGTGCATTGACTCTACAATTTTTGCCCAGCACTATAATGCTTCCTTGGGTTTCAAGCATCCGCATTGCTGAAACGTGCTTTCCACGGAGCCTTGTCGAAGGAGCTCCGCTTTTCAACGCAAAACGTTACAGACAGTGTCCAGTATGTAGGTTCAACATTGTCGATAGAGACGCCTTAGCGGGCGATAGATAGCCAGTCAGAACATCTCAGCGCACTATCGACCTGCTGCAAGCTCGCGTTTTGTGGGAGTTGTGCTGCAGGGGATGCTACATCACTGCAACGCTTCCTCAAGTCGGCGTAAGATCGGTCCATTTTACTGTTGGGGAGCTGCGTAGCGGTGTGGTTATTGTTGGATCTCGCACGGCTCAATAAGTGGATATGATCGCACTCATCCTTATGCTTGCTGATTTTACCATCATGTTCCGACACTTCCACAGTCGACCGGTCGAGATGTTTGAATAATCCGTAACGGATGAGGTCGATCTGAATCGTTTCATGAAATTTCCATCGGGGAACGGAAGGCTGCGGACCCTCCAGACCTGGAAAGGGCAACGAGCACAAGCGAGCTCTCTCATCATCTTCAGCGGAACGTTGCATGGGCTTTGGAGCACGACCCCAAGTCCTCCCGTATCGCAGAGGAAGCGTCCCATCGCGAAAGGGACAATTCGTTCGCAGCGACAGTGGTTACGATGCCACACTCGACTTTGCATCCGCCTTTGCACGAAGCTTTGAGTCCTCAGGATGTAGTGATCGATAGACAAAGAAAACCAACTTCCGTTTTCGGTAACATGATGGTGTTTCTTTGTTCACTCTTTCAGCATCCTATAATGCGTTGTACTACGCCATGTGAGCTTTGCAAGAAGCCGCCCGCTGTCAAAACAGCATAGCACAACAAGAATGCCGTTCAGCTGGAATCCGTCGCTGGCAGCGGAGACCCCCGGTTCTCAGGATACTCCACCACCAGTGACTCCATATGCGCCATATCGCAACCCACTTCCTGCGAGCGACGGACTGCGAGCCGAGTTTCTGGACTTTGCATTGGATTCTGTAAACCATCACAGTTCAGGTGAGAGTCGCGGTGTACAATAGGATCGCATTTGCTGATCGATGCCAGAGACGAAAGAAGAATGGGCCCGAGTTCTCCTGCAAGAATGGAGTCAACTAATACCGACGGAACAACAAAACCTAGTGCAGCAGATCCGAAAAGTATTGGGGTTCTGGAGCCAGGCAGAAGGACAAGTCGCCGCGATCAACAGGTCCCAAAGCGCCGCTCAAGCACGACCTCGGTGGCAAGAAGCATCGCGTAGAGCTTCGATACTGGGCCTCGCAATCGATACGCTCAAGAGAATGTGGGATTTGCATGCTCCACCAACGTCGAGATTCGGACAATGTATAAGCGAACGAAAGAAGTTGGCGCAGAACCTGAAGCGAGATGCGGACTTGATGAAGAAATCAATTCCCTCCTCTGCGCAGAGAAGTTCGGCTGCGTTCGATGCGTTGGTGGACAGGCAGGAGGCCTTGAAAGCAGCAAGAGCGCGGAAGCAACTGGAAGTTGACTGGAGCCGGGTCAGAAGGCTTGAAGCAGAGCGACAGCGCAATGCGAAGCCAGCGGGCATTCGAGCCATACCGCTGCGGACTCCAGATTGGACATGGCGACCAATCCAAGACATGCGTGGAGGCATGGGAACGATCCAAGTCTGGGGCCAGGACAATGGTGGTGGACTGATTGCAGATCGCGTCGTGGTCAAAGATACCATCATCAGGTCAAGGTCGATTTGGGAAACTTCTACAACCTGGTACGGGGACAAGAGCGACAGAGTTCCAATGGAATTCTGGGCGCACTCAAAAATGGACACCGGTGGGAAATACATTGTGCATCTGGCTTCTTCTCAGGCTCAAGTGAACGAGGAAAGAATGCTGTATCGTATGTGGCTGGAATACTGTCCGAACGGCGATCTCTCAGAGCTGATTTCCCGGCATCGATCCGCGGAAAGGCGCATCCCCATCGACTTCGTCATCTACACTTTCAAAGCGCTAATCGACTGCTGTCTTCGCATGGAACGCGGGACAGTCGGCAAGAGTAGTGGAGAATGGGAACAGATTGTCCACAGAGATCTCAAACCCCCGAACATCTTATTGGGATTGCCCAGGGCGACATTCCCCTCCTATCCAGAACCGAAGATGGCAGATTTCGGTCTGTCGATGGTGACAAATCCGGACGACGAGATGAACCCAAGTTTGTACAATCTTGGAGGTGGGACGCAAGGCTACCTGGCGCCGGAGCAATTCAGTTTCATCAATCCGATGACCAACGAACCAGTTGACGACTTCAAACTCCTCGCGCCGGCGAACGTGTGGGGCGTGGCGAGTATCGTTCTTTGCTTGCTGGAGAGATTTGAACTGAATATCGCCACGCAGCCTGATTATATGCCTGGAGGTACATGGCAGTACAGGGTCAGTGATGCCGCCAGGTCCATATATCAAGACGCGGATCTCCTCGACATGGTTGATCGCTGTCTGGAGTATCAACCGGCAGACCGTCCGACGCCTGAAGCATTGAGGAAGTGGATCACGAAGAAGATCGCCGCGGATCCTTGGCTGAGCGTTGAGTCCTGGGGAGGAGAACATCCAGTTGCTTTCGCTCGTGTCGTCGAACCGAAGACCCACAAACATTACATCGGCATGTCATTCAATGAAATCACTGGACTGCCACCCGGCGCACCTTATCCTGGCGGCGGCGCGCGCGAACGGCGGTCAAGGCCTCCCGGTAGACGGTTCGGAACTCGTCCTCCATCATCACCACCGAGAAATCCTTTTTCTGACGGGGCGGCGGCATGGTTAGGCGATAGCTGAGAGGCCACCTTCGTGCTGCAGGCCATTGTAGATAGCTCCCCATCTTTTCAATCTGGCACACCTACTTGAGTGAGTGCCTCCGTGACTAAAGACGCAATTCTTGAAACTCATCATCCTGTGAGAAATTGAGATGGAATCGTGGGCACTTCGCATATTCCAGTGTAGCACCGTCTCCTGTCTCGAAGTCGACGACACGGCCTCCAGTTTCCTTATCCTCGCTCAGATACATAGCTTGCAAGCCATCGCCGCTCATGGTCTTCTGCCATGACGGGATACAGAAGCCAAATATTTGTCCTGTAACATCCCAATACGTCTGTTGTTGCGTATTCAGGTACTTAAATTTGCCCTTGATCTTGAATGCCAAAGGTGTGTTCCTGCTCTCTTCAAATAGCTCTTTCAGCTTTTTCGCTGTCGTCCCAGATGAAGCCTTCATCCTCTCTTTTGGCTGAAACGTAGTGACCATGACGAACGGAAGCTGGTCGTCCTTCTCGGCCAGATCCGCGTCTCCATCTTTGTCAACAGCGTACGGTGTTCCATCGACTAACACGAGATCGCTCTCTTCGTCTTCGAAAAGCCCAATGCCGTGATCACCTTGCGTCTTGAGGAAAGCTGTGGGAGGACCTCCATCTTTGAGGCCGGCGTTGTATGCCGAGAGTAGTGAGAACTGGAAGATGTCGTTCGGAGCCATCTCTTACGCGTCTGTTCGTTTGCCTGCGCTACTGTAAGTGTGTCAGGGGAGATGGTCAGCAGCTACAGTATGCGCGCCCATGGGATCAAGGCCAGAGACGCGCCATACAAAGCAGCTCGTCAGTGTCGGCATTCTCACCGCTTCGTCATGCAGCTAGACAAGCTTGTGGTAAAACTGCAGCTGGCCGGTGTATTCGTCTACTTCAGGGCTGTGTGCGCGCGAGACATCGTCTCTGTCAGCGCACAAAACTGATCCTGAGCTATGCGGTCGAGCATAACCGCCGTCGGTCTTGCTGAGAGACCGAAGTACAGGGCGTAGGGCGTGATATGACTCTGTTGTGAAGAATTACTGTAAGCCGCCGAGCTGCTCCAATGCCGATGTCGCTAACGGTCATGCATTGCCTGTTTGCTCATCTGTCATTTTGGAACGCGTCTTCGGATCGGCCATGTTGAAGAGCATCTTGAGGAGCACGCACGCGTGGAGAACAACACCTTCGCAATTGCGACCAACACAAGTGACAAGAACGACGGGAACTTCGTGCCTAAGGCATTCACATCCTCACGCAGCATGTCGTCTTCGGGCCCGAGAATACTCCTCCACGGCACAGGAGGAGTGGGAGCAGTCTACGCCTATCAACTACTCAAAGGAGGTGCCGACGTAACGGCAATCTGCCGATCCAACTACGAAGCAGTCAAAGACAATGGAATTCTCATCGACTCAGACATCTATGGCAAAGGCCTACACATCAATCCAAAAGTCGCTCGAACTCCTCAAGAAGCTGCCGAAAATGGACCTTATGATTATCTGCTTGTAGCAACCAAAGCCTTCCCGGAGTCCAAGACTTCCGAGACGATAGCGCCTGCTGTCACACCAGGCAAGACTACGATCGCTTTGCTTCAGAATGGCGTTGGTATCGAGCAGGAGTACGCGGAACGATTCCCAGAGAACACACTTCTCAGCTGTGTGATCTATCAGCCAACAACACAAATCTCACCAGGCCATGTTCGTCACGGCAACTTTGAGAGCTTCGCAACTGGACCTTTTCCAGCATCCGCTCACGAGAATCCATCTGTCAAGGCTTCGGGCGAAAAGCTGGTCGAGATCCTCAACGCCGGTGGAGGCAACGCAACCTATCACTCAGATATCCAAGAACTCCGCTGGTCCAAACTTCTGCTCAACGTACCATTCAACTCCATCACCGCTCTAACATTAGCACGTGATCTGCCTTTCCTGGCTTCATCAGAACTCGCAGAACCAGTCGTGAAGGGCGTGCTCGATGAAGTCGTGGCCATATCCCAAGCACTGGGGTACAAGAACATTACGAAGGAGGGTGCCTATGAAGGACTTGCCAAGATCATGGCTCGGAAAGGGACGCTGGGGATTGAGTATAGCATGTTGACGGATGTTCTTCATGCGAGGAAGATGGAACATGAGGTGATTTTGGGGAATCCAGTGAGAACTGCGCAGAAGTTGGGTGTGCAGGTGCCGAGGATGGAGATGCTTTATGCTTTGGTGAAAGCGTTGGATTTGGCGCAGCAGAAGAGGAAGCCGGGGCAGAGTTTGGATTGTGAGGACTTGGGCACTGCGGGTGCGAGTTAGCGTGTGGTATCCAGTACGTTTCATTGCTGCATATCTGGCGTTGTCGCATAGCGTCAAGGGTGGTCAAGGTACAGACGTATGCTTAGATGTAGACTATAGAAACTGCACATTAGCATTACATTATGCTGCAATCCGTCGCCTGCTTCGAAACGCTGTCCCGTCTTGATTCTCTGTCGTAATAACGAATGATGGAGGGTATCTTGAACTCTGAACAAAGCACGCTCGCTATGCCAAACACAAACCCAGATGACCAAAGCAGACCGCTCGCTTCAAAATGCAACAAAAGTGTCCCAATCATCAACAACATCTTCCACTGCTTCCTGCAAGTCCCAGGACTCCTCGTCCTTTCCTTCGTCGTCTCGTGCTGCCACCATATCCATCACTCGTTAGTCCGCCAGACTTTATACTGCTCGATCCGTCATCAAATCTGTAATAGTCCGCATCTCCGTACTGTATTCCACTCATAGGGTCATCAGGATCAATTTCTCCCAGCTCAATCTTCGTCAAGATAATTCGTGCGAGCTTGTTGAACGCTTCTTCCACGCCGTCTCCAGACAACGCACTCACTTCCATCGCAGCCGGAATTCTGTTCTGGCTGGCCCAGTTCCCAGCGATGCTTGCGTTCACTCCTCGGTCGTTCTCGCTTGCTATAGTCGCTCTTTGTTGACTTCCCAACGTGATCGGCAAGCTTCCTGGTCCAATCGTTCCTGTCCGACTGCTCAAGCTCCCGAAAGCATCGCCGTCCAGCAGACTTTCCTGCTGCACTTCTCTCGCCAGATCCGGGTCCTCTTTCAAATCCTTCTTATTTCCAACCAGCACAACACTCAGATGCGGACTACCCAGCGTCCTCGCATCTCGCAGAAATTCTCCCAGCCCACGAAACGACTCCGGATTGTTCACATCATACACCAGAATCGCACCTGCAGCGCCGCGATAGTACGATCTGCTCACGCTTCGAAAGCGCTCCGTGCCCGCTGTATCCCAAAGCTGTAACTTTATCCTTTTCCTTCGAGGCGCAACTGTATCTCGACCTCGATATGTCCCGTTCGCAGCACCCGACTCGCCGATTTTGACAATCTTGCTCGCGAATTCTACACCGATTGTTTGGGAGGATAGAACGCGCCATTCGGATTTTACGAAGCGGTGGAGGAGACAGGATTTCCCTGCGTTTGAGGGGCCGAGGAGAATGATTTTGGCGAGGTAGTCGTACATGGAACCCAGTTCTTGGGGTCCATGGCTGCTGGGTGGGAGATCGGTGGCGGTGTTTGTTGATGAGGCTGTGCCTCTTCGCTGGCGAGGCATGATCGGATATCGTCGAGGCTGTGCTATCGGGAGGACATGGCGGACTGGTGCCGCTGCGTGAGACTTGCGGAGAGTCGAGATGCGATGGACTGTGGTACTGGGTCAGGTGAGGTGGGTATCTGATGTTGCCAAGCGAAGCGTGGGGACCGATCACATGCAACTTCCACATTCCGACCTCTGGTCAATCGTCCCTCTTCGCTCTACACTATCATCAATGTCTGGCCATCTGAGTGTTCTCTCATCAGTGATCGATCATCGTAGTCTCCACGCACTTTGCAGCTAACCATCGCAGCACCACGACGTACTATTCAAGCACAGAGAGCATGCGGACCACGCGAAGGCAAGAACCAGGATTTGCAGTAATACCAAGTTCATCTGGGAAACTCTGTACCGCGAGTGACTGGTCTTCTACACGCTTCGGGTGTGAGCAAGCAAACCCCCTCTGCGCTGGCCGGCTCACAAGATCCCTCGGAATCCGACATACTGCTGGCCCTGCAGTTCTCTGCGTACGCAGTCGATTCTGCCATAGCAAGAGCTTACCATACCCTTTGGAAAAGGATGGGCTGGTATGGCTACACTAGGGCGTGAAGCAAACAGGAAAAATACTACTTCAGACGACTTCATTGAAGTGATATAGAGCTTTAGCTACTACCAAAGTTCATGAAGACCTCTTCAACCAGCGATCAGGCTTCTCACATACTCCATTTCTAAACAGTATCCCATATATCAAGTATCACCAGCATCATTTTCGACCAGCAAGGATGGGAACCATGAAATCCGCTTTGACTATACTTGCCATGCTCATAGCAGCTACCTCCGCAGTATCATATCAACCTGCATCACGTTCATTCCATATCGCTAACCACGCTTCCAGGCCCCCGTTGCAAACCATCGTCCCGACATCCCATCAACTGCCGTGAACCCTGCGATCGCAGTAGACCAGCAAGCACAGATACTTAGACGTTGTCATCTTGGCCATTCCCATGGCGGACTGGAAGTCCCACTCTACTGTCCGAACGGCGTTGATGATGTATACGAGGACGATGAGGAAACGATTGCGAAACGGAATCACATTGGTGTTATCCACGCCGAAGGCGTCCACACTACTGAGATGCCGGATGATCTGGTCAGCAAGAGAGTTGCAGAGCCATCGCATGATGGGGAGGACGATGCAGGAGTGAACTAGGGACGATGATTCTATGGTTGCAAAGACTGATGACAGTGAAGCAAAGCTAGCTTAGGAAGTATCAGGGTACCATTGGTATCATATCAATTGCAAACCGTAGTGCAGCTTGACAGTCCACTCTCACTTACCCGTATCCATGGTGCTCAAAAAGCCAGCGCCCACGACCTCTTGATCCATCCTTCATCCAATACGAGCAACAACACTCGGGGGTTATCCCGCCATGACAAGACAGGTCTCTCTCCCTTCTGCATCTTGTGCGACTCCTGTCAACCGCGGCATAGAACAATTCCGAATTCTCTCCCCTACACCATCGTTCTCTTACTCGCTCAACATTCTACTCCATGTAATGCCCCACGAAACACAAACTATACCTTCTGACCCAACGAATCACATCTCTGCACAAGTGAACGCCTAGGCAAAGAGAGGGTTTGAGATATTTCTGACTGTGGCTGATGAAACAACAACCAGATCTCCACGACCCGCTCTCGGAAGTTGTATCGGAGCACAGAAAGTTTTAGACTTGTCGGGTACAGCTTTGTATGTCGATACCCTGGAAGTTAGAAGAGCTGTTGGGTATTAATGGGTGCCAGCGCTGTGGCCTAAGGTTTTAGGACGTGAGGAGCCGATGGTTATATGACTCGACATTCAGCTGCGTAGGGTTGAGCTCAATACAGTTCTAAATCTGCATACGCGGAACATAAGGGTATAAGCTCAGAACTGGCCAAAGGAGTTGTTAGTTAATTTGCCTCGATATCGACCCAATTGACGAGCTCCTTAGGGCTACCCGGGTTGCTCCTCCCAATCTTATTCGGCCGATCAAGGCAAAAGTGCTCTGAATCGGCTGCCAAAAAGGGAGCAAATGCCCAAGAATCGATATATTCCTTGCTTACCGTTCCCCGTATGCAGATTTATAACTGTAGTAGGCATACCAGGCATCTGGTACGAACGGAGTTTCGGGCGCAAAAGAATCTCCAATCGAGGAAAAGCAAAATGCGATATCCCGTTTCGACTGAAGCTCGAGGACAGGTTCTTGGTTGGACGTGAAGTATGTTGACGGAGTAAAAGCCGAAAGTTTCCTCAAATGCAAGATAGGACTTTTGGCTGAGATATGACAGGTGAACCTAAGCCAGTTCTTGATACCTTGACTCGTGCTTCGTGAGGGACTCTCAGCTGGCAATATGTGAACATGAGAGGGCGACGACTATCTCGCCTTAATGGGCGAACAATGCTAGATCATGAGCCGTTCTAAGTCGGACCTTGAACCCTCAAGTTGTGTGTCATTGACTACAATTCTTCGCTGAGAGCAATCGTCAGCATTCGCATACTTCTGTACCACCTCAAAGCGGAAGTTCTCGGATCGGCATATATGGTGGACGGATATCTCGGTGCGAGAGAGCGTGATCTGGCATAGGACACATTTCCTCGCTACGGCATCGTGGCCGATTCGGTAGACTGATGAGTGAAGTAGGTGTTTGCTGCGGCACAGTAGGTCATGCTGCTATTCTTGAACCTGCGATCGACCAACCGCGATACGGTGTGCAGTGCCCGTATGCCTCGTGTAGGTAGTAAGTGGTAAGTAACGCAAGACTAATCACGAGTAAGGCCGAGGCCCTCATGAGCCACAGCTACAAGCAACAAGGTGTGCTTGCAGGTGTGACAGGCACGACAGGTGCGTAGGGCTAGACCATTTTTTCCCTGTCGCGTTGGGAAGCACCAAGAGACCTCATGCAGCCCTATTTGGTCGGTACACGTCCTCTGTGCATGGCATGATGTGCGCGGAAGGCGACTTCTCCGTCAAATGTTCAGGAGGCTTGAGTAGTGGCTGTGCTTTGTGTGTAGGTCACGAGTCGTGGATAACAAAGAGTCTTGCTGGAGTGTGCAAATCGTCGAGTGGGTGCTATTCAGGCTGTTCTGTTTTCTCGGAAGCGTCGCTACCGAAAAGCCCCGCCGTGGGCAGATCTATGTGCAGATCTGGCACGATCGGCGTGGCCTTGGCGAGGTGGGCCCGGCTCGCTTGCGGCAGCTGTTGCTATTCTTGCTTGGTGTCCAGGCCAGGCCAGGCCAGCTCAATAGTGTTCGCAACATCGTAAGGTAGGTGCTGCTTGAGTGGTGATCATGCTCCAGTATCCATGGTCAGCTGGTACAGTCGTGTACGAGGCAAAGCAAGTCGGCATCTGAAGGTCCAAGTGCAAGAAGGGCATACTTCGGACAGAATTTGTGATGTTACACATCAGCTGAGCAAAGAGAGCTCGAACAGGCAGGTGTACGCTGCTACATGACCAGGCAGTAGGATTCTTCGACAGTCTATTGACTGCTAGAACGATGATTTGTCCGCTTCAGCTTGGTCAGAAACGCGGCAGCCCTAGCACCTAAGATTCAAACGGATAGCACAAAAGCCGTAGGCACCAGCCACAGCTTCTGGCCATGCGCCACAGCTCGTGGACTCCGAAAGAAGGGCACAGAGAGCGATGACCCGCTTCTTCGAGGCTGAAGCCAATCATTGATGTGTTTTCAAAGACTGCACAGCCAGATCCACGTGGGTATGAAGTCATCTTGCACTGTGGCTTCGAGCGAAATTCGGTCCGCTCGCTTGTTGACTCCAATGAGTGCAGGGCGCATCGCTGCTTACCGCATCAGCGGAGGTCGGCGACAGGAATCGGCTTGAAGAGGAGAGCGAATGGTAGCTGTGTATGTACTGTACTGCCTCTCGTCGCTTTCGTGCCAGGTTTCACTTGACCAGCACACAAGCTCGCTGCAGACTTTTCACGGCATGTCCGAAGCGCTCATGTTCCGCAGTCCCAGGCAGCGGATGAATCATGCGGTATTCCATATCTTGCTACTGCCAAGGGTGTTGCGCGGCACATACCTCAGCCGTCTTCGTAGGTGGTGACCTGCTTGCTCTGGCACGAAAGACTAATGGTCAGATAATCCTTGGCAATAGCCAACAACACGATCCAATACTACGCTATCCAAACCCAGGGCATTTGTGCAGAGCGGCTCATATGTATTGGTGTGGATATAGAGCTGACCAACCACAACAGGCAGAGCGTCTTTGGCTAGCATTTGCAAGCATGAGCCGGTCATGTTGACACAGATCTTCAGTCCGCTTTTGCTTCGGTCCACGGCTCGCTGTTCGTAATGCGTCGCGCCTGGCATTAAGCATAACCAGGGGCGGAAGACGGTTCCTGTGCAGGAGCACGCACAAATCAGGAGGATTGGCGAATGGGAGGGAGCAGCGATGGGTAGTGGGCAAGCCGACAGCTTCCACAATGCCTGCATGGAAGCATGTGCTGGGAGTCGGCGGGCGGAGATAGGTCTGTTCTCAGCATGCAACGTGAGTATGCAGGTGGAATGGAACCCACACGCTACCGGCAAGGAGCGACCGAATCGCAGGTGTGGCTCAGCCACACTTGCAAAGCCGAGACCCTAGGAGATGCCAGGCCTGAGAACAGTCTTTCTGCACACACAAAACCGCAACTCGTCCGCTCCGTCGTCGCATTCTGGACAGTCATACCTCACGAAGCCTCTCTCAGCATCCCGACACGTGCCGCAGCGCCGCACGCATCTCTGGAAACTTCTCGCCACAACGCTCGGCGTCGACTCAGCACACGGACATAGTGAGTCGCGGATGACATAGCCAGTCCCAGCGGACAGGCCAAATTCCGGGGTCTTTTTTGAAAGGGAACCGATGATGCAATTGAATCGTTACTTCCCTTCGAACTTCGACACCTCCAATTCACACCTCACACACCACAACCCACACGCATCCTTCACCACGACGACGACACCGCACACCAATTCCTACCCCTCCGAGCCGCAAATATACCAGCAAGCATTGGCTCTGCTGCGACAGGCACAAGATTCGTATACTCCCAACACCACATCGCACCTGCTTCCAGCACCCGCCGTGCAGCATACGTCTGCATCGCTCTTGCTGAATTCGACACCACCACCGGCCTTGAGGCACGACTCGGCCGTATCAGACGCCACTGTGGATTGGCAACAGGGCATGTACGCGGCGTCGTACAACAGCAACGTGGGAGGAACAAATTATTCGCAAGGCCTGCAGCGGTCAGGGAGTCATCAACGCACTCCGTCAGCCTCGACCGTCGCATCGACTGGTCCGGCGTCTCCGTACACGTACAACAACTCGTATCCGCACATCGCCAACACGGATCGCCTGCCAGACTCACCGGCCAACTTTGCTGACCAAGCATTGTTCCCAAAAGCCTTTGCGGCATCTTCACAAAACACAAACGGGAGCGACTTCGCTCCTGTGGGATACGCGCCCAGTGCGGCAGCTCATATGTCCAGCGCACACCTGGCTATGAAAAACTTCGGATTCGATTACCACAACTCTGAAGACTTTTCAGATTTCCCGCCATCAAGACAATCAATGTCCAGCTACGGCAACGATTCGCCGGCCACACCACAATCTGGTGCTGCCGAAGGCGATACCAAGACATACAGCTTGTCGCAGCAAAATGGTGAGATTGATTGCTTTGTTGCAGATCCCTCGTTTGAGTACTCATTGTTCGCCGAAGCAGATTACAAGCCATCCAACCCACATGTGCAACTCTTTCGCACGGAATCGGCAGCATATCAAGATGAGCTCTACAACCCGAATCAAGGATATGCATCGTCAGCGCCGAAATCTCAAGCACAGCAGCAATATCTGTCACCGCACCGAAATTTGATCACAGAACGTTTGCAAACGGCAAATTTGGCGCGGTCGACATCGCCCTCTTCGGCCATATCGCGCGATCGCTCACCCTTCAGAGACGGCTCACCACTTGCACCAACGAAAGAATGGAAGCCTCAGGTGCAAGATGGGCGTGTCGGCACAGCCGCGAGCCTACGTCAGCAACAGAAAGACGCGGCCGCAGAGGCTGAATTTGCCCGCAACCGGGCCTCGTTACAGCGAGAGCCGACCAAGACGATATCTCCAAAAGATGCGCTCCTCGACTACAACGATAATGACCAGCAACCGCTGTTCCAAGACAGCATCCCAGCAGGCTACAAGCAACACCTTAGTGGGACCGAGCAGTGGCCAACCAGTACCTATATGGGTGCGCCAAGCGTAGCCTTCGCCGGCCTGCCCGCCACTGGTCAACAGAATATCAGTTTTAGAAACGCCACCTCAGCTGACACGGATCTGTCAGCCAACGGATTTGACTTTACATCTTTGCCACAGAGCAATGGTCAAATGTCCCACAACCCCTACCAGGCCAACTATCAAGCTGCTATTGCTGCACAGATGAACACACACACCGACTCAACTCCGGACTTCCCTGCTGGTCTGCCCTCTATGGAGACATCCATCAGTGACGCTGGCTTCCCACAATCATCACAAGAAAGCATCGCAAACGGCACAGCCGCAACTTCAGCACCACAGAAGCCTGCCGACACTCGTGCCAATACTGGAGCTTACACTTGCACATACCACGGGTGTACACAACGCTTCAGCAGTCCCAACGACTTGCAAAAACACAAGCGCGATTACCATCGCTCGCAGCAGAAGAATAACCGGGAAAGCACGTCACCCAACACGACCGCCGATGATGAGTCTTCATCGTCACCCAGGTCTGAGGCCTCGCCCGCGCCATCGGGTAACGGCATGACATCTGCCGCCATCCTTGCTAGGAACTCGCAAGCCGGACCTCACAAGTGTACACGCATCAACCCATCAACTGGCAAGCCATGCAACACAATATTCTCTCGGCCTTACGACCTGACGCGTCACGAGGATACTATCCACAACAACCGCAAGCAAAAGGTCCGATGCCCCATGTGCCGTGAGGAAAAGACCTTCTCACGAAATGACGCTCTCACCCGACACATGCGTGTCGTGCATCCCGAGGTCGAGAGCATGGGCAAGCGACCCAGACGCAGCGACTGAGAGCTTGTAACATCACCATCGCATTCCCGCAACAGCATTTTCCGGCGAACAGGATCTTAGAAGAGCAGGCTCATAGTGTGGCATTTCTTGTTCATCTTTTCTTACTATCATGTACAAACACTTCTCTTGCACGGATGAAGATACCAGTGCTGGGCTGTCTACTTCTTTATGGCATGGCGAGGGCGAGCAAGCGTTCACTTTACTTACTACGGTAATCTGATGTCACGACTAAATGAACTGCTGGGTGGCGCAGGTCGCTTGCCATGAGAAAGAAAGGAAACTTTGTAGCATTTTGAAGCATCCGGGAGGAAAAGAAGGAAAGGGTTTTTCGTATTAGCGAATGTACCAACAGAACTATTATCATTATTCCTCCGAACTGTGTTACATTTCTGTCCCACCTCTTCACTATTTGCAGCGCCACTGACTTTTATGCCTCGAAAGGGGCCTTGATCATCTCCTTGGAGCACAGCACTTTCAACTTGACCCAAGACTATTGGAAACGTTCGGCAGAGCAAGACAAACACAACACAAGTATGGCCGTTACTGTATACTCTACTTTCGCTGCCTACGAACAAGCATGAAGAGCACATTTTCAGCAAATCTGTTAAGACTCTCCCTCCAAACCAAAAGAAAACAACCCACCATTTGGGCTTTTTTTCCCCTCGGCTCCATCGATCTCTCAAGCTCTGTGGTCCACCGGCGCAGCTTTCTCCGCGACCTCTTCAATGTTGGGACCGGTGCTGATGTATTCATTCTGAGTAGAAGGCACGTAGTATTGGCGAGTTTCGAGATTTCCCGCTGGCTGGCCACCAACACGCTTGACGTTCTCGTTGTCGTTGTCGTGAGCAATGGCTGCAGCCACTGGTGCACGAGCTCGTATGATCGCGGCGGCATCTGTTGCGATGTTTGTCAGTGGTGTGTCGAGGATGAGAGAATGTAGTGGTTTGTGGCTTCTTACTGCATGCCGTGGCGGCAATGACGATCAAGAGGAGCTTGTGAGCGTGCATGTTGTCTGTTGGTACTTCAATGGTGTCTTGTTGCTCTTCGCTTTGCTTCGTTTCTTTGCTTGTTGTTCGTCTGCTGGCAGATTGCGTTGCATTGAAGGAACAGAACGGCTCTTTTATGCCTTCGAAAACGATGGTCGTTTGAAGCACGCCCTCAGAGACCTACCATACAGTACTGAGCTGCCATGTTCGTTTCTCCATCACGCCATGTACTGTGCTCGAGCAATGAGGCATTTTCAAGCATTGAATTTACCAATGAACTGATAAGACTGCACTGTGCTCAAGGATTGAGGCATGGCCACGCATGAGTCAACGATCTGATAACTTTTTGCTGAGTTCAAGGGTTAAGGCATGTTCACGCATTGCACGTGCCAGCGATCTGATTAGATTTTACTGATTTGCAGGGGATGGACCCTCAATTGCAGGGCAGCGACCACGTGTGTTCCAGGCCTTGTATGCGACAACTTCACGAGCCCTATGCCCAACTTCGTGAACCCTATTTTGACAACTACAAGCCCTATGCACACGTGATGGCAAGGCTAAGCTTCTCGGAGGAGCACAGAATGAAGAGTTGAAAACAAGATCAACCGTAGCGATGATATCGGGCCTCTTGGGATACTCGAATTGAGTAAGGGGAGACAACGTTCTCGAAAGAAGCTCCATTCGGACACTGTTCAGTAATCAAAAGCATAGAGACTGTCCTACCATGTGGATCATTTCGAATCACACTAGACCCGAGCCATGTATCACTGCTGCAACGGCCAGGTGGAAGAGGAAAGGAAGGGATTCATGGCAAGGGTTGCCATGCAGTTGGCAACCCTTGCCAAAGGTCCTGGTATCATGGTACGGATTCCTTGTTGTGGTAACGCCAGAAGTCGCCACTGGAAGCTTTCAGCAACGAATACTACGCTGAGCCCTGGTCTCGCGCTTCGTCTACAACCAATGCCTCATGCTGCTCCATGGACTACGACCGCACGGGCCCTCCCAGATCATAGCGAGTGGTTCAGAGGAATCCTGGGGACGGACTGGTCACTGTACGCTCTTCAAGGTGTGACCGTTGGTCGGAAGTACGGTAAATGCCCACGGAGATGGGGTTTCTCATTCCAATGGCTTATTGAAGTGTGCAATTATTACGATGGGTTAATGGGCAATCGTCTCGTCCAGAAAGCATCCTGCTACGTTGCCCTAAGCCCCACTGAATTACCTGTCTCCCGAGGCAAAGCAACGTAGCTGCTGCAATCTGGAAGTTGTGGTGGGTGGACCTGCTTCCTATGCAGGGGCTTGTAACCAGGCAGGACCAAAGGCATTCACGTACCAGAGGCAAGAGCACAACATCACAACTACTAGAATTGGAACGAGCGAAGACTTGCACGTGCACCTAACTTGGAAGGCAGTGATGCACAACAACTAGTCGCTTGAAAGACATCGTTGATGCAGATATCATTGGCACATGGCCATCTACGATGGAGCTGTAAGTTCACGGGAACCTCTATCCGACCAGCCATGCAAGCGTATCTTCGAAATCTTCGGTAAAGAGTTCCTCGAGCTGCAAGGCATATTGAAGGCCAGAGCTAACAGTTGAGCAGATGCCTGAACACAACTATGCTAGGTCCACGCCAGGAGCTATGGGTAAGTAGGCCCGATACCTTTCCAGCGACAAGTGCCCACCAACTGCCGACTGGTAGGCCTCATACCATGAGATCCCCTGACGTGATGGAAACCAAGGAGCACAAGCCTCGTCGCTTGTGCTTTGTTATTCGCGCGTGGTCTCACTTCGGACCAGTGGCCAGCAAGCATGGGCAAGGTGTCCAGGAACACATGCTTTCAACGCAGTCGAATTGCCATTGCCCAACTCCTGCTTGAAGACCCGAGATCACGAGGATACAAGATTGAATTTCGTTGTCCTACATGACAGTGAAGATGAGGCATTTTCGAGATTCCTGAGTGCCATGCAACGTACAGCTAGAGAGCTATAGCATGCAAAACTTTGGCCCCTGGCTATCATGGTCGCAGCACTTGCATCGTTCGACACGATTCTACAGCGTTTCGGTCAACGGTGCGACCTGTCGAATCACAATCAATGATGTTCGGTACCACTATACCATGCGTAACGATCGGGTGGGAAGCAAAAGTCAGCCGCAGCGTAGCCACCATCAAGCTGCCAAATGGCTGCGATAGATGCGTCCACTTCTAGGACTCGTACTGCGAGCCAACATCTCCTGACCTGTGAATCCATTCCGATACAGCCCGTCCGCTGGATATACACGGAAAAGTTGTATGCAAGTTCTGAGCTTACATGCAAGGTCAGTGGAGTGTTGTGATAGAGTCGCCATTGGGGTCCAGCGACCTCCCACTCACCAAATTTTCTTATCGAAACGCGTCCTTTCGACTTCCTCTGTTTGCCAATACATCGCCATGTCTATGTTCAGCGAGCACGGGTCAAAAGCGAGTCTCTTATCAGACAGCGACACAGAATGCGGCACTGATAGCTACGCCTTTGAAGAACGTCGCCATTCTCCTAGACCAGAGGGTACTTGGTGGTCATGGTCATGGCTAGCAACAACAACATCTCTCATATGCGTATTCTTCGTCACTCGTTACTACTATACCCATCCAACATGGACCTCGCGCCTAGAAATGGCAGACCTCTACTGTACGTTCTCAAACTCAAGCCCCCCTCATTGCAGCAGCAGCATCACTAACAATTTCACAAAGCTCCCCTATACAAAAATTTCCACCCTCTGTCAATCCACAAATCCGCAGTAGGAGACGAACTTTGGCCAGATCCAAGCAACATCTATCGTCAAGATCCATCTCCAGCAGTCGACGAAGCGTGGGAGAACCTCACTCATCCGCAATATCTGCTTGCTACCGAACAAGATCTGATTCGCATGGGCAAGAACATCTCAACTGCAGTTCGATGGCCAGAAGAACCAGACAAATTCCTCATGAATTTGCATGTTTATCATGTGATGCATTGCTTGAATGTTTTGAGGAAGAATGCGTGGCAGAATTTTCCGTATTATTTGTGAGTTGATTTACTAGTCGATACTTGTGAGATGGGCAGATACAGATGGATGCTGACATGATGGTGACAGTGATACGGATCCTGGTCTCCTGAATCCAGGCCACTGGATCCATTGGAGTCACTGCTTGGAAACTATTCGTCGTGAGCTGATGTGCAGACCTTCTATGCATCTGAACACCGTGGTGTGGCAGGAAGGCCAGTCGGCACCGTTCTTCGACTTCCATGTGGAACAGATGTGTGTGCAGTGGGAAGAGTTCGAGAGAATGACGACAAGGGCGGCGGTTCCGCACGAGGTGAGGAAGCCCTGGCACCAGAGATTCTGCAAATGTTATGCGCGAGATTGCTAATGCTAGTTGTTGGTCGCACAGGATGTCAAAGACATGATGACCAATACTCGCAAGCCGAAAGGTGCTATTGAGAGACCGACTCCCGCAGAGGGTCTAGAGATCTTCACCAAAAACCACGAATGGCTGATGATGGTGCGAGAACAGGGCTTGACCTTAACGGGGGATCATGAGGATTAGATCTACCGCAGCGCTTCATTCGATGTAACGCGGAACCGGGACCGGTCGCATTCAATGATGTCCGTCAGGCGCAGACTGCAGCTGTCGCACAGACTAGACCCCAATCGCTTCACAAGTCTGCGTTCGAAGGTTGCATCGAGCCAGCCGCCAAGGAAGTCAACGCACCGTACCCAGTGGTCGTTGGTCCAAACGGTTCTGAATGAGCCAAAGGTGATTTTGCTGCACATATCCGAGTTCGAAAGTGACGGAAGGCAGAATGGATTACTCTAGTCTTCGTGTGTTTGATTCGTCTTCCAGGAACGCTGCGCCATGCCATTGCCGAGGAGCGTGAGCTGCTGAAGAAGGTCAAGGCCAATGCTTCGCAAACCATCTTGAGCCTAGGCAGGCAGATCGTTATGTCCAGCAAGCAATTAGGCCTGAGCAGATTTTTGCATGCACATGATCAGATATCTGAGCCACTGTGCCGTACGTTATCGAGATGTAAAGATTTGCTGTTGGTTGCCGAGGTGCTCAGCCTCAACCCCGAATGTGAAAGAGCCGCATGGTGGAGGTTGATAGAGGGTAAGGTGAGTAGGTGGTGTGGTTAGACCGGTGGCATCCTTGCACGATATCTTTGTGGCTACAACAAGCGCTGGGGCTGCTGAGGCGCAAAGGGTACACAGTGCCAAACTTCGACCTACACGTAATAGTGAAATTTGCCGCAACAGCATACGTTCGTATCTAACGATGGCTGGTCGTAATGCCACTGCGGGTCTTGGTGCCTTTCGCATCTAGCGTGCAATGTTCGAATGGGGCATCTACTGCCGTGCTGACTAGCGTAGTTCAGCTCCTTCGGGTCTTTGTTGTCGGATATGCGGCCTTGCCGCAGAATTCAAGTTCTGGGCCAGATGAACTGAAGTCGATAGTCGCTGTTTTTTTGATCAATGTGTCTTCTACCGTACTTCGCTCGCGTGGCTTCGCATCAGGCGAGAACTGCCTCAGATTTTGTTGAACTTTGAAAGTGCTCGCCAGTCGACGCGGAACCCTCAACAAATCTCGAGTCACTGAATTTGGACTGGCGGCAATATTTCTTCCTGTCTGCTTAGTTGAAGGATCCCGGAATTGATTGTTGATCGTCGCGATACGGCACCGAATTCGGCATCTCATGCATTCCACGCTCGTTCTGGGGCGCAATGTTCGAATGTGGCATATGATGCCTTAGCCACTTGAGGGAGCACAGCTGCTTCGGGTCGTTTTTGTTGAATGTGCGCCATAGTCACTCGCTCGCTCGGTCGGGACGAAACTCCGGGCTGCAGGAGACACATCGATGCGGCTTGAGAATGAGTACTGTCTCACTGAGTGGTACGAGTTGTTTGAGCAACGAATGCCTGGTCTTCCGTTGTAAGTATTCTGTGTGCTGCATCTTCTCAGCTGCAGTAGTGACATATGGTATGCATCGTGCAGCCTCGGTATTAGCTTGACGCGACTGTGTAAGCCATGAGCACAACTGTAAAGCATACTTTCACAGCTATGTGAAACCAATCAATCGGTAACGACATGTTGAGGTGAGTCGATACCATCCTGGCCATGCTGCACGCACCCGTGTTCGCTGCACAGTTCGCGTCGTACTCACATCATCAGTGGAGAGCAGCATGTGCATGAAACGAGATCGTCAAGGTCATGATGACTGCGTACTGTGGCCCAGTCAAGGTTATAGCGTTGTGGGGTGCAGGAGCGGTGCATGTCCAGGAATCCAGACCTTGCCTTGCTGCCGGCTGCTAGCTGAGTCCAGCTTGCTTCAGAGCTCCCAAAATGGCGTCTCGCTGCTCGGTTGCCGGCACCTGTTGTTCTAGGCCTGCACAGCTGGCCTCTGAAGAAATACTGCATCGGCTGTGAAGAGTCGAGACGCTCTTCTTTTCGGTGATTCCGAGAGCATGGATACTGCGAACGCGCAAGAGACTTTCGCGACCTTTTGGAGATTGCCAAGCTCTGCTGGAACCTGAGAGCGGACTAACTACCCCTCTGTTGCTCTGGCAAGGTTCTCCTCAGTCGTTTCTGCAGCCATTCAAGCCCGTTCTCATGACTTGCTTTGTGCTGCTCGTGGCCCGCCGTTCCATGTTGTCTACTGTAGCTGGGTCGGGTGTTGCTGGGTTTCTCCGCGTGAGGAGGTGCTGCGTGCTGCAGATCGAGGTGCAAGAGCGAAGCTCGAGAAGGAAAACGCGAGGTGGTTAGACGCGGCCGTGAAAGAGGCACCAGTCTGGCGATCCGCTCCCGCGTGACGACTCTCCATGGCTGGAGTCTAGCAACTGTCTGCTATACTGTGTCGACCTTGCCGTCGGCTGCAGCGATGAGGCTCTTTCCACGCTAGAGTTGCACAGGCTGCATGATGAAGTTGTGGTCGTGCGAACACTTGCCTGGGAGGTGTGCTGCCGCAGACGGATGATTCGCTGGCGGAGAAATGTGTCGAAAAGGGTACAAGAATACTTTGACTACTCCGCATACCTTCGCCCCTGAATCCTTGGTGCTGCGGGCGGCGTGCTGTACATAGCTTGCAGACGCCCCCGTCTCTAGCTCTGATATCAAAGGCGCAGCCCAACCTCGCCTTGTGCTGGCTTGACCTACGTCGCGAGCGTCCAGCTGGCCGTCTACACTACTGCGACCTCCCACCAGCATTCCCATTGTCTCCCGTCGTCCAACGACACTGCCGGCAGCGTACAGCGAACTGGTGTGTCACGCGCGTGTAGCCATAGTGGGGACCAGATCCCACAAACCTTGCCAATCATCGCCTTCCCGGCCGGCAACCTTACCATTCGAGGGCGCCGTACCCACAGCTCCCAGCCGTTTCGAGGTCCTGGGACTTCTATCTTCTCGAGTCCAGCTTGCGACATCACCTCTTCGACGACCGAACCGCGAATCCCGATCACGACGGTGGTCATCATCGCAAGACCGTCGCAATTTCCTTCTCAGGACGGTAAAGCGCGTGATCCTGGGAGCAGGCTTGACCCGGATCGAGCAGCCACGCTTCCCCACACAACTCAACCACGCCAGGCTCATCTCAGCGTGTGCTTCGCTGACTCTTGGTCATCGCACGCGTGCCTCCACTCTCCCGGCATCGCATTGCGCATTCTTCGGGCAGCAGGTTGCCAATGTGAGGCTCCATAGCTTTCGCATCAGCCAAATTATACTGGTTCCTGGAGACAGAGAGCGAGCGGATGCTGTAAGCAGGGCGTTGGGAATGATCATAGGTTCGTCGCGCTCCGAAGTTCGTGTTTCCCGGCCATGCTGACGAGACGCTGCCAGACACATACACGGCATAGAAAGCACTTGACTTCCTCATCAGATATGTAATAGTAGCTCACAATCTACCCTATGTGAGTAGTGGCAAGCAAGAACTCTTGGCGGAAGGATCCAACGGCTGACAATGCGTGTTCGCCACAGCATCGCAATTGTAGACATAGATTAGAGGCTGGACGATTTATACGATACCCAGGATTTCTTTCAGGTATGTCAAGCATGGCGCTGCAGCGTTCGTCATCCCGGCCAGCGGCGGCAGAGGAGCAGTGTGTACTTTTGCGCCGGCCATCATTCTGTGTCTGGACGCGCTGGACAAGTTGTGTGTATCTGCGGGAGGCTCAAAGGTTCTAAACACCCAGACTGGACCCATCAAATACCGCTGTGTGGCCCATTGCGTCCAAGCTCTTTCAATGACCTCGTAGCGGAACTCTCGCTTTGCCCGAAATCCAAGGCCGTGTGTGAGATGCTGCTGGATGCTTCCTCCGGGCCTGCCTTTCCTCTCGAGCTGCACCAAGGTGCTGGCGTGTACGAATTTGAAGCTGACATTGTCCCCAGATAATTATCTTCATCTCTTTTGACCGGTTCCGCGTTTGATATTATGAATGTAAGCAGTTTCCTTGCTCTTCCTTCTCGCCCCCAAGCTGAGACCTCGTGTAGCCCGCACGTCGCGCTACTCCAGACTCCGAAGCGGTGGCGTCCTCCGAGGACGAGAAGCCGTGGCCTTCTTCGATGTCTTTTGGCAAGTTTCCGCTGAAAGAGGGCGGCATGCCCGGCCTTCCCGGCGGGATATGGTCGACCCGGAGTGGTAGCTTCAAGCTGTCGGACAAAGCGAAGCTGGACGCGAGAGCCAGCGTGCGCCTTGGTGCTGTGAATCAAGTGCGCGGCACGCCGTCGCCGTCTGTGAGTGAGGGAGCGGGCGCTCTGCCTTTCGCGATTCCGTTGCAGCCTACGCCGAAGACGGGTCGCTCGATGTCGCATTCGCAGGGCCAGCGCGAACCCTCTCAGAACGTCTCGGGCACGCAGCAGGGCAGTCATGCGGCGCTGCCGCTGGGATTGCTTGCGGAGGAGGAGGCAGATACCGAGTCGGAATCGGAGCTGGGAACGAGACTCACTCATACAACATCTCATCCGCCGATCGGATCTCTGATGCGAACCGCGACGCTCCCGCCGACGTTCGATCACCCCCGCGGGTCCAGCAACGACAGCGACTACCAGGACAGTCATTCCCCCCAGCCCGGCCTCCTCCGCGGGCAGACGTTCGGAGCAGCATTTGCCAATCTCTCGCTCGGTATGTTTGTGTCACGATGTTTGTTGGTCTCGTGCCATGTTTGACTGACGATGGCAGATCACAATGGCCGTCGTGCACAGTGGCAGAGCTCATTGGGCTGGGATGATGTGCCCAACGTGAATGAATCACGCCGCCACTCGCTGGCAGATATCCCCACCCGCCGCGGCTCCCTCGCTGCTGGTGAGCCTTCGCTTCTATCACGAACCTTCACACACGATCCCCAAGAAAGCGACGAGTTCCATCAACAACACAGCGGTAAGTAACCGACCTTCGCCATCGCCTCAACGACTTCCTGCTCCGCACCTGCCCTTCCTCACCCTGCAGCTGCCTCTGCAACGGTCGCGCCTGCCTTCAGTACCAGCAGCGCGAGCCAATCACGTTGCACCAATTACAGGCCATTGTGGTCAGACTTCACTTCTGGCACCACTACCCTCTGCTGCCTCGTTTCTGCCTATCCATTTCCACCCCCCTTTACCTCATCCTTCGACACGATTCGTTTTCGGCGCACCTTCACCACTACCCGCACAGCATTACACCAACATAGCTTAGCCATAGAGCTTAGGCGACAACAGTTCTAACTAGTGAGTTGCAGATTATCAGGGGTACGCACTTGGCGCGGAAAACACTTCTAACATGACTAGAGCGCCAGACGGCCAAAGCGCTTTCGACATTCCAGCCATGTACCGTGTGCCTCACGTGTCGCTTACCCAGACCGAGCGTCGCGACATTGAGATGAGACGTGAACAGCAGCCGAACAGTGCACCACAATGGGGTCCCTCCGCCGGCCGTCCACGCAAGCAGCTTTACATTGTGAGCTTCAAGTGCTCGCGCGTTGACGTCTTCTACCTGCTGGACAACACCGGCTTGACTGTTCGCGAAGGCGATCTCGTCATTGTGGAAGCCGACCGCGGTCAGGATCTCGGCACTGTGCAGCATGCCAAAGTCACGCCGGACGTGGCTCGCCTGTTGAAGAAGAAGTATTCCGAAGAGCAATACAAGTGGCTCATGATGTACTCGCGCAACAAGGATGGCGGCTATAACCCGAATGCTCAGATTCAGAATGACAGCAGCGGCGGAGGCATGATGGGTTCCGCTTTCGCCAATGAACTGCCATCCAGCATGCAGGGAGCCTTGCCTCGCGATAACTTCAACAACCTCAAGCCGAAAGCGATCAAGCGCCTGGCTAGTGACCACGAGATCAAGATGCTGGCTGAAAAAGAAGGCAATGAGGCCAAGGCCAAGCGCACTTGTCAGCAGAAGGTTCAGCATCTTCGTCTGCAGATGGAGATTCTCGATGCAGAGTGGCAATGGTAAGAGTAGCAGTCAATGTATTTCTCCACTGCACCGCTAACAGTCTCACAGGGACTTCCAAAAGCTGATCTTCTACTACTACGCCGACCACTACATCAACTTCAAAGATCTGATCACCGAGCTCTATCGCATCTACAAGACTCGCATCTGGCTGTCTGCGATCAACCCTGCTTCATTCTCCCAGCACGCGATGGGTCAGCCACCGAGTGGCATTGGTCCAGGCGCCGTCGCTCCATACAACCCATACGCTACGAACCAGGGTTACACCATGGCTTATGGCGAAGACAGAGATCCCTATGGTGCCCAGATGCCATATCGCATTCCCTACGAAACCTACACGCCGAACTATCCCGCGATTCCTGGAGTCACAAACAGCTTCGCACCGCAACCCTTTGGCGAGCAGCCCAACTATGCGTTCTATGGTCAGCCACCACAGCAGTCACCAACCGGCCCTGGCTTGCAGCAGACTTTCTCGCCAAGTACCGGCGAGATGTATGCTGGTCCTGGTCAGCTCGTGAATCGTGGTGGCCAGAACAACAACTTCTTCTACGATGGCAATCGCAACATGGAGCAGCTTCTCGGCTCGGCGAATGGGCTCGGCGCAGCTCCAGACAATCATGGAATGCAAGGCATGGGCGGTCGTGAAGGCTTTGGCCAAGCACCTGATCAGCCATTCTCGCGCCCATTCCCAGGCATGATGGGTGCTGCTCCGCAGTCACCAAATGACTACACCTCGCCACAGTCGAAGGTCCCGCAGCGAAAGCTGACACAGCCTCCGATCGGCACGCGCCCGGTCTTTGGTAGCGCGGATCCATTCAGCTTTCCTCCACCGCAGCAACGTGCTGGCCCCGGTCAGGAGCAACCGCGCCTGGTGTTCGGACAGCAGCCAGCCCCAAACGATAGTGCTGGTCCCGATACCCGACTTGAAGGGCTTGCTGATCTTGGATCTGGCGGCAAAGAGCAAGACAAGAAGGCTGACAAGATGACGGAGAAGATGAACAAGGCAGACATGATGCTTCGTTTCCTCAACAACACCGATGCTCCTGAAGACCCATAGACTATTGCCTATGGGACTTCAAGACTGATCACAACATATCAAAAGCGACATCCCATCAGCACGCCCAAGGCGTCTACGACACAATCGACGACACCACTGCGATCTACAAAAAGCCACAAAACAATTGACGACTTGAAACTTGCCTTTTTCTCCTTGATCTCTACCCTTACGACCACGACTGCGATTGCTTGTGATTATTGGCATTCTTCATTGGAGCGAGGGAGAAGAGCATAAGGAGGCGATCTCCAGCGACACACCACAGAGGCGTTTACGATGGGGTGGTCACGGTTCTGCAGCAATGAGATGACCAATAAAAGAATTTTTGGGGAAGTGTTTTTCTGCGGCTATCACGACTTGGGCACAGACATGGGTTCGAGCTCTTGCATGAGAGCTCGCTGACATTGAGGTGCGTAGGGTAAGTAAGGTAGGAGGACATATCTAAAAAGAAAACGATTGGAGATATTCGGTCAGAATCACTTTCGATTCCATAACATGAGTGCCTGCCTACTTGCCCATCCCTCACGGATGAAGCCAACCTGGAGACAACACTGATTACTGAACCAACCAGCCAGCACTCACCTTACCCAGCCATTCTCGCGCTTCGCACTGACCGAGCTCCTTCCTACCCACAGTCACGGTGTCATTTTTGCCGAAAACTACCAAGCGTTCTATACCAAGCCGGACTAAAACTCACGATGACGGCCAAGCGCACTCCGCCACGGACATGATCTAGCTTGTCAGATTCGCGGTCTAATCACCTTCGCTTCTTACCTTCTCGGATAGGCGGAAGGGCGAAGTTTCGTGGGACCTGGACCGGCAGTTGAGGTTTGAGTTTGGTAGTTCTTTAGCTTTCCGAGTTGGTGGGCCAATTGCTTCCTGGGAAGCTTTTTCAGTTTTGGGATTTTTTTGGGAGAGGGGATGGGGTTGTGGAGCGAGGAAGATGACTGTGGTGGTGAGCATTATTTTAGGATGGTAAAATATATTTCTGTTGTCGTTGTTATGAGTTTCACATTAGAAGCCCTGCTGTTGAACATTGAATATATCCGTCGTATTGAGAATTGTTTGACAGCAGTATACCGAAAACCTGGGGGACCGCACATGGCGTGCAAGGAAACTTTGTTCAATTGTTGAATTGAATTGAATTTCAATCGCTCTGAACTATCACTTTCGCGGCAAAACCGGGAAAGCGCGTCTGTTTGGGATTCGCTTTGAGCAAGAACAGGAAAAGACTTCCTTGGTCAAAGCTGGGTTTGCAATCCTTCGCAGGCGTTAGTTTTGGACAGCCGCTGGTGTCCGCTGCTAGGAGTTCCACTGAGAAGTTCTGTGATGACCATTTCACGAAATTGGGGGAATTGGGGTACAAAATGTGCAATGGTTTGCGATGTGCTGAGGGCTGGAATTGTAGTGTTGTTGTGGGCGTTCTTGTGTCCTGGCTTTTTACAGTACTTGTACATAGTGAATTTACATTATTATTTTGGGTGCGATTGCCCGACTGTCGATCTCTGTACAATAGAGCGAACCTTGTCTTCAGCTTCTTGTCTGCACATTCCCTCCTGATCTCTCTCGGTTCGTAGGTGTCGTCTTGCTAAACGAGCATTACCGCATGGCAGAGCACAACTTCGTCCATCCATTTGAGACGTCTCGATCGAGGCTCTTCCAGCCGAGGCATTGATGCAGGTACTACTAAGACCGGTGTCTCACCTCTACCAACCACTGTGATGTCGTAAGGACCGCGTGGAGTTTGCAGTAGCGTGGACCATCGCTCAGCCACTCAGCCTCGTTGGCAGGCACTCCAGGCTTCGAACACCCGCTAGAGTACCTCAGAGAACTTGCCAATGCAACAACAAGCGGAGAGTCCAGAGACCGAAGACCTGGTTCAAGATGTACAGAATGCTGGTATCGCAGACACTTCCGTTGGTTTCCCGGTTCTAGTAGCCATTCGAGAGTTCAGACAAGGGTCCACATTTGTGTAGAGTGGCTTAATGTCAGGCTTGATGCTGTCATGGCTGAGGCTCCGCCTGAGAGTGTACTTCCCGTGTTTATTGCATAGTTTGACATGCCGCTGGTGTGCCGCGAATGAGTGCCAATAGCAATTGAATAAGGCAGTTATGCCTCGTCATCTTCGACGGATTGTGGTAGTGGTGTGGTGATTAGATGCATTGAGGGCTTCCGCCACTTCACTGCATCCAATGGCTGCCTCTGGCGGCGCTGATGCCTCAATATAAGCAATGCTCTTGCAGCGGATGACTTTCCATCAATGATCGGATGCGGGCTTCCGTCGTTGTTGGTCGTCTTGTGGGTCCGAGGAAGTGTCTGTTGCTCCTCCTTCGACTGTTCATCTTGCAGTGCTAGGTCTCCGATCGCCACCTCCTCGTCTAAGCCGCGAACCATGAAAGCAGAGCAGAATTGGTATAGCGCCCAGAAGTATACTGATACCGCCGTAGACACTCATGCCTGGTCCAGGTCCAAGGTTCAAAACATCCTTTGCAGATAGCGAGAAAAAGAATGCAAGAAGCCAAATGAGCATGTTGCTTGCAGCAAGCACTGACCGCTCGTCTTCAAAGCTTTCCAGCAGATATTGCACGATACTGACGAGAACGACCAGCAGACTCGCAGCGAAAACTGCCATTGCCAGTAGCGGCACGAACCAGTGAATCTTGCTGCTTGTCGTCCAGCCCAGCATAAAAAGTGATACGCCAATCAGGACTAAAGCTGGTATTGAAGGTCTCAGGCGCCATTCCGGCGGTGGTGGCGAGGTTTTGGGTAAAGCTGTCTTGCGGCGAGCTGCAACTGAAGGTGCACGTGCTGGAGCGGGAGCAGCCAGAGTAGATGCAGACTCTAGGGACTTGATGGTAGCGCTGCGATGATGCTGGATGTCCCTAAAGTTGTTCTGGTTGGTCCATGTTGACATGCTCAGGTTTGTCGACGGCGAGGCGTGGAATGCAAGCGCTTCTGCGAGCACTCTGGCCAATTCGAATCGATCAAAGTTGATCTTCCATGCATCTAGAATGGTGCAAAAATGCTGAAACTCGAGATTCTGCTCGAGAACGAAGAGCAGGCGCTCGACTGAAATTTGCTTGTCGGCGTTGCAATCAATGCCGTTGAGGTAGGTCGCTGCAGCTTTAGCCATGGTGACGTTTCGGTGTCGATCGTCTTGAGGCTGTTCTTCGACTTTAGTCCTCAGGCTCGACATCCTCTTCAGTGAGTTCAATACAGAATTGGATCTGCCTAGCGCGGAAGGGGGGCGGTGATGTTGCTCTGCAGATCGGGGCAAGAGATCGAATATAGAGGCTCGCCTGCCTGGCGATGGAGGAGGATGACTGGAATGGCCTGGCGACTTTGGCATGGTATCGAAAACAGAGCCCCATGTGCTGACTGAGGCCGTGGAACGAGGCGCAAGCTTCGATAGTGTAGATTGTAATCGCCAAGGCTCGTGCGCTGAATAGAGCGATTTCTCGTCTTCACTGGCTGCCTCTTCTTTGAAACGGACGACCCATGGCTCGTAGTACCAGTGCTGATACGCAAGCAGGAGAGACAAGGCCAGCGCCACTCCGATCGACATACTCACGAACGAGAGCCCTTGAACGCCCGGCTTGAATTGGTGCGTCTTGCCCAACAACGTTGGGAATGCAATACAGATGTTGTACATTACGCCGAGATGGTACGCTCCATATGCGACTCCAGCTATAAGAACTGGCTCCAGAATAAGCATTCGCAGTGGAGCCAAGCAAATGGCATCGCAGTCTTCCTTGGACAGCGCGAACAGTTTCGCCGAGTCTTTTTTCCGGCGATTGATGGCTTCCTTTGCGGTCTCCTTCATGAGGGCCATGGGGATCATGCACACAACGATCAAGATGACGATGACATATTGTGTCCACTCGACTCCGCGCTCCTCAGCAGTATAGCCGCCGATGACTGGTCCGAGAGTAATGCCGAACAGTGTTGAAAATAGGTAAAGGGTCAGAGCCGATGATCGCTCACTTCCGTTCCAGATGTCGAAGATGGTCCCGAACCCAAGGTGCAGTAGCGGAGCGCAGAATAGCCCAGAGAAGAATCTGCATGCCAAAAAGCCCGCGACGCCGCTGACGATAGCCGTGGCAGTAACGAAAATGGCGAAAAGTGGGAGAGTCACCAGGTATACCAGTTTGCGACCAAGAGCTTCGCTGCCTAGATTGCTAAGTATGGGACCAAAGACGAGTCCGAAAAGGTAGAGAGATGTTGGTAGAGCAGCTTTCGCGCTTGCAGAGTCGGTGTGTATGGTTGGGTCTTGAGACGGGGTCAATATCGTCGATGCCAATGTGCATACAAACGCAATGAAGCCTAATCACAGTTAATGATGAAGCTCGGCGGAAAAGTCGTTTGTCTCTCAACTTACAAGCCACGGCAGTATGCATCCAACGCGTTTTTCTCGTCCAGTTCCTAGGGTTGCCGCCAAATATCTCCCAATGCAGCTCCGCGTGGATATCATGTTGTTTTGAAGCATGCTCGCTCATCGACTGCTCAGCTTTCAAGCTTTCATATGACCTTCCAATGGGGGGCGGAGGTGGTGCGCCTGGTTCCAGAAACTCTCTCTGTATCGGACTTGTAGGAGTCGTCAATGACCTGTTATGAGGCGCACTCATGCCTCTGGAATGTCTCCTCGCATCTTGTTGTAGGTGAGATGTCTCCGCGTGTGATAGTCTTGCCGTTATGTGCCCAAGGTCGTAAGATGATCGCTTCATGGACCTTTTCTTCCATGAGTCGCTGGGGAGCGCCGGATGTGGTTCTTCTGGTAGGTTCATGCTCATGTTCGAGTTGCGCGAAGATGAGGAAGATGCCTTGAAGTGATTGCTTTTGGCGGCGCTTGAGTTCGCGGTCAAGCTGCGCGTGGCTGATGAAGCTGCTGGCGCGACCTTCGCGTCGTTTCCTGTCATGTCTGCTGGGTAGTATCCTTTATCTGTCGATGTTCGTGGAGAATAATTGCGCTGACTGTCAGCTCATAGGCCTTCTTGCCGTCCCATTCCTCGTCGAAGCTATCTGTTCATGCATCCAACCTGACAAACGCGCAGAGAAGACGAGACGTCCAGCAGCAGCGCGCCAGACACTGCGCATATGTCGCTCGGGAGAACTTAACGGCATCCCTACCTTCCTCATGACGGCAGCAGAGCACTCCCGCAACAGCAAACCATGCGCGTGTAGTCCGATGGTCCAGGGATCTTCTACTCAGCGGCGCGTTGCAGCTTCCGTTCAAAGTCGCCTCACGCGCCAGAAACATGATTTGCGCTCCAATCGAAATCGCAATCTACGCACTTTAATTGAGGGCACGGTCGAGAAATGGCACGTTGAACCGGGATGCATGAGGCGACACGTGAAGTCAAAGTTGGCAAAGCAAGGTTGGGATGCGACGAAATTCTAAATTTCGATGCGCAAAATGAACAACCAGACGACCTGGTCTTGGCGTGATTTGAGCACGGCTGGCAAGATCTGTGAATAGATTGTGCTATGATATGGAACATGATAATACAAGGGAGTATTTGCAAGCCTTGCGATGGGCGAGGATTGTAGAGAGAAGATCGATCTTATTCTGTGAACGAGTTCTGGAGGTTGAAGTTCTCCGGAACGTGAAACCGTTGGCACCCGACGCTCGTTGACAGGTGCTGCAGCAACGGTCAGGCCAGCAAGGAGAAACAGTGGCAGTTCCAGAAGACACAGATTCGGACAATAAAATCGTTACATTGACACTCTCCTTGTCGTCGCTGCATCTTTGACACAGATGAGCTCTTCAGACGATGTCCAGAGCAGCCAATGAACATGCTCCATTGAGGCAACTCAGCATTCGAACCCACCAGATGCGTGTTTCGCAAGCTCGACGTGGCTGACACGAATGGCCGACACCAAAGTCTCTGCACCGACCGTTTCCTGTGATAATCGTTCCGCATGACAATGCCACCTAACCTTTCTTCAGCGCATCTTTCAACTTTGACCACGAAGCCTCCAAAGCCAGGCGATGCGACGACTTCTGGCCAACATTATCCTTCTTGTCAGTCTGCGTATCTCTATTCTTGTCAGCGGTGTCGAACACTTTGGCACGCTCTTGGTTGTAGTTGCGCAATTTGCCATCGGGATCCGGAAGTCGTTCGACAGGGTCCACCCAGAAGACATCGTTTTCTGCAGGGTATTGACTGCCCATAGCAGTGCCTGTGCGTGGCTGAGGAGCAGAGACGCCTGCTTGCGGCTCAAGGTGACTCTGTCGAAAGCTCTGGTCGATCGGAGCTGCCAACGGAGTGAGCCTGTTACTGGGTTGGTGGTGATATTGGCAATTCTGGCACTCTAATTTGGGAGCATCGGCAGGCAGCGGTAATGTTGTAGTTCTTGCACATGGTTCCCCGAGTTGATGTTGTTGAAGGTTTGACCTGCATCGCACAACCACATCGTTGCTGGCGAGACAGTGTGTGCACTGCCATCTGTAATATTGACACATGGTCAAGACTGGTGTCTAGATCGGAACTGCAATGCACATCAGTGCTAGAGGTGCCTGGAGGTTTAGTATTCATCGACCTATTGCTTGTTTGAACAATGCCGTCTAACATTCTTTCTTCTGCGTGAACGGACGAGACAACAGAAGAGCTGAAGGGAATCATGGAGCAGTGAATTTCTGACAAAAGACAATCGAAAGTAAGACAAGCGTTGCTCTTCGAAGACAAGGAGGCAGTGGACTCGTGCTGGCAAATTGAAAGAGTGAAACTGCCCTTTACCTCTCGATAGTCACGCGTAGAGGACTTCTGTGGCAGTGGAGCATCAGGTGGATTCGACAATTGCTCGCAGATCTATGCTTTATGCGCATGGCCAGGATGTTAGAGCAATGCTCAAAACATCGGGAGTAGTTCTTGAGCCTGGTGTCCCCGCGAGGACGATGTTCGGAGCAGTCAGGAGCGACCTATGCGGTCTTGCTAGATCTCCGTTGTGTTAACGCCGCTTCGACATGCCTTTCAACACGAGGCTGATTAGCAATGCGTCTTAGCTCTGTGACAATCGGACGGTGGCTGAGCGGGGCTCATCTCATCAGTCAGCCAGTGCGACACGAAGGTTGTGCCGGAAACTTGGTTTGTTGATGCTCTCGAGAGCATTTCTCGTCACCGGCGTGTCCCGACCATAGACTTGTTGCGTGGTGAACTGGGCGATGCCTGGAAAGTTTGACAAAAGCGCGAGTTTTCGTCGTGCAAGCACAGCGAAATACATCGGTTCGCGCGGGCACAATCGCCAGATTCGCCCGGTCGCGTGATATTTGGTTGTTCTTCTCGCACCGCCGGCCTCAGGATGTACGAGTGCCGCCCGTATCCATGCCGTGAAGTCGGATGCGAGGAGCTGGCAGCCGCGGGAGTTGTAGCTGTAGCTATCTTTGCTGTCGAAGTTGGTGCTAATAAATGTAGCTAACTAGAGCGGGAAGGTTCAATAAATTGGCGCAAGAACGAAGTAACTTGTTGCGTGCAGCTGCATGGCAGTCTCACGCACGAGGGTCAGTCAATCTCAAGGTGCTCTCGCAGTGCGCGTACGGCACTGCGGCGGAGCTGTGGGAATAGCTCGCTCGAACGGTCGGCAGTTGTGAAGAGTATCGTCGACCCACGCGAGTGCAGCGAGTTGATGAACTGGCGAAGTGTAGGCGAGAGAGGAGCCCAGTCCGAAGGATGCAGCGGGAGGCGTTTTGAGTTCACCAGCCAAGCTAGCGCAGACCACGGCCTCACGAGAAGTGGTCTAGACTGCGTTCCATAGAGTGCTGCAAACAGCACGAGGTCCCGACAACAAAGCAGGCGGCAGGGCGGAGGAGAGGTGTGAGGACGGCGGAGGCCAGTTGCGTGCGCTCGCGGAGCTTGGGCCGGGGCGGCGGCGCGTGTGCGAAGTGTTGCTTGCTCGTGCTGGCGACGGCGGGCTGGGATGCGATGCGATGGCGGCAGCGGGCGTCGAGGTCTCGACTCCCACTCTGCAAAACGTCCTGCCTGCGTGCCCGCGCTGAGCCGGGCACATATCTCGCGCAAGACAGGCCATGTCTTGCTTGTCACACATCTTGTGACAGCCGCTCGTTTGCCTTTCCCCACCGTGCTACACAGCAGCAGCAGCAGTGGTAAGTAAGCGCAGCGGCGAGGAGGCATATGCACTGCCCTCCCCCGGCGACTGAAGCCCATGGCCGTCCTGTTTGCTCCTGCCTCGCCCACCGTCTCCGCCCCCAATGTCCGCCGCAATCACACCGCCGCCCGCTCAGCTGCCGGGCTGATCAACGAGACCGCCATCGCCCTGCTGCCCAGCAGTGCGGATGACTTTGCGGGCGCGCAGGTGACAGTGCCAGACATGAACCTGCTCGCGGATGGTGCACCAACGAGTCCTGCACCGCGACCACCTCGACCAGCGACGGGCCTCCGCCTGCCTTCATTTGAGCTCTTGGGTATTGCCGCACCGCACCCGGATCGTTTTGGCAGCCTCGCCTTCCACGACCACGACCCTACGATGCCTGCCGCCCTCGACGGGCACCATGCGGGCGGACATGCAATGCTGCCTGACATGGACTCGCTGAAAATCGAATCTCCCTTAGCCGCATCGCCCACGAAGCCCAAACTTCCCCCGGGCCTCGTGCAAACGCCTTTTCGACACGATGTCGCTACTCTCACACCGCCCGCCGAAGCTGCTGAGCCTGCATGGCATCCTGCAATCCTCGCCCACCTCTCCGACTCGTCCATGGGATCGCGGCCTGTCGAGCCATGCCGCTTGACTTCAACACCGGTACGTCTTGCTGGGGAACGCCCTGTCGTCGTTGCTGCAGGTGGAGAGGCAGCGCCAGAGTCCAGCGAAAGCGTGCATCCAGCGAGTCATTCGCAGAGCCATAGCCCGACCGATGCAGATTCAACCTGGATTGACGGAGCTGTCAATGTGCTCGTCTCCAACGTCCGAAGCGCGCTCCTCCCGAACAACCCATTGCGAGTCCTCTCACACGCCTTGCCTGCGCCCTCGACCGGGCACACCTACACCAAAATCATTGAGCGAATTGGCGCCGTGACACCCTCCAATCCGCCCACGTGGATCAACGTCTTTCACGCCATACCTGGCAAGTTCAATCTGCCTGACATACCCACCTCTCCTCCAAGTACGCCTGGCCTGAATACTGAAGAGGACTACTTCACACAGAAGGTCTTTGCGAGTGCTGTGCCGATATCCGACTACCAAGATGACCTTTCCGCTCTCCCTCGATCTCCACGGCCCATTGTGCCACCATCCACTGTCAACCTTGCCATTGTAGAGCGCTACATTCCACCGACCTCTGTGAATGAGTTGAAAGAAATGTTCAGCCCCAACGGGCCATCGGTGAGTCACAATGAGGAACTGTATGTCCTGGATATTACACTGACAGGTCTGTGTGCAGCTTCTTGTCGATCGACTCGTTGAGCTTTCGCCCGCCGGTGGCTCGCTCGTCTTCATTTATCCCACAAAGGCCGGCGCAACAACCTTTATGAGGGAGTATCTCGGTCCCATTCTTGACCCTCTTCTACGAAGCACACAAGTCGTCAACGGCATTTCCGCGAACCTGAGTCAGGACTTGGGGACAATGGCGGCCGCGAAACAGTTGCAGGAGTTCGAGCAGATGCAGCAATCGGTGGAAACATTGTGCACCAGGCTCGCGCAGCGCGGTCGAGGCCGATTCGCGCCTATCTACGCATCAAAGGCCCAGGTCAAGATCGAGCGCGCAGCATGGGCGAAAGACTGGTGGCCGAAACAAGAGTATCCTAGAATCAAAGAGGCAGTTACTCGTGCAACACAGGAAGCGCAGAAAAAGCAAAGCAATCGATACATGGAAAGAGCTTCAACACCGACAGAACTCGTGTCGAGATTGATTGAAGGGGTGCAAAAGAATCGTTATCCGGTAGGCCAGGAGCCATCGAGCGGCATTGAAGTGAGCATATTTGTGATCCAGCGTTCAGCGTAGTGGGAATTTTCGGGAGAGCAAATCAATGGGAAATAATGAGACCAACGATTTTGGAGCGCGCCAGGCAGGAAAGAAAGGCTGGCAGAATGACACGGATGCGCGTGTGGGAGAGCAGTCTACTCTATACCCTTCTTACCATATTCTAATAGGCCAGCTATGTCAAGCCTTTGACGACATATAGCACAAAGCATCATTCTGTTTTGACTTGAGATCCTGCGCCACAACTTTCACCCGCCCGGCATTCTCCATGATGGAATGACCTGGAGAACTGCACGTGCGCACTCTTCCGAGCAACACAAGAGATTCGCCCGGATGCTGACGAACTTGTCGTGACACGACCAAAGCACGCAAGCACATCCTCACTAAGCAGCACCTCACTGATTGGTGCGCGTTCGGCAGCAAGTAGCCATGTACTCCGCATCTGAGAGGCTCGATGTTCCCTCGCCGGCAACAAGGCAATGACGTTGGCTTTCGGCATTGTGTCGAATGACAGATTCGCCTCGATTAGAAATGCAAGACCTAGGTCGTCTATAGTAGATATATATCCATGCTGCCGCTCTTGATGATCTGCTAGTTCTATTAGTCTCATTGAATCTTGCTCGACTTCAAGGCGCAGACAACACGTCCAGTCACGATCAATTGCAGTCCGACAGCGACTGAGAATACACAAACACTCAACCCCACCACATCCAACATGTCTACGCAGACGCAGACACAGCAGAAGTTTGCAGTCTCAGAAGACATTCCAGTTCCACGAGGCGAGGTTCAGTCAAAACTTGTCTTCTACGCACCACCCGAAGATGGTTCCGTACCTTTCAACTACATCGAGAAGCCTCCGGAGGGACTGCCTCAAGTAAGTATTTGAACATCGCACCTCTTTGAAGAAACCACAAAACTAACAACGTTCCCAGCGCAACTACGGCCAAGATGAACAATCCATCACGATCCAAGACATCCGCGGCCGCGAACACGAATTCGACATGAACAAAGGCGGCTTCGGCGTCCTCCAAAACATCTCGAGCGAAATGCAAAACTCTGACTTTTCCAACGACGACAAAATCCAACAAACTTACTACCCCGAAATTGAGAAACTCATCCTCGAAAAAGTCCCCGGCGCCAAACGCGTCTTCATCTTCGACCACACTGTCCGCCGCAGCGATCCCAACGCCCACCGCGCACCTGTCAACAGAGCGCATATCGACCAAACGACCAAATCTGCAAATATGCGTGTAGACTACCACATGGGCTCCGAAGCCGAAGAGCTCAAGAATGGTCGCGTGAGACTCATCAACGTCTGGCGACCACTTAATGGCCCCGTCGTCGCTTCACCTCTCGCATACGCAGACTCTCGATCTGTACCGGATGAAGATATTGTTCCTGTGGAACATCGATACCCGCATCGGACGGGCGAGACGGCGGGTGTGAAGTTTACGCCAAAGGGACAGTGGTATTATTGGAGTGGGATGGGGAATGATGAGAGGATTTTGTTGCAGTGTTATGATAGTCAGGATGGGGCGAGGACGCCGCATTCGGCGTTTGTGGATCCTAGGACTAAGAAGGAGTGGCCTGGGAGGGAGAGTATTGAGGTTAGGACTTTGGTTTTTGGGTGAGCTGGGAGAAGAGCTTGGGATGTTTTGAGGATGAGATATGAGTAGATGATTATATGAATGCATGTTATACGAAACGAGCCATTGCTTTTCTCATGACCCGAAGGATGTAGCTGATGCTGTGAGCTGTTAAACAAACGTACCTTTCCTCACTGTCGGCTACTCATCATTTCTCTCGTGTTTTCATGGCACGACTGGCACGCTCTTGCTCTGGGTTTGGATGCTGTGAGCTTGTTTGCTGTCAACAAAGAAACACCTGCAAAGACATGACTCTCGCCCGATTTTTCCAGATTGCAGCCCTGTACAACCTCGGCGTCTTGCAGATGACCAGCAGAGACCAGTCCAAGTAATACGGAGAGATGCATGAGCGCCGTGTGCCTGACCATTCCGAAAATAGGTTGCCGGGAAAGCCAACCCTCAAGCGTGCTGCGCGACGAGCGAGACACGGGCGATCCAGATGCCGCGCGCATCATTCTCCAATGTACCACAGCTCCATTCGCTCGCTCTCTCTCTTTGTAAACAAAGAAACCTTGACCACACCGTCTGCCGACATGTAGCTCACGGACATTGCTGCCTTTCTTTCTCGTTCGCTGCCACTCTTTACACAGCAGGTGACAAGTACACAGCATGGCAGCCGCTGTTCAGCCCGGTCTCATTGATCTGACGGGGAAGTCGCAAGCGGCGTTCCCAATCCGCTTAGGCGCTAGCATCGAGAAGCACTCCGACGCAACGCGTTTCGCCAGCATACGGTATAATCACAAACCGGGATTTAAGCAGACGGTGGAGGTGAAGGCTTCAATAGAGGAGGGTAGAGAAGGGAATGAGTTGGTATTGCGGGCAGAAGATGGGGAATATACATATCGTGGAAGCTATGGGCAAGATGAAGGGAACTTCGTGCTTGTGCTTCGAGGTGAAGGGAAGGAGAGGGAAATGGTGTTGGAGAGGCTAGATGGGGTACATTCGTTCAATTTGGTCAGCACACCGGGAGAAGATGATGCTGCGACATTGCAACAGAAACATCCACACCTCAGCGATGCGGTAGAAGCGGATGATTTGTTTGGCGACGAGGACGAAGACGCACCACCTGACGAAGCAAATCCTTTCGACTATCGACACTTCCTTAAAGCAGAACCTGAAAAGCCAGCGTCCTCGCAGCCTGCTGTCGAGACTAGTCGCAGCTCAGCAGGCACGCCTGTCGTCCGACCTGCTGCACGCAGCACACCCGCTGCACGAACAACGAAACCTGCTGCGAAAGCGAAAGCTGCACCGAAGCGCAAACCTGCCGCAGAGAAATCGAACCCGAAGCGTGTCAAAGCTGGTCAAGAGCCCACTGCTGCCGCTGAGCCCGAGCCGGAAGCTGAAAAGCCAGCGAAGGTCAGCAAAGCGAAACCAGATGTCCCGAAGCTGCGTGTCGATCGCAAGGCATCTATGCGCAGACCATCAATGGACGACTCTGGCGAGCTCATTCTGGAGAACGAGACACCGGTCACGGAGAAGCCTCCGAAGGCTGGAGGTGCAATGGCTTGGGCATTAAACGGTGCGCTTTCGACTGGTCCTATCAGTCTCGCTTCAGCAGCGAGCAGTCCCGGTCTTGCAGCTTCTGCGCCTGAGCGAGAAGTCGAAGAGCCTCAGGAGTACGAGTTTGACTTTGGTGATGGTAGTGAGGCAGAGGATGAGCAGGATAACAGTGAACTTGTGCTGGAGAATGCTGCAGACGACAATGATGACGGCGGAGAATTAGTGCTCGAGGACGATGACGCGGATATCGACGAACATCTGGAGTTGCCCTCGCCGGCGCAGAATCATCATCGGCCGAGCTCGAGCGTGGCTCCAGTGCCGGCAGGAGAGGAAGAAGACGATGATATGGAGAAACAGCTTGCGCTTGCGATGGCGGCTGATGATGACGAGGAGGAGAGTGAAGAGGAGTGAGGCTTGGAATTTGCCAATCTTTGGCATCATGCTTGCGACAAATCTTCGCCGCCAAAGAGGCACTTTTCGCTGTTCTCCTTGGTCATCGCGCAGTACTGCGACGATGCCGTGCGTCTCATGGCGCATGCTGCGACCATCTGCGCGAAGGACCCAAGTCCATTCATCGCCCGGCCGCTGTCATCAACAGCACCCAACTCCAGCATCATCCTCGCTGAGCTGAGCAATCACTCAGAGAAACACCTGCTGAGTACGATTGCCCTGGCCTTGGGTGTACGGCTCAGGCAACGTGCCGTGGAGGTGAGATGTTGGAAGAGGCCACTACGCAACGTCTGTGGGCAATCTACAGGAAGCAAATGCCTCGCGCGTACGAGACTGAACTTTCTCCAAATTCCTGGCACAATACCAATTACTCGCAATCGGTGTGCTTTGGCGGCACCCCGAGTATGGTAAGAGATGAGTGGAACTTTGCTCCTGGTTTATATTTCCCCTTGGATTTGTCTGATCGGCAATTTGCACCCGAAGGCTGCAAGGCACGATGGATTTGGCTTGCCTTCACGCTCCCGGAAGTTGGAACGCCCAGTTTGCGAGCTGAAAGAGGGCATGCTGTGCTAAATTGCGTGAAGAGCAGCCGATGCATCGATGGTTATTTTTCGACGATGCTCCATACCGTTGGTCGAAGTGCTGTCTGTTTTCTGCGCAAAGGACGCCATGCATCTCATTGCAGCTTCGGCTGTTTCCAGAATGTATCGACTTCGAACATACGACGTCTACCGAAGGCGGGTTGCCCATTTATTCATCTGCCATTGATGATTTTGAAAGCGGATGTCACAGATTATGATTTGGGTAGCAGCATCTCACAAGATCCACTGAAACTTGAAGCTGGAGCTGCGGAGGAAATCTCGATAGATCTATCTCTCCATATTCACTATCAACGCTGCGATCTGTCACTCATCAACCTTCTATTTGCTCAGGACCTATATATACTTTCTCTCCTCAAGCTCTATGAAATGACCCCTCCTCATTTGTCAGCAGATGTTGATCCGAAATGTTTAACCTTGGTAATGCTAGAGACTGAGGTGAGATTCTCAAATGCTTACAGCAAGATGGCGCGAGGAAGAAGATGCTCAACACTCACCTTTGAGAAGCCCAGAAACACCTGACTTCTGTAACAACAACAGCAATAGCAGCAACAATCACCAACAAATCCTATTTCATCATGGCTACAATGCGAGCTATAGGTATGTCACAAAGTTTCGATTTTCTCACGTCGTTCCAATGCCAGCATCATGTCATGGATGGTGTTACATGAACCGAAATACTGACACTCATTACCAGATATCAAAAATGGCACAGGACCCGCCTCCTCCCTCTTCATCAACCCTTCTATCCCGAAACCCATCCCAAAAAGTACAGAATGTCTTGTCAAGATCAAAGCTTTTGGCTTGAATCGTGCAGACACCGTACAGCGTGAAGGTGGGTATCCTGCTCCTGCTGGGGCTTCGAAGATTTTGGGGTTAGAATTTAGTGGGGTTATTGAGGAAGTTGGTGTTGAAGCTGCGAAGGGAAAGGAAGGATGGAAAGTGGGAGATGAAGTTTTTGGATTGGTTTATGGGGGCGCTTATGCGGAGTTTGTGGTTGTTGATGAGGGGATGCTGGTGAGGAAGCCGAGGGAGATGGGGTGGGAGGGGGCGGCGGGGGTTGTGGAGGTGAGTATTTTGTTTTATTCTTCTTCTTCTTCTTTCCTGTGGACTTGGAGATCTTCGGGAGAAAATCATGCGTTTTGGTGCTGATATGTTGTTGAAATCTTCTAGGTCTGGATGACAGCCCTCCAAGCCCTTCGTCTCGTAGGAGAGTACTCTCCTGAAAAAGTCAAAAGTATTCTGTGGCATGCGGGCGCTTCGGCTGTGAGTATTGCGGGGATCCAACAGTCCTTGCAATTGGATCCGAATATTCGAGTGTATGCTACGACGAGACAGGATGCGAAGTGTGAGTATGTGGTGAAGGAGATTGGAGCGCATGCGGCTGTTAATGCGACCAAGTCGTATGCAAAGGCAGATGGCAGTGAGGGTGGCACATGGGCGGATGAGGTGAAGAGATTGAATGGTGGGAAAGGTGTGGATTTGGTGATTGATTATGTTGGAGCTCCGTATTTTGCTGCGAATCTGGATGTTTTGGCATTGGATGGGCGGGTTGTGATGTTGGGGCTTTTGGGGGGTACGGTGTTGGATGAGAAGACGGATATTCGAGCTTTCTTGATGAAGAGGGCGACTGTCGTGGGTTCTACGTTGAGGAGTCGGGACTTGAAATATCAGGGTAGACTGAGAGATTTGTTTGTGGAAGAGGTTTTGCCGAAGTTGGTGTCAGGTGTGTACAAGTCGCCCATCGACAAGGTGCTGAGCTGGAAGGATATTCAGGAAGCTCATGAGATGTTGGAAGGGAACAAGACGAAGGGGAAGCTGGTTTGTGTTGTTGACTAGATGGTCGTTCTCGAAGTCAGTGATAGCAGTCGTTGATACAGCCCGGTTATGTCATGCTGCCAGACACAGCAGACAGAGGATGAGGTCGGATGCCGGCAGGACTCTGGAACACGTCTCTCGTCAGGCCATCCTGGTTACCGCTAGTTACTGTGCCGTCAAAATGTCTTCAATGTGTTCAGTGTGTATTGAGCAGAAACAGTGAGAGTAATCCACAACCAGTCGTCGTCAGCGAGGGAGGCATGTTTCTTGGGCGTCTTGTATCAGCATCTGGCGAGTACGTATACGAGAGGCCGGATCCTGCATGCACTGTACATGTACGCGTAGTCGTCGCAGCAGCCAAGACCCGTCAAGGCAAGATCCACGGTTTATTGACGTGTGTGGACTACAGGGGATGGGGTCTCTTGACGCGATTGACGTCCCGCCGCCCACCCTCCACCGCGTCACTCCGCGCCGCCGTAATGGCAAAGATCGCAGGGCAGCACATTGCGAGCATCATCAGGAGAAGTTTTGCGTGGCTCGCGTGTGTACCTGCGCAGGTGAGCGGATACTATTTGCAGACAAACAGTTGGGGCAGATCTCTCCACGAAAAGGGCACAAGCGCGGCGGCGATCGCCAACGCGGCCGGCCTTGTTTGGCGTGCAGCCAATCCGCGCGTGCTGGCAGAGGTTTCATTCCGGGCTCCAGCACAGCCCCCATCGTGTCAGTCACGATACGACGCCCAGCGAGCGACGGCGCAGGTCAGAAAGGGGAGCGAAAACTTGGTGTGCAGCACGTCGTCTTCTCATCGTCAACACACCATCAACACCATCAACACCACCACCACCACCTGCAACATCCCATACACTCGTTTTTGCGGGGTCGCCAGCCATTTGTGTTCAGTGCAGCAGAAGCGTGGCGAGAGCAGCCAGCCGAGGACTCGTCATTTAGCACACGGGCCCCGTGTCTGCCGGGCGAAGATCGAACAACAAGCGCCGCCGCGGACCTCGAACCTCCTCGCCGCCACGACGCACCTCCTGCCTCCACGGCAACCTGACCACCACCACACGCTGCTTCCCCATCATCTACCACAGTCGCTCGCTTTGTTGCCTGCGTGACGGTAGTTGCGACCTCGACCCGACTCCGCACCCACCTCACCTCACCGCGTCGCCTCCGCGTCTGACGCCGCTTCCACTCGCTCATTGCGCCCGGACTGTCCGGAGCGGAAACCTGCTCGACCTGCGACCGCAACTCCACCCACAATACCCCCAACATGAGGCTGTCCTTCGCATCGATAGCCTCGGCCCTGCTCGCCGTCACGCCCTTCGTCCACGCCGAAGAGCGCATGCTCACGAGTACCTCGTTGAACCCCTGTCAGGCCGACAGCAAGTTCTCCGCCACCCTCTTCGATGTCATCTTCACACCACACAACCGCAGTTTGGCCTTTGACGTGGTCGGCGTCAGTAGTATTACCGGCAACGTGACCATTGAGCTGCTGGTCCTGGCATATGGACTGCAGGTTTACAAAACCACCATCAACCCTTGCGACTCCGACCTTCAGGGTCTTTGCCCCATGAACGCTGGCCAGATCACACTCAACAGTAACGCGGAGATTCCGGCAGAGTCTCTGGCGCAGGTGCCAGGCATCGCATACACCGTGCCAGATCTGGACGCGCGAGTGCAGGTGTACTTCAATCAGACCAACACCGCTACATCCGCCGCTTGTGTCGAAGCAGAATTGTCCAATGGAAAGACGGTCAATCAGAAAGGTGTCGCGTGGACAGTGGCATGCCTGGCAGGTCTGGCACTTGTCGCGTCAGCCATCACATCCGGTCTGGGACACTCGAACACCGCAGCACACGTTGCTGCCAACGCCATGGCTTTGTTCGGCTACTTCCAGGCGCAAGCAATGATTGGCATGACTGCCGTGAACCTGCCCCCAATCGTCGCTTCTTGGACACAGAACTTTCAATGGAGCATGGGTGTCATCCGCGTCGGCTTCTTGCAGACATTGGCCACATGGTATCAGCGCGCCACCGGTGGAACTCCATCGACAGTGCTATCGAACCTGAGCTCCGCATCTGTGCGCGTCGAGAAGCGTAGCTTGCAGGATTACACTCAGCTCGCCTCTCGCGCTGTCAGCGCACTGCACAAGACGCTCACGAAGCGATCGAACGCTGGCTCCGCCTTCACCGATTCGTCGACCACGGTTACTGTCCGCGGTATTGAGCGTGTTGGCTTCACAGCCGGCATCGAGAGAACCAACATCTTCATGACGGGATATGTCTTCTTCCTCATTTTCGTCATCTTTGTCATTCTCGGAGTCTGCATCTTCAAGGGCATCTGCGAGCTGCTTGTTCGAGCTGGCCGCATGAAGGGCGAGAAGTTCCAGGACTTTAGGAACGGCTGGACGACTGTGCTCAAGGGCATCATGTTCCGTATTGTGCTCATTGGCTACCCACAAATGGTCGTCTTGTGCTTGTGGGAGTTCACCCGCAAGGACTCGCCAGCCATCGTCGTTCTGGCTGTCTTTACCCTCTTCAGCATGCTCGCCATCCTCGGCTGGGCATCGAGCAAGGTCATCCGACTGGCACGCCGCTCCATCGCCATGCACAAGAACCCCGCCTACATCCTCTACTCGGATCCAGTATCATTGAACAAGTGGGGCTTCCTCTACGTCCAGTTCAAGGCTACTGCGTACTTCTTCATCGTACCTTTCCTGGTCTACATCCTCATCAAGGGACTCTTCATTGGTGTTGTCCAGGGCAGCGGAGCCGTCCAGGCCGTCGCATTGGTCATCATCGAAGCTTTCTACCTGATCGCAGTCTGTGTGCTGCGCCCATTCATGGACAAGAAGACCAACGCTTTCAACATCTCGATCTGTGTCATCAACTTCTTGAGCGCCATCTTCCTGCTCGTCTTCTCTGACGTATTCGGCCAACCGGTAAGCGGTCTGTTGTTCCAAACTGTAAGAGCGAAACTAACAACTGAATAGGGTATCGTCACTGGTGTCATGGGTGTGATTTTCTTCGTCTACAATGCTGCCTTCTCTTTGATCCTGTTGATCATCGTACTGGTTGCATCTATCATTGCCGTCTCATCCAAGAACCCTGATACCCGGTACCAGCCGATGCGTGACGACCGTGGAAGCTTCATCAAGTCGCAGTCCGCGCTCAACACTGAGCTTGACGCATTGGGAGCTACTGCCCGAGGCGAGGACAAGCACGGCTACACCAACAAGGCTGCGCGCATCGAAGATGATGATGACAGCTGGTCCGGCGGTAGCGCCAGTCGGAAAGAAGGTGAGGCAGGTGGCTACGGTTACGCACAACCGCCTCGCAGCCCCATGGCTCCAGCAGCACCCTACGCCGGGAGCGATAACGGCAGCCAGAGGCATCTTCCCCCATATGACCGAAGCACAAATGCCAGTCCGTTTCATGGCCAACAGCAAGCCAACCGTTTTCGTCAGCAAGGAGCAGGAAGTCCCAGTCCTTGGCAAAGAGGAGCTGGCTACGACTAGAGGAGAGGACAAACCTTACCGACCACCTTTGTTTAGCGAAACGTCCAAAGAGACAGTGGACACGGCCATATTAACGATACCTGATTTTGTGAAGCACCAGCCTCCCAGCTACCTGATACATTGGTCTCACCAGGAGCAGAAGCACAGAGCCTCGGTCGACACGGTGGATAAGGTCATGGATCTGTATTATCGATCTCGATCTCCTTCGCCGTACCGCGACAAGATATGAATTAGCGCTTCTCTGCCTCGAACACACACTATTATCACGCACAAATATAGACACGTCTGGCTCTTGCGTCCGGAGCGCGCCCACGATCAGTCAGGCTTTTTACGAATTTTCCAAAACTCTCATTGTTTTTCCCCTTTTTTGGAATGGTCAGTGGAATTGGTCTATGGACCTGGAAGCGCGTAGGAATGGAAAGGACTCTGTACATAGTGAAGAGAAACTGGAGAGATAACACAAAAGACAGCTATTCATGCTACTGCTACTGCCGCGAAACTTGCATTGGGAAAATAGGCTTACTACAAACAAACAATTAGTATTAGTACTGCTGCGGGCACTGCGGGCTGATGAAGATCGATCAGGGCTTTTTATTGTTATTTATGATGCGACAGATGCGATGAGAGGTGAGGAGAGGTAGAACAATTACAACAACTATCGTTACAACTCATTATGAGGACTCCCGCTCATTTCCCTTGGTCGTGGATTCTTGTTTGGAAGAAATGTCATGGTCCAAAGGGAAATGTGTTTTTGGCCGGTTGAGCTGACCATTTTCGATGCGCACTGGGGTATAGAAGGCTAAGGGCGCAAGAGCTAAAGGTCAACTCGATGTTTTGCTTTCGGTTTTGGCTGATGAGGATGAGAAAGTTGAGGACAGAGGTCTTTAATTTCAATGAAAGATTTCCATGTATATATAGAGATAATGACAATCCAGAAAGGAGTTTGTGGTTGGTTGCGAAGCAGTTGTCGGGTCGGTTTGGTTGCTGTGGGGAGAGATGAGGATGATTGGAGGTGTAGGTAATGCGAAACGGTGCTTGAGAGAGGGATTCAGATTTGTGGGCGATTGTTGATTCGGTTTGGTAGGTCGTCCTCGAGGAATTGGGCAGCGTTTGATACGGTATAGTCGATTCTGGTACGATGGTTACAGCAGGTGGACCTGTAAGAAAAAGTAGGGAAATACTTGGGGTTGTGAGGGCAAATAGTGCTATTGGTGGAAGCGATTGTTGTTCTGGAGCGATAATATTAATATGGTATGGGTGGTTCGATAAGAATAAGACTTTTCTTGCGGATATCTCTTGATCTTCTCGTATTCATGAAAGAGCAATTCAGAGATTAGCTATACTCTTCTTGCCTCTACGAGCTTTGGTTTTGGGCCGAACTTCTGTTTATTCACTTTCCCGAGGAAGACGTTCGAGTCTACTTCATCTGTACTTTCAAGCTGACTATTACTATAAGAATGCAGCCTTACAGGCATTCTCAGCAGACTCTGAAGATCCGTTTCTGTTGTTGAAGTAGATAATAGGAAGCATATATTTCTTCTGATATATCGAAGCGGTCTTTCGAAAGCCATGTATACCCCCTACCTTTCTTGGTTTCTTTCTAGTAGAGATAAGCTCTACTTTATTGATAGAAAACGAAGCGGACTCGATTCACCTTGCTCAGTCAGATCACCTCTGTGTAGTAGTACTCATCTCATGCTTCCTAACGGTCTAGAGTCCCGAACCCCAGCTTCTCATCTTGCTAGTAAGCGTGGGGTGCCTCAATTAGAACAGAGACGGCAGGCTTTCAATTGCCTTCCTTAATATGTTGTGAGGAGCCTCTTTACTATTCTCTGTAATGCTTAATGTCTCGATCTCCCCGCATATTGCTGAGCTTGGATTAGTTGCTTTCGAGAGAGATCCACAGTAGGTAGTGAACTCATCTGTTCATGTAGCCCAAATATCCCTAGAACATTCACTATCTTCTGCTAGTCGACTGAGCTCGAGTCTTCACCTATTGAAACCTGAAACAGCTTTGAAGTACCATCTGGGTTTAGAAGCGAAGGTCGTGAATTCAGCTACATTCCCAGTGCCTTTAATTCACTATAGGTCGAGTCATTGAATGGCTATATAACAAATTGCTAAGCCATAATTCGAGTCTCCATACCTTCAATAAATTCAGAACTAGTCGCTATCACTGTCCTCGTCGCTGCTTTCATCACTGCTCTTAGATCGCCTCGCTTGTCCCCTGCCTGCCTCTGCACGTTTCGACTGAATGTCGGTGTATTTTGCCGGCTTTCCGAACTTCTTATCCAATACAGCTGTGTCGAACAGCGGTGGAAGTTCCTTCGTGGGCAAAGGCTTCTTTTTCTTTGGCGCTGGTGAGTTACTCTCATCTGAGCTACTGTCTGAGCTGTCGTCGGAGGAAGACGAATCAGACTCTGAGGAGGAAGACACCTCTGTGCGTGATTTCCGCTTCCTCTTTCGCTTTGCACCCGTTTCGCCATTTCCGTGGTTCAGCGTCACTTCTGTGGTCGTGGATTGCCCCGGTGCCGTCTTCTGAATCTCCACTACTCTTGTGGCGCGAGGGATAGTCGTGGATGTTGCTGAGAATCCCGTGCTGGTGTTTGATGAAGGGGTGCTGCTTTTATCTGTCACCAGTTCGTTGGACAGCGCCTCCTTGAGGAACAGCTCTGCGCGCTTCCCTCGCTCGTGCTCGCGCAGTATTTCCCGCAATTGTTCATCTCCGTACTGAGTCCGTCCAGATCCAGACTCTTGGTACCTGTTGATGGACGCCTGTAGAGCCTCGTAGTAGGCTAGGCGTCTCTCTGCTGGCGAGTCCAACGACATTTGATCCGCGTTGTCGTTTTCACCTACCCAGATCGCTTTAAGTATTTCTTCCGACTGCTCTGCAAGTCGTCTTCGCGCTTGACCCTGGCTGGTGGATATGTACTCCACTAGGCTAGAGCTGTATTTGGACGGTATGCGATTGATATCGAACAGATGTTTGAACAGGTCGTTCTGCCTGTTCTTGCTGAATTTCCAGTTCGACTTGTCGTTCGCAAACTGCTCCAGATACTTCAGATAGCTCGGCACTTCTCCGCTTCCTGATGGCTCGACTGTGCTGGAATCGGCAGCTTCCTTCGCCTTCTTCTTCGCCTTCTTCGGCTTGGGTTGCTTCGCCGCAGCTGATGGCGACGCAGGTTGTTCTGTGGACTCCTTAACAGCACTTTCCGCAGGGTCCTCTGAAGAGGACCAGGCCTTGAAGAGGTTCTGTGCTGAGAAGCTGTCTTCTTGCTTCGTGTCAGGTGTAAATGATACAGACTTGCGCGAAGTGGTCGGTGGAGGATCCTTGGGCGGAGTCGGAGGGTCTTGTGCTTGCTGGGCAGTCCTACGCATGTGTTAGTCACCGTCCACTCTCATTCACGCTTTTCAGCTTCCGACTAGCATGTGGCTAGTTGAATGGCAGGGAATATGGCACATGAGAGGAAATACTGGCATAGCTCGAATAGTGTTGACACGACTTCTGCGCCAATACTTCCAGCGTGTCGCCGAGCGTGGTAGCTTGCTAGTATTTTTTTTATCGGACCTCGAATGGGGTATCGTTGTCGCCACTTACTCCTCGTCGTCGCCGAACACTATGCGCTTTGCTGCTTGACCAGGGGCTTTGAAGACACCTTTGGGCCCAGGTAAACTCGAACGTTCGTCTTCTTCCCACACCTGTTGACCCGCGGTCTTGGTTTTCGGTGCGCTACCAGGAAATGGTTTTTGCTGGCCTGAAGACTTCGATTTCTCGACCTTGGTTCGTTTGGCGGGCGTAGAACTGTGATCGGGTTCCAGTGCGCGCTTCTGACTGTTCACGGGTGGAGCGGCAGGCATATGATCTGGAGCACCGCTTCTCGTCACTGATGGGTTGGATGCATATTGGTCTCCGGCCTCCGCTTGAGCTGGGTTGTCCTTTGCATATTTGAGCTTCAGTCCGAGACGCTTCCACGCCGGTACACGGGCTGTTTCGGCTTGTGCGGATGCAGCCATGACAGATCGGTGTAGCAAACGGTGCACATGAAGTGAGTTGACAGTTGCATGTGAAGGAAGGTGGTTGAACTTTTTTGGGCGGATGCCTCAGGCTGCAAGAACAGCTCGACACGAAGCTGGGGCGCGTCGTCACGACACAGCTGCCTCTGGATGAACGCTGCACTCCATCCGACACATTCAACGCCGCTCTTCCGTCCTCCCCCAGCCGTCCAACTCGATACACGAATAACATCGACTGAGAGTGCAAGTTGAAGCTCCGACCATCACGACATAAACCACCGGCGCCATGTCTGGTATGCAGAGCTCAAGCCATGGCCATCGGTAGCTGCGCTGACCGTCCATGTCTATCACAGGAAGCGCGGGTTTCGACCGACACATTACCATCTTCAGCGATCAAGGGCGTCTCTATCAAGTCGGTGTGTAGTACCATGCGTCCCGGTGCGGTTGGGCTGAGGAGAAGACACAATTGCTGATTGGCGGCAAACACAGAATATGCATTCAAGGCCATTACCGCTGCCAACATCACATCCGTGGGTGTGCGAGGAAAGGACTGTGCTGTGGTAATCTCGCAGAAGAAGGTGCCGGTATGTTGTGGACAACTTGGGCGCAGAGCAAGAGGTGTGGTGGCTGATCAGGATGCGCAACCAGGACAAGCTCATCGACCCTTCGTCCGTCTCATACGTCTACAAGCTTTCGCCGTCAGTAGGATGCGTCATGACAGGGTCAATAGCAGATGCGCGCGCATCGGTGAACCGTGCAAGAGGCGAGGCTGCTGAGTTCCGATACAAGAATGGCTACGAGATGCCGTGTGATGTGCTGGCCAAGCGCATTGCCAACATCTCGCAGGTCTACACGCAGAGAGTGAGTACACAAGTAGCAGCTGAAGCGGTGAGCAGTGCTGATGATGGAAATAGGCATACATGAGACCCTTGGGTGTTGCGACGACACTCATCTCAGTGGACGAGGAATTCGGACCACAGCTATACAAATGCGACCCTGCAGGCTATTACGTCGGATACAAGGCCACCGCATCGGGACCCAAGGCGCAAGAAGCGCTAAACTTTCTGGAGAAGAAGCTCAAGAACAAGGAGCATGCTGATGGCAGCTGGGACGAAGTCGTGGAACTTGCCATCACCACTTTGAGCACCGTGCTCAGCGTGGACTTCAAGAAGGGCGAATTGGAGATTGGTATTGTTGGTGGTCCAAGAAAAGACGGCAAGGAGGGCACAGACAAGGCATTCCGTCCACTTACGGAGGACGAAATCGATGAACGCCTGCAAGCGATCGCGGAGAAGGATTGAGCGTGACCCGCTTCAGCCCTGTCCCTGGCATGACATCTGCGCGTGGTGTAACGTCAGAATGGTCGTTGTTGCGATATGCTGGCGGGTGGTGCTCTTTCAGAGCTGCGCGAGTTCGTCACTTCGCGCACTCCGGCACTAGCGAGCTCAGAGAGTCGCGTGGGGATTGGTCCGACCCAAGACGAGCTCACGTTTTCTTGAACCTTGTACCGCGTGCTTGCTAGCTGCAGCTTTACACAGCTCCGCAAGGTTCACTACTACTGCAGACACGATTGCGCTTGAGGCGCTGTACTATACCAACTTGTTCACCACGTCCTTGATACCAGCCAAACAGAGTCCAGCTTCGGTTCCTTTCGCTTCGGCTAGCAGCCGCGTGTCCTCCATCAGACCGCCCACAGTCCCGCCATTTGCTCGCTTTGGCAACGAGCTCTACCATGCACGTTGCAGGTTGGCATGCAGACGACAGGTCTTAGCGATGGCACATGGATGGTCTGGCCAGCTGATCAGGCCAATGGTGATCGACACGCGCGAGAAGAGCCGCATCTTAAATGGAGGTGTTCGCCCGTTTGGGCGAAGTCCTTCGACTACGCCTCAAGATGGCTTGAACAGAGGCTGCCTGAGCTCCCCCGGCCAACTCTCTCTCGGCCCTATGAAGCCACATTGACGTATGGCGTTCTAAGCTAGGTAGCTCCACCGCACTGTTCTTGACGTTGTCATGCTAGCGGTATGCATAGACACACCTCCATTCTGAAGTCAATGATGCCGTGTTTTAGGGGACTCTGACACCGCGGACCACGTTCCTAACCTTGCAGAGAAGCGGTCGTTGGCCCATGATCTCTCCTGTACGCTTCCGTAGCGCAGCAAGCGCAGCAAGCCACGATACTACGAACCCCTCGAATATGCTGATACCAAGCGCACGAACAAGCATGTCTTTCTCCTCTTCACTAAATATGGTATACTGCGCGATGTCTTCATATAATGTCCTATTGCCCTACGGCATGGCTGATGTCGCCACCACATTGATCACCAAAGCAGTCTTTGCACGAAGCCACAATACTACTGATGCAGTATCAGCGAAACGTTACAGCAAAAAAGCAGAAAGTGGTCTTTGCTTCTCTTCACATCATGGCAGACGGACGTGAGTCTCCGGAACCATCGCTCGTCAAACACAACAGTACCAATACTAGGACGAACAACGTAACTGATGCTAGTTTCAACAAACAGTAAACACAGCACGAGCAATGCGAATAGGCGAGCTCATGACCGATTTTCGCACCTCTCAACAATTCATGTCATCTATCCGAGTCAGTCCTTCAGCAGAAGACTACAATGAAGAAGGCTTCCGTGTTCTACGACACTGTGTAGCTGAATCCCATCAAATGCTACAACAAGGCTTCGAGAGCATGAAGCAAGAAGACAACGAGGAAGCTGCAAAACAACAACTCAGAAGGTGAGTAATCGCTACTTATTTGGATCGTACATACTGGACAATAGGCACAATCAAGAAGCTAACATAATTGAACTGTAGGATACTAGCCGACGCCGCAACAAAACGCTTCCACGTCTACAAATTATACTTACAAGCACAAGCTGCAATTCGGTGGGCTTCATACAGGCAAAAGATTCTACAAGGCCAAAGACCGCATGCCGGACATGCACAGGCTCTTGCACAATTGCAGGCGAATTTAAGACAAGAACTTCTTTCTTTATCGGATCAGAGAGTTGCAGCTTTGCTAAGACACGCGGACTTACAAGAAAGGAAGTGGATTGCTGAGGATCCAAGTGTAGATGAGATGGTGAGGTGGAGGATGATGTGATGGAATAGCATCTCCTCAGCCTTCTCCCAAACAAGACATGCTGCAGGAGAAAGAGATGTTGCTTCTGGAAAGCAACACGCTCTCCTCTCCAAGGCAATTCTCAGTGGCAAAAGATGATTTCTGGTTTCCATTGCAGGGAATCTAGGATCGAATCATCAGTCTTCACCGCACAAAGACTGAAAACCAGGGCTACCGGACAAGCAGGACTTACCGAACCCTGATCTATCGAGTTCTTCTGCTGGATGCTGAGAATCGATAATGCTGAACCGTTACACCACAATGGATTCGGCTTGGACTGATGAGAGGGCAATGCGGAGGGGCAATATGTATGTTGATTGAAAGAGATGGAAGGCGCGAAAGAGTGATGTGATCGATTTTGATGTGAAGTGAGCGTTAGAGCGAGCAAGCGAGTGATTGAGAGCTTATTCTGATTGAAGAAATATATCTGCGCTGGACGTGATTGAAGCAAATGTACTTATTAAGAGCATCGCGAACTGTTCATCAAAGCTATTCTTACATTCAGAAGCCGTTACTGTCAAAATGCGTTGCTTGCGCACAGGATATCTACCAAAAGCCGAACCAGAATTCCCAACTCCATGAAACCAGCCTCGTCCAGCCAAACCCAAAAACCCAACATCTGACTTCTCTCTGAACATTTACAACATTGAACACATCTGCCCTTGAATCGATCAACTAGTAAGTCGAGGTATACCTATAGCCCCCACTGCCACTCCCACCCTCCCTTCTCCCTCCATTCCCACTCCTCTTCGGAATGTCCGCCTTGTGCACTTCTCTCATATGATCCACCATCTTATCTTTCCTTCCAAAACCGTAATTACCTTTTCGATGACAGCCTTGCCATAGACAATCGTACATGGGAGCAGAGCTGCCTGGAGCAGGATGCATAGCGCGATAGTGTCGTTCGAGATCGGCTTTGCGGCCGGCGGCGTAGGTGCAGTTTGGCATGAGGCAGCAGTATTCGATTCTGAGTGAAGAAAGTTAGGAGATGCGAATGAAGCGGGCAGGAGAGATGTTGCGGACTTACGGAATTTGCAAGGGGACTTGAGGACGAGGTGTTGTGGGGGATTGGTAGGTGTATGATGGCGAGGGGTAGTAGGATTGTTGTTGGTAGGGTGGTGAGGGTGAGTCGTAGTAAGTCGAAGCTGGTGAGGATGAGAGTGGTGAAGTTGGTGTTGTTGGGTAGCCATATGGCGCGATAGGTCGCGTTGTGTAGTAGGAGGAGCCGGACATCTGTCAAGAGGAAATATCAGGACTTCTGCTCCTGGAAAATATGCTACAGCTGATGTTTCGTAGACCTACGGTGACGACTTTGTGATCGTTAGGCCTGATCTGGCGAAAGCTCTTCCTTCTCGCAATACGTGGGTAAGGTGCAGGATGATCTATCACAGACTCAAGATCAAGTGCCTTATCGAAGAGACCGGCGAGCTTGTCGAAGATTGATGGCGATGATGAGTTGTAGTAGTTGGCTTTGCTCATTACAGGTTTGATGCTTCACGATATATAGATGCGTTACACGCATAGCGACGATGCTGTACTTATCATGTCAGATACCTTGAGGCCGCATGTGGCCTTCGGGAGCCTTCGTGAGGCCGTCAGTCACTTCTCACAAGCATCATTCGGAAGTGAGATGGAGGCGGCACTCTGCACTGCCTTCGTGAAATAGTGAGGCAGACCAGGATTGCTGGTTTTGGTAGTCCGAGCCCGTTCGCAGTAGTTCGCATGAGGTTGACATTGAAAACACTGCCGCGGTAAGGAGTCCGTCAGCATGACAGCCATTAGAAATAAAGGGCTGTATGAATGACGGGAGGCAGCGAGAACAGAAATTCTTGCTTCGAACAGGATATCAAACCCGGGACTGCCTTCCTCGAGCGAAGGCAACATGCACATGACTGTTCACTTGGTAGTTCGCAGCAGCAGGCCGCTTCCTCGGTCTGCCCTTCGATGAGCAGGATCCTTGTCGAAAACTGGGCTGAGTTCTAGACTGTGACACCTGATCCGTGGCCTCGTGCGACAACCGAAGGCTCTGCGAGGACGATATGACATGGCCATCCCAGTCGTGACTCACGAAGCCTTCCCGAACAAGGCTGAGTTGGAGGAAGTGGTTGCCTTCACGTCTCGAGCATGGGTGCTGTAGTCGGGATAATTGAGTGGCCTCAGGCATCAGTACCGCAATAAGGCTGAAGGAGCGACGGATGGGCTGTGTCAAGAGCTCGATGAACACGAATGCTGTCGATGACTGGACACAAGGTGGTGCGGCCTGTAGGATCTGAAGGCCACGAAACCTTGTTTTCCGGCCGACCGGCTGCCGTGTGGAAGTTCGCAGTGGTGACATGAAGTGCTCAATGGAGCTTTGCGGCAGAGGCCGCACCTTGTCTTGGGAGGTTTTGGCGGCGGCGCAGCGCTTGCACCATCTGAGGAAGAGGTGGCTCGAACGTGGTCCGCGAAGGTTCGCGATAGGCGAAGCTGCAGGAGGTAGCGCCACGTTCCTTGCAGCCTCCATTCGTCCTGGGAAAGGTGATTTTTCGGCCCTGCGATTGGTCAATTGGAGCTCGTAAAGCGGTCAGCGAGACCGCAAAAGCTAGTTAGTGCAAAGTGAGTGGAAACTGGGAAGAGAGTCGATTGTTTGGTGCGAGCGCCAAAACGATTTGGCCGTGGTGTTCGATTCCCTAATGCTGAAGCCTGAGCGAGAAGCCTGGAGCTACTGTGATACGTCCAAGTGTGTGGAAGAAAAGAGCGGAAAGAGAGCAATGAGTGCACGTCTTTCAGAGGTCATCCTCCAAAAACTTGTACGCGAACTTGAAGTCCGCTTTTCTCCTGTTCATCCTGCACGATACAGTTAGCACGCTATCGCAGCTTTTTCAGCAAAGTGACGACTTACCATGTCGATTCATAGTCGAAGAAGCGATAAGTGCCCTGCTCGAATTCCTCTGTGATGTTCTTAGGCTCCTCGTGCCGCTGGAACCATGTTTGGTATTGCTTGTGAAACCGCCAGCTTTGGCCCTTCAACGCCTTCGCAGCAAGATATTGTTGATACGTCCCTTGTCTGTAGTAGAATGCATAGAAGAGTGAATCTTGGTCTATCCGACTGTACAGCCTAGGATCGTCGAATATCCCCAGAGGCTCTTGAGGATAATGTGGCGGGGTGTACGCATATGGATTCTGCGGCTTGTAGTGATTGGGCTTCTCCGCATCCATTGGCGTCGGGCAGCTCAAGCGCGAAGCATTGAGCAGAGCCACATCGAAGGGCTGATCAGACTTCGCTCGTTGCTTGGTCTCCTCGAATGAGCCAAGAAGATCTTGTAGTGATGAAGGCAGGTGGAAGATGCACTCCTCTTCATCGTCCTCCACCTCACCCCGCGACAATGCAATGCCTGAGATACCTGAGTACGGACTAGGTGGTTGCGGAATCTTGATAATGGGTGCTTCTGCTGCAGCAGGCTGTGCTTTCGACACTTGCGGTGAAGGCTTGACAGAGGACACTTTTGAAGCCTGTGAAGATGTTGAGGGCTCGGGTTCGGCACTCTTCGTTTCGGGCTGAGCCTGTTTAGTCGTATGCTCAGACAACTTGGAAGGTTGAGGCTCGGATGGCTTTGCAGGTGAGGGAGCCACTGGTTGCGCCGCTGTCACGGCCGGTGAAGACGTTGCGCTCGATTTGACACCTCCTGGTGGGGGCGGAAGTGGTGCTATCCCCACACCGTTCTTATCACTAGCTGCCGCTGCAGCTGCCGCTGATGCGTACTTCAGCGGTTGGCCTGTTGGTATCGAAGGTAGTGGCGCTGGCTTCATTGTCTCGGGAGCTTTGCTGCTGTTGCTATTCGGTATACTCTGCAAAGTTGCCAAAGGTGGTAGAGGTTGCGACGTCGATTTGAGCTGTACACTTGGCCTCCTCGCCGTGGTCTCTGATGTCGTTTTCGACTTTGTGGGCGGCTTCTTCACCGGCGCTGATTCTTCCACATCGGCAGGCTCGTCTTGTATGCTCTGAGTATCCTGACTAGAGACCTTGTCGTTGTCCGCGGGCATTCCGTACAGCCCTTCTTCTTCTTCCAGGTTCAGCGAATCATATAACCCTTCGTCTTCCATAAAGTCCAGTTCCTGATTCGATTCCACATAATACTTGATATCAGACTCCAAGTCTTTCACCTGTTCGGCCTCAATGTTGTCATTCTGCACCGATCGCAGCACAAGCTCCAGCTTGCCAATGTGCCAATTGTGTGTTTCCACTCTCGACTCCAGCTCGGCTGTGCGATCTGACTTTCCCGAGTCCTTCTTGCCTTTCTTCAGGCCCGCCAGGAGCGACTCCGCCTCGGCTTCAAGAGCTTCAATCTGCCTGCCCAGCTCATCGATCATCTCTTGCAAGAAGTCGCAGACGTCATTCTTCTCCTTCTCCTTGGGATCGAGCTTCGCGGCGGCATTAAGTCCTTCTTTGGAAAATGCTTTGGTCTTCATCTCCTTCTCGACGGCCTTGAACTTCTCCATTTGCTGCAGATGCACGTCAGTCACGGCTACACGTGGACTACCAGATGACAGGTGATGGACATACCGTCTCGATGAGCTTCCGCTGGTCCTGCAGCGGCTTCTTGTCCTTGATATCATTTTGACTTGCCCAGCCCTTGATCTTGTCTCTACTCCGCTGCAGCTTCTTGATCTCCTTCTTTAATGAGTCCTCGAGCTTCTCCTTCTGCGAAGAATTGGTAGATTGTGTGAGCTTCTCGTAGATGCTCTCAAACAATTGCACGCCTTCGGCGACTTTCTTGAACTCCTGCACAAGCGGTCAGTACGCGTCCATGGGGAGGCAGTTCCGGGGCAGTCGTGCCTTCTCGATCTCCTGCTGCAACTTCCGAGCGGCCATGTCGACTGTGGAATGCGCGCGACACGCGGTTCTCGCAGCGGCGCGGGCTCAGGGCGATGGCGGAGTCGGTATGGGGATTCGGGGATGCAGCTCGTTTGCGGTAATGATGAGGTTGCGGATACCGGTGGAAATGTGTTCGTCGGGCGCGCGCGGGGGAGCGTCGTGTCCGATGCATTCGAGGGCCCGGGGGTGGAGCGGCGGCAGCAAACAACGACGGTCGGGCGATGGCAGCGTGTTGAAGGAGCTCCCTGTCCGCAGGCTCGCATGAGAGGGCAGCGGGAAGTCTGGCGCTGATCGATGCGCCAAGAAGCCTGCTGCGCTGCGCTTGTACCACGACGGCCACTGCAACACTGCACCTTTGTTCACTTCGCCAGAACACCCTCCCTCCCCCCATCCCGTGGCCGAAGCCAGAGCGTCGCAACTCCGTCCAAGCTCCGCGCCTCACTCTCGCATCTGCGCACTAGAACTACTCAGCCGCCACCCTGCTGCATCTGCTTCCTTCTCGCCCCAGGCCTGGTAGCACCACATCACGCGACTCTGCAGCTCACGCGCGCCACACCCTGGCCTACTCTGCCTCCTTCTGGTGCAAACAGCAGCGCGTCGGCCATTGCGACCAGGTTCACCGATTTGGCGACAGGGAAAGCTGTTTCCAAACCTGCGTTTCGTGTATCACGCAGCCCGCTTTTTCATTGGACACCTCCCGCACCAAGATCGGCTGCGAGCATGAAAAGTGAGAGCTACCCAACCGATGCGTGCGGGACGATCGCTCTGTTTATCAAACATGTAGCTGACTAGCAATGAAAGCCGTCATTCAGCGTGTCAAGTCCGCGTCGGTGACCGTCGATGGCCAACTCATTTCCAGCATTGGGAAGGGATTACTGATCTTGGCAGCCATCGCAAAGGAAGACACTGCCAAGGAGGCTGAATCCATGGCTTCCAAGGTGCTCAAAGTCAAACTCTGGGACGACGACCAAGGTGGCAAGTGGAAAAAGAACGTGCAGGAGATCGACGGGGAGGTCCTCTGTGGTGAGCACGAAATTGCATTCAGTCACATTTCACTCTCCCTAACATTACATGTAGTGTCTCAATTTACTCTCTTAGCCTCAACCAAAAAGGGCAACAAGCCTAGCTTTCACGCATCTGCCGACGCTGCGAAAGGAAAGGAGCTGTACGACCTCTTTTTTGGCCAGGTGCGGAAACTATATCGCGAAGACCGCGTCAAGGATGGAGTCTTCCAAGCCATGATGGACGTTGGTCTGGTCAATGATGGACCGGTGAGTGATGAACAACCGCCCCAAGAGATGCCTACCACACCTTGTATCGGACTGGACTTCTCATCGCTGGACGAAGAGGTACAAGAAGCACAGCGTGGTTTCTCTGCTCCGTCTATTTTACATTGGCTAATTTAGTTCCAGGTTACAATAGAAATTGACACCAATCCTCCCAACATGGACAACCCATCTGGCTTTCAGACGCCGGACAGCGAGACCTTCAAAGGCCACATGCATAAGACATTCGAGTATCCAGCCGAGCTGCTGGAATGAGGCCGTGCCGTAAAATGGAGGACTAAAACCTTCAAAAGCTGTCACGATGCCCTAAGTGAGCAATTCACCGAAGTTGGCGTGAGTGCCAAGAATCGCCTTCAGTCGTGATGCCACGACTTGACGACCACGAAACGAACACTGGACACCATTAAAGCAGAAGTCACGATCTGGACATTTGCGAAGACCAGAAGTTGGTTCATCTCATCATTGGCATTATGCTCGCTATGCTCATCGACACTCGTCATCATCATCTACAATTAAAAAACCGGAGGCCATGTAGCACTTGCTACAGCACTTTCGGTTGCGACCAATCATCATCTAGTTCTCTGGAACGAACACGCCGCGGTAGCGGACATTGCCCTCGTTCAGCTTGTCCATGGCCTCGTTGATGGACTTCTCATTCAGAGGGTACTTCTCCAGGATAGGCTCGATCTTGTGAAGAGCCGCAAAGTCCAGCATCCTTTGGTGGATGTAGCGAGACGCTACAACAGAACCCTGGACGGTCAAGCCGTAGGCAAGGAGGGGCATGTATGGGATTCTGAAATCGTTCTCGTCAACCGACAGTGGGTGGATTGTGGCGCCTGGTGCAAGTGCCGGCAGGATCTTCTGCCAATCTGGCTGCGCGGAAGTTGTGACGAGCAGGCGGTTGATTGGCCTGGAAGTCTTGATCTGGTCGACGTCCTTCGTGGCAACGAACTCATGCGCGCCGAGCTTCAGTGCCTCTTCCTTCTTTGAGTCGGATCTCGAGATAACGATCACGTTCGTTCCCATCTTAGCGGCGAACTGGATTGCAAGATGGCCCAGACCTCCGACGCCCATGACAGCGACTGTCTCCGTTGGCTGCGCATTGTATGCATGCAACGCGTTGAAAACTGTGGCACCGCCGCACTACTCAGTCGTTAGCACTTGCTCGGCCTGTTGAACATCAGCCTCACAAACTCACCATCAATGGAGCAGCTGCTTCATCGCTCAGCGAATCTGGGATCTTGAACAAATATGCTTCCCGCCAGACAGCATGGCTAGCAAAAGATCCTTGGTCCGTGTTCGCCATGGCGTACATCGCACGCTCTGGACAGTATGTCTCGTTGCCTCTGAGACATTCCTGGCAGTGTCCGCAGGAGTTGTGCAGGTAGCTAGGAATCATGTTAGCACCACACAATAACAACAGAACCTTGTTTCGCTGCTTGATCTTACCCCCAACCAACACGATCGCCCTTCTTCATGTATGTGACTTGTGGTCCGACATCTTCAATTACACCCACGCCCTCGTGTCCCAACGCCATATCTGCGGTGCGGTAGTGGAGATCTGTTCCGCAGAGTCCGGAAGCTGTGACGCGGACGAGGACTTGGTCGCGCTCGAGTTCACCCTTCTCGGTGGTGGCCTTGGTGACCTTGCCATCTTTGCCGCCCTTGTATACTGTGAAGGAGACCATTTTGTTCGGACGTGCTGGCTTGTATTTGGTTGAATGAGGTTCTTCTTTGGAGGAAGTGAAGAGGGAAGGTGTAGTCAGGAAATTGTCAGTAAGGCAAGAGCAAGAGCTATGGGAGTCGATCAGGGAAGTAGCTATATAATCAACAAACAGCACAGCTACGCAACCCTTCTCACAGCTTCCATGCCCTGTCTTCTTTTCTAAACACCGATGTAGCCGTCGCCTCGGCAGCTTACATATCTTGCCTTGTCTCTCCACCATGACGTGAAGAGACACTAACTGAGAGGGAGGACGGACCCCAGCCGATACGATTTGACACAAGCACTCCGTGCGTGAAGAACCAGAATCTAACGTTCTACGGCACCATGCAGAGCTATGAGCTAAGCACGATGCAGCAAAGCAGAATTTCCTCTTTCTTACGTCCGAACACGACATGCCTGTGACGCCACGAAATGAAACAGAAACAGATTGAGAAGTGCCTCCGCGGGTTTCCGGTATCTACAGTATTGGACCCTGGAGAATAGATCCATGATGATGCACAAGAGGGAAAGGCAAAAAGATGGAGGTCATCACGTATCGTGTAGGGCTGGCTCGCTTCGGAGATAATAAATTTTTTCACGCGTTGCTGGCGTGGAGTTGACGTGGAACGGATTGAGGTCCGGCTTGAGCATTGGAATTCGGAGGGTTGCGGATGACGTATGGGGTGCGAGATATGGCCGAAGGAGAGACGAATCACGATGCTGTTGGCGGATGGGCATGGACCTGGAGAATATGTTGTATGGTTCTGCGATACTTTGGTCGCAGTCCTCGTGGCAGTTGCGTGCGTAGGAACCTTGGGGAAGAGGCCTAGAATTGGAAGCTTACAGCAAGCATTCGAAGTTCACTAAACAGTTTCGCCTTCCTCTCAGGCAGATGAAAGACCGGTTCTTGCCTTCGCGACACGAGGTCTTATTATGCAGTAGCTTATAAAGACCTGCACGTTTGGAATCTCATCAATGCACAATGGTCTAGATCATGAGCCATTTGGGGAGATTTCAGCAGAAAGTGACAAAGCATCCTTTCGCAAAATGGAATATGCTATCGCAGTCACTGCATGCACCAGGCGTGTGGAGCCGATTCGTGGAAGACTGGGGATTTCATAAGCTCGCTTTACATCCGAGACACGCCTGGCATGTCAGCGGTCTCGCATGAGCACTTGCCTCGGTGTGTTCAGTGATCACGTTCCTCGAACATACGTTCACTCGAATAAGTCGTAATGGAAAGGACATCTGATGAGACCAAGTCTTCGCTTTTGATAGATGGGAGAAGCTCTTCTGCTAGCTTCGATAGTTATACAAACACTTCCAAGAATTCTCGCGGCTCAGCTCCCTAGCTGCCTGGCGCTGCATCGTTCCCGCTATGTTCAATGCCAGCATTCTGCTCGATGGTCTGGAAGAAACGCTAAGTAAGCACCACATAGTTCTCAGCCTCTCTATTTGTTCGCCTGTCTGGTCCCAGGCTACTCTACCGCCTACCACCATTCTGTGTCGCCATGTTCGACATGATCAACTTGAAACCGTTCTTGAGCGCTCTGACGTCGGGATACTTGTTGCCTCTGAGTTCGAAGCCTTGCGGAATGACCTTGACAGCCCAGTGGGCCAAAGGTGCGTTGAAGCCGGCTTTGAAGCAGAGGTAGAAGTAGCCTGGGTATTGGCGGTTCAGGCAGAAGGCATACATCGAACGCTTGGGGTTTGCTTCGGTGTAGGTGGTCAACCATTGCTCTGTGGGGTCATGTTAGTAATGCTCCTTGGAACGAATACTTGCAATGATCGGACTTACCTGTCTGCTCCTTCGTGCCATTCTGGAAGCGCTCATCGTTGGTCATCTCGTCAACCTTCTTCGCCATGGCCTGCACGTGCAGAACAATCAACTCGTCGAGATCTGAATAGTTGGCCTTGCCGACTTTCAGCACCTTGCCGACGCTGAACTCGTTTTCTTTGTTCATTTCCAGAACGTCAATATGCTGGTAGACACCCTCGGCAACCTTCCATGTGACAGCCAAATGATCAGTTCCCTTGGAAGAGGGACGAATGATGCAGTCTCCACGATTTTGCGACTGCAAAGCCTCGACGGCTTGTTGAGAGTTGAAGGGTCGGAATAATGGATGCTTGATGACTCTCACTTGCCGCCCAGTCTTGCTCTCGATAGCTTTCTTCATCGCCTTCTGATCTTGCTCTTCTTGCATGTCGTCCCACTCGTCCAGACCATGATCGAAGTTGCGACGGAATGGCTTGCGCAGTTCCGACTCACGCAGCGTCAGTTGTGCAGTGAACTTCTTGCGATCGATGAAGCTCAATTTGGCCTGTATGACTTGATGCGCGGACCACATCCGACGAGGCTCAATTTGCTGCCGCACCATGTCTTCTGGATATTCGGTCTCAGAGATGCCACCATCAATGCCACAGTCGAGCTTGACCTCAATGTGGTCTTGGAAGGTACGCTTGACCGAGACAGGGACGATCATGCCATCCATGAGTGACTCGCGGGTTTCGCCAGTGAGCTGGGTAAACAGCTCGTCAGTCGTCAACGAGTTCCAGTTTCGTCGGAGCTCCTCGTAGGGATTTTGCAGTTCGGCGCGAATGGTCTCCAGGGTAGCACGCTTCTTCTGCTGGAATCGATCCTCGAGTTGCTTGGCGTACTGCTCCAGCTCGAGATCGTTTACCTTGTCTTGCTGATCCTCCTTGACCAATCTACGCACAACGGCACCCAAGCCGTTATCATCCGTTTCGGCCTTGATGTCCTCTTCATCGAGCTCCAAGGCATCGGCAGCGATTTTTCGCGCGAGATCGTAATCTTCAGGATGTATCCTCGTGTTGTCAAGGTAGTCGGCCTCGGGGTCGTCGTTCCATATGAGGTACAGGAAACTGGCGCAGTTCGTGAACACCTTGGGTCCAACGGCTGGCCGGAGATGTCTGTCCAGGTCGCCAACCAGGTCAGAGCGGTTGACCACGTCGCCGCCATTGTGGCCCACAGCTTTGATCAAGTTGTCGGCCTTTCTCGGGCCTAGTCCACAAACGTAGGGAAGCAGATTGGCAGTGTACGGATCGTGGACTGCCTCGTTCACGTCAACACCAACAAGATTGACAATGTCAACCATTGCGGTGTCGAGATATCGCCTCAACTTATCTTCAGGTAGGAGATTTTGGTTGGGATCGAACGTGATGGAAGTGATGTCCTTCTTGAGCGCCGCGTATTGCTTCAGCGGATTTTGCATGTAGAGTGCCAAGGCAACGCAGTATCGTGTCAGGGGTGGCAGTCCAGGATGTTCTATAGCAGAACGATCTGAATTGCGATACAGGCGGGCAACCTCATCTTGCGGAATCACGACATCGAGCGGGTCTGTGACCTCGCGGTCTTCGTCCGGATCTTCGTATGTAGGACCGTGGAGCTCGTGCTTTCTCACGATGTCCTTCAAGTCCTGATAGAGCTTGTACGTCTCGACAGAGAAGCCGGATACTGCGATCACATCGGGATTCCGACGTTGCACCACATCCTTCAGGTTCTCAATGTCCTTGCCGTCGGGAATGTACTTCTCTTCCTTTCCAGGTCGAAGATCAGCCCACTTGCCATTTTCCTTCACAGCACCAGTTTCGTCAACAAAGGCCCAGCAGATGGCATCGCCGCGGTTTCCGTCGCCGTGTGACAAAGCGAGAATTCTGGCGTACGTTCCAAGTTCCATTCCTTTCGGCTTGTATGGCGCTTGGTCGAGCTTCTGTGTAAAAGCATCTCGGCAATATCCACCGATTTTGTTCTCACATTCGTTCTTGAGATTATCCTTGACGCCCTTTGAAATGATCTTATGCATCTTCGTTACGGCAGTGTCAAGGACTTCTCGTCGCAACGTATTCCACGCGTCCGCGACTGCTGAAAAGTTGTCGGATTCGATAGCCTTTTGCAACTCTGTTTTGATGCGCTTCTCGCCGCGCAGTTTGACCCGCACGTTCACGAGTCCTTCTGCCTCAGCTTTGAGCATACGCAAGAACAGTTCCGGCTTCTCAACGAGGAAGTAGCGGACTTCCTGATTGCGCAAGTACTTGAACTCGTAGTAGGGGTGTTGATCGTTGATCTGCTTCATGCCCTTCTCAGTACGATGACAGTCGAAGACCAGATTGTCGTAGTAAATCTTCCGCATATGCCTACGCATCCGCGGGCTCACCAGAATCTCCTCAACGAACATGGACTTAGCTGACTGGAGAATATCTTCGCCAGTCTTGTAGTCCGGATCTCGAATGAGTGAGTCGGCAATGTCCTCAGGCGAGCGGTCTGGATCTTCCGTGTATCGTCGTCGACCAACAGCTTGATTCTCAGCGTTCTGCGCTACGCCGTCTGCTGTAATTCCGAAGGCTCGAACAAGGTGATACGCTGGTCCTGAACGTACTTTATCCCATTGGGTGCGAGCGCCAGTGCCTGCGCGCTTCAGTGTGCCATTCGCCTCTGCATCAGCAATGCTGAGGTCCTTCAGCTGAAGTGAGTATTGAAAATTGAGGTAATCTTGCAAGTCTTGCAGATCGTCCAGCTGTGCAGCCAGTGGAAGAAGATCGTTGAAAATCTCATCGTTGAAGTCAGGCTCAATCTCTCTGAGCAATTCGACATTCCTCTGAATTGCGTCTCTTCTCTCTGCAAATGCCCGGTATTTCAGGTCCTGTTCAAACACGTCCCAGAGATCAGTCTGGTTTAGAAGCTTCTCGGCTTTGATCGTGAAGGGCGGTCCATTAGGGTCGTCATTGGGCACCTGCTCGGAGTGGATGAGATAATCTTTGCGGTTTTGAAAGATAAATGCGGGCTCAAGGTCGTCCACATTCATGAATTGCAGTACCTGCTTGACTGCAGCCTCGAATGGTCCTCGCAAGTTTGGCTCCATCCGCTTCCTGGGGAACAGAATGCTCGAGATCCAGCTTGCTTCTTCGGCGTTCCGAACTGCGATCTGCTCATCCGTCAAGTCGTTCAGGTCCTTGTACGGCGCACGGGCCAGTTGGAAGCGCTCCGGCACATCGTTGAGACGAATCTCGTTGTCCTTGTCCGTGAGCATGCGCTCCTCCAGTTGACTCGGCTCGAAAACGTCCTTAAGCTCCAGTGGCTTGTCTGGATCGATCGATTCTTCATTTCTGTCCTTCTCCGCTTCAAGTGCCCAGACGAATTCCTGCCCGTCGCCGAAAGCATTCATCATATCCTCGAGCTCTGCTTCGCCAAGCCCTGAATCTTTGAGGTTGTTGAAGTCCGGTACGCCAGCTCTACGCGGTGCGCGAACACCCAGGTCCTCGTCCATTTGCCCAGCGTCTTCATCGGGGAATTCATCTTGCTCGATGAAGCCGTCCATCTCGTCGTCGTAGGCACCAAAGGCGCGGCGGGGAGGACCCATGTCGCCATCACCATCTTCCTCGTCTGAGAATATGTCCTCCACGCCCCGAGATTCGCTAATGTCTCGATTGTCTCTGTGGCCGCGCTTCAGTCGCTTGAACTTGCTCTGCTGTTCCGGTCGCCGACGCTCGTCAGGTAGAGTCTCGCCGATCAGATCCAGATCTTCTTCGTCGAGCTCTTCCTCGTGCTCGCGCTCCTCGCGTCGTCGCTTCTTGCGCTCTCGTCTCCGCTCCCGCTTGGCCTCTTCATCCTCGTCCTCATCTTCATCCACAATGAAGCCTTCGCGGATGCGCTGCGCCTCCTCGTCATCATCGTCTTCCTCTTCTTCGCTCGAGTCGTCCATGTCCGCGCCATTTGCTGGCTTCTGTTTTTTGGAGACCACTTCGCCAGTCTCCTCATCGAACTCCTCTTCCTCGTCGTCCGAGCCGACCGCAGCAGTGGTATCGAAGAAGTCAGCCATGATGACGCGCGCGGTGAGGTTGGTGAGGTGGTGGTAAAGGTGCAGGCGGCGAAGTTGGCGATGAAGAGCGTGTGCTTCCTTTGGGTTACGCGACAAGTTCACTTCACTATCCGCATTTGGAAGTCGGTGATCGGTCAAAAGTGGCTCCGAACAAAGACACCTGAGGCAGGGAGTCTGCTGTCTACTGCTACTGCCTATACCATCGTTCCCGCATTTCAGCCTCACGCATGCACAACTAAGGAGACATTTCATGCTTCACATCATCGCTTCTCGATCGAGAAAGCATGTAGCCGAGTCTGAGTCTCGCACGCGTGGCTTGCAACATTCCCTTTGTCACAACGCCCCTGCAGTGCTCGGTTCGAAAAAAGGCTCAAAGTCTCCGGTATTGTCTTTCCAGTAAATGAGAATACGGCATTTCCTTGTGTGTAGCTTTGGCACCAACACTTGCACGGCTCCGGATCTTGGGCATCCGGACTTCTGCCCGACGACTCGCAACGTGCTCTCGGTGTATGTATCGTGTGCACGTATCGTGCGGCCAATACTCTGACACTTGTATTGGATGCACGGGACCCCACAATCGGCCGGTTTCGCGGCAGCACCTGCAGCATCGCACCTGCTACGACTCCTGTTGCACCGAGAGGGCTGCGTGAAAGACGCCTCCTGCACTTGACAGATTCAGCGCACACGATATATATCATTCCCCCGACTGCCTATTGGAAGTGTTTTCGCCGCCCTCCAACTCGCCGCTTGCCGCTTCGGCTCCCTCCACGCGCACTTGCATGTTGGCTCCCGGCCGTCAATTGGCCAACTCCTGCTTCACTGCCGCCGCGAGATCCACGCACCTATCTGGTTGGGCACGGGCTTGACGCACATCATCCTGCCTGCTGAGACACTGCTCTGCTACAACACTCCTTCGCGCAGACGTGTTCCTTTCACTCCGCCACGACTGCCTCTTGACACAGATCGAACTGTCCCCGCACCAAAGCTGCCAGTCGCCAGCCAGGGCGGACAAGCACCGCCAACATGAGCAACACCATTGGGACGGCTCGGACGATGAAGAGGAAGAATGTGAAAGGCCTGGCTTTGAGCGCTCCCCCTAAACCGGCAGTGCCTTCAGACGAGGACTCACAGCTCCCCGGAGCACTGGGCAACGACGGCAAGCGAGCAGATACGCTAGAGATAGGCGTCGAATTCAGGCCGGACTGGCGAAGCGAAGACCTCGAGGTGCTAAAAGAGCTAGGATCAGGAAATGGAGGCACAGTCAGTAAAGTGCGGCACAAAGGCTGGAACATCGTCATGGCAAGAAAGATCATCCATGTTGAGGCCAAGAAAGAGATCAGGAAGCGGATTGTGAGGGAACTACAAATCATGCACGAATGTAATTCACCGTACATTGTGTCCTTCTACGGCGCCTTCATGAACGAGTCGAACGATGTCACCATGTGCATGGAATACATGGACGTTGGGTAAGACCAGCCTTGCGGGCGCGACCATGTTTTATTGCTGACCTTAACTGCCAGCTCGCTCGACAGCATATCGAGGAACTTTGGGCCTGTCCGTGTCGATGTTCTGGGCAAGATTGCAGAAGCCATCCTCGGCGGTCTCAAATATTTGTACCTCGCCCACAGAATCATGCACCGAGACATCAAGCCTTCCAACGTTTTGGTGAACAGCAGGGGCCAGATCAAGCTGTGCGACTTTGGAGTGTCCTCCGAGCTGGAAAACAGTGTAGCAGATACGTTCGTGGGAACTGGAACATACATGGCGCCAGAACGCATTCAGGGTAGCCCGTACTCGGTCAAGAGTGATGTGTGGAGTGTTGGCCTGACGCTCATGGAGCTCGCGATTGGAAAGTTCCCTTTCACGTCTTCGGCAGACGATGGAGATGAGGAAGCAAGCGGGCCTCAGGGGATTCTGGATCTCTTGCAACAAATCGTCCTTGAACCCGCCCCAAAGCTGCCCAAAAGCGAGGCATTTCCTCAGATCCTGGAAGACGTCATTGCCAAGTGCTTGATGAAAGTGCCGGAAGAACGCCCAACACCACAGGAGCTGTACGACACCGACCCGTTCCTGCAAGCAGCAAAACGCACGCCCGTGGACCTGGAAGCATGGGCGGTCAGCATGATGGAGAGACACAACAGGAGAAGCCACCTTGCGCCGCAATTGTCACCTTCCACGCGAGCACTGCTGCGTGGTGAGGATACACCGAGCCAAAGTTCTCATTCGAGCGTAAATGAACAGACACCCACGTCAGGCGATATTCCGATTTCCGCTTCCAATGGCGCGGGTCGACCGTTTCCTGTGCGCACCACCAGCGCCAATTATGTGCAACCACAGGTAAATCTCCCCATCCGACAAGCGCCAGGCAGCTCATCGCGCAGCAGACCTGAAACGTCCGGGAGCGATAGAAGCGACTCTTATAGGAGAGTAGCTCCAGGCTACGCAGCTCATTGATTGCCCGATGCCGCCGTTGCACCGCTTCTGGGATGTCACAGCCATGTTTTTGCCACAGCTTGCTCGACACGTGCATGGCGGTGCTCCTCCACTTCCACGACATAGCTTGTTGTCTTTTGATGACTTGGCCTCGTGTGCAGAGTGCAAGTGTGGCACCAAGATTATTCACGGCTGCTGCGGAGCTCTCGGTCAGAATGCATTGGAGCGATACGGAAAGACCTCGGACACATCTTCACAACCATCGCCTCCCCACATCTCCGGATCAATTCTTTCAAGCTTCCAGCTGTATGCGGCACATGCTCGTCTGCCGCAGCAAAAGCTGGCAAAAGTGGAGAACCCGAGGCTCGTTGCACAGCTTCAAGCACATGCTTGCACCTCACAATTGCTGTGCGGTTTGAAATGGCTGGCTAATACCACGGGACGGCCCATCCAGTAATGCTCTTAGTCGCATCTAAGGACCATATTCACGTCACCGCTTTGCTGCACTGCCGCCATTCGCGTGTTTGCCATCGCACAATCGCACCTGCCAAATGAAGCCAGGCGTACAGAGCGCTGAAACTCCACCACGGTCTACTGTTCCCTAATTTCTGGTTTGCCATCACGTCCGATGTACGACGCGAACTGCACAAATTCGTGCGTCTTTCAAACGGACTTGCAAGCCTATGGTTTCTTTTTCTTATTCTGCGCGTACGGGCAGTACAGCAGCCGCATGCGCATGAGGCAGAGTGCAAGCGCAACGGGGCGTTTAGGTATTAATGCATCTTTATGTTGCACGAAAGAGGTGAGGCAGCAAACGATGCCGCTCGCTCGCTCGCTCGCGCTAGAAGTTTGGGTGCTTCAATTTTCATATGGGATTGCAAGGGTCTGGAGGAATGCATACTAGCTAGCTTGGGACATGAATGAAAAGGTTGCATGTAGATGTGAGGGAAATATTGCATTATAGGCTGAGAATCTACGGACGGCGTCATCGTTGTCGCTTGAGCTCTGCGTGACGACGCTGCGTGTACTCTGACCTTCAAGATCCCGTCGTGCATGTTGGCGGCGCTCATGCTGCTCCTCTCGCCGCCACCGCCGTGAGCTACAACCGATGTGGAGGAGTACAAAAGGCACGCGTGAGCCGTCGTTGGCGGGCTGCTGATGTTCCTTTCGGAGGTATACATCGAGACATGTGCTCTGCTGTAGCATCCTCTCACGAGGTACCCGTTGACTCTCGTTGGCGGACATTCGGAATGCAAGGTGCTGACTACATATCGGAGGAAATACTTGTCGACGTTTTGAGGTTGTAGCCGTTGGGCGAGGATTGTCTTGGATGACGAGTGCCGATGCGTGTAAGGCACGAACGGCTCGTGGTTTTGTGGTTCGGGAGGTTTTGGCTGCTGGCCGCCTGGTGTGAGTGAGCTATACGAGTTTGGTAGGTAGGTGTGGTCACAGCCGTCCTTCCTTTTCGAATGGACGAATGCCAAGATGGTGGTGATTAGGCGAATAGACTAGACGTGGCGAGTGACTACACGTGTTACCGCATGAATTTTCTATCGACCACAAAACGTGGCATGATCAACTATTCCCCACGATCTCGCGCGTGTAGAAGCGTGGTGTGAGTGGTATCCTTGGCTTTCGCTACAGTAGCCCCACCTCGTTTGCCGCCGGTGATCGGCTGCACGACACAGCTGATGACCTTTTCCTTCTTTAATGAGTGTGGAGGACTTCTTCTGCAGGTAGGGTATGCCGAGCTGAGGCTGGCCAAACGGGTCATGCGAGCAGATGCAGTGACGATCCAGAGAAGCGGGAGTATGAGCTGTCATTTGAGGAGAATCGGAGCCGGTGAGGCTTCCACAAGCTAGGTCGAGGTCGTGCGGCTCTCTTGAGCCGTCGTCAAGCTGGCAACTGAGCTCTCTTCATGCAGGCTGTGCGTTGCTGACGACAGAGACACGTCGGAGGATGGGTAGACTTGTAGCTGGGCTGCGGTGAGATGTGTGAGAACTCTGTTTGAAGCCATCCGTGGTCAAGCATCGCGGACCGTCGCAGGCCGCGCTCGTGCCTGAACTCAGTGCCTGGTGCCTGAGAGAGTACGTAGACGTTCGTTCCTGACGCTGACGACGAGTGTCGCGTGAACAATGGAAGGGTGGGCAGAAGTGAGATGTCTTGCCCTACCCGTCGAGATGCGTGGAAGTGTGTATGCAGCCGCAGCGCAAGCGCCGAAGCAACCTACGTGAAACTCGGCTGAAAGAAGCGCGGCTCCACACGCACAACTTCACGCTTTGATGTCAGCTGCCCAAACATTTGCTATACCACCGCTGCCCGCCACCCAAATGCCCGCCGACACGCTCAACCGAGAGCTGCGACTGGTGCGCGCAGCCGCTTGTGAAGCCTCTCCCTCTCCGCTGCCTCGTTGGCACTCCGCTGCGGCCCGACTGTTCGGCCAGCGCCAGCGCAAGAAGCTGTCCTTACGCGAGGATGCTCGTGGGGAAAGATGGACAAAGCATGTGGCAGAAGCTACTGTAACCGCTTGGCCGATCTTCAGATCCTTTCGGCCCGCCATTCGTGAGCAGCAAGAGCCCTCTCTGCACGCCCTCCTCCAGTAGTTCGCCGTCAGCATCAGCCATCGGTTCGGCGCATGCGACCTCCTCCTCCTTTCCATCTCCGGTGGAGCTCTGATCACTGGCAAGATGCTGCGGCACTGCGCAACCTACGACAGCGGCGCTCCATCTTCAGACCACAGATCGACATCCTACATCTTGCATGCAGGCGGCCAGCCGACAGCTGATCCCCGTCGAGCCCGAGGCTACAGGAAAAGAAGCTACACCTCCGCTTGGGTGCCCTTCTAGCGCGTAGTTGTCCTTCTATTGGCACCAGCACCTCGTTGTCTGCTGTCTGGCCACAACGACCCCAGTCCCTGCGTGCCGTGCTTGGTGCCCATCACCGCCGCTCCTTCACGACCAGTACATATTGCCATTCCGGGCGTTGGCGCCGGCTGACGAATATGAATTCACGCCTTGTGACGATGCCATGCGCGCACACATATGAGCCCGGCTGAAGGAGATCAAGGTGGTGAATGATGCAGAAATCAGACCTGCGGCTGCCTGCGCCGAAGCATAAAACCTGCCTGTGCCATTCGCATTATTCACCATTGATGAGCAAGTCCTATTGTCATATTCATCGCGGCTCTTCAGCTGGAAAGCCGCTAGCGCCCGTATGACCTGTGACCTACTCCACTTACCTTATACCCCATAGCTTCTGCGACCCTATACGTTGGCACTTACACGTTCTCAAACACACACAGCACCATTATAGTGGAACACAGCACAGACTTAAACCAGCACTCGCACTTGCATTCAGCCTCGAGGGTGTACGCCATTCGAGCATTCACATCTCTAACAATATGAATATCGCCGGCATTGTCGCCCTGCTGGCATTGGCGCTATGTCAAGTCGCCCTCGCTGCCAATGGCGACGCATGGCGAGGAAGATCAATCTACCAGGTCTTCACTGATAGATTCGCTCGCACCGATGGCTCAACAACTGCATCGTGTGACACTGGTGCCGCTGACTACTGCGGCGGCACGTGGACAGGGTTGATCAACAGGCTCGACTATATCCAGGATCTTGGCTTCGATGCTGTCTGGATCTCGCCAGTCACTCACCAAGTAGAGGGTCAAAGCATCGATGGCTCTGCCTACCATGGATACTGGCAAGACGACATCAATGAAGTCAACGAGCACTTCGGCACAGCAGACGACTTGCGAGCTCTTTCGGCAGAGTTGCATTCCCGGAACATGGTATGCGAACGATCGTCCCGCAACGCCAAACAGTAAGAAGAGTGCACAGTACTGACTTATGCGCTAGTTTCTGATGGTCGACATTGTTGTGAACCACCTGGCTTGGATCGGCGCTCCGGATACCATCGACTACAGCCAATTTCCCCAGTTCAACAACGAGGACTATTTCCACCCATACTGCGTTAACAACTACAGCCAGGATAACATGGTATGCATTCCATCTCATCTCAAATTTGCTCAAGCCTTTCAAGTAGTCGCTAAGCATTCGGACAGACAAATACCGAGCAGTGTTGGATGGGCTCCACCAATGTCCCTCTGCCAGATTTGAGGACAGAAGACTCAGACGTACAAAACATCTGGAATGCCTGGATCAGCAGGCTCATCTCCGACTACTCCATCGACGGTCTTCGAATTGACTCGGTCATGGAAGTGAACACAGGATTCTGGCCTTCTTTCCTCGACGCTGCCGGAGTCTACGCACTGGGTGAGGTCTACATGAACGACCCAGACTTCGTCGCAAGATACCAAGGATACATGGACGGCGTTTTTAACTATGCGTAGTAAGTCGTACGCAGCTCTTATGACAGAGTCGTTGTTCGCTGACAGAACCCACAGCTACTTCCCTCTCCGCGGCGCATTCGTTCAGGGTGGCGACATCTCCTCGCTAGCCGAAATGATTGACAAGGTCAAAGCTGGTGCATATCGGGACACGTCACTTCTGGGATCCTTCAGCGAGAACCACGATCAGCCAAGAATTGGAGCGCTTAATCCTGATATGGCACTTGCCAAGAATGTGCTTGTTGGCACTATGCTGGTCGATGGCATCCCTGTCATCTACCAAGGCCAGGAGCTCCACTACCAAGCATACGGCGGGCAGAGTACTCCATTTAACCGCGAGGCGATCTGGCTTTCTGGATACCCTACCGATGGCGAGCTGTACCAGGCGACCAAAGCATGCAATGCAGCGCGCAAGAATGCTCAGGCCGACGATTCGAGTTACTTGACGTTCCAGAATTACCATTTCTATACCGATGGCGATACCCTTGCGATGCGAAAGGGCAAGATGGTCACGATTCTTTCTCAGCTTAGCTCGACTGGCTCGAACTACACGCTGAACCTCGACTCTGGCTATGACGCTGGCACACAAGTCACGGAGCTGTTGACTTGCTCTGACCTCACCGTCTCGAGCAATGGAACGCTTGCCGTTCCTATGAGCGCCGGTCAACCAAGAGTCTATTACCCCACCGACTCCATCGGCTCGCAATGCGGCGGAAGTAGTAAGCGCATGATGCGCCGCTCTGCCAAGTTCCGCAACCAGCCATGGCAGTAGGCCATTTGACAACAACTTCTATTCTTTCATTGGATTTCAGGATACCCGCATATGGCGCTCGCTTCTTGTTTTCACTTATTACTTTTGGAGGTACTCATGCACGATGCGAGATTGAGCTGTGAGGGGAAGGAATCTAGCGCATTGTCTTACCTCGCTGTCATTTACGTTGGGTGGCGGCATTTGGGTTGGATTGGGCACAAGGAGCACAGAACACGCCTCTGGAGCGTGGCACCGAACTTGTGGATGAAGTACATGAAGTTATGATAGCGAATAGGGATCAGAACTATCGCATCAGCGTATCACGGACGCGAACACGGGCGCACAGAACACTTATCTACCATATGGAGGATTGGCATTGGCATTTCAAAATTTCATTCCTGCGACAAGCAGAGGTCTTGATCTATGAGAAACTCTCAACATGCAAATAACACCCTTGAGCTCCGGTGCCTTTATGTATTGCTCTCGCGTCACTTTGTCGGACTAAAGTGTTCCTGACAGTCGATGTCAGCCCGAGCGGACCGCATACTGAGATCGCTGATTCTCCGCAAGCGCCATCGAGCAGGATTGAGATCAGTCGATCGACATCTGGTCGGCCAGAGTAGAATGTAGCACAGCTGAGGAACGGTAGTCGGATCCCGAGAGGTGTTTGATCTGGCAGTAGCTGCTCCAGAGACGGCGAAGACAGTTTCGTTTCAGCCTTGGGGATGGGTTTTGTAGGTGTGATCTTGTCTTCTTTGACAACTTGCTCGCCTTCCTCTTCTTCGTCGACTATGACACAGCAACAAGGACCTTTGGATTTATCGCATTCGCAACCGCATTCTTTAGGTGCGAGACTGGTGCTCTGGTCGGTGAACTGGTCTGCGCAGGTCACGTATATGCTGATTTGGACGTTAATTCCTTGAGCGTGGAGTTTTTCGTAGGCGGTGGCGATCTCTTTGTTCAACCAGCGTGCTGAGGAGCTGCTTTTGACGCACCAGACTAGGTGGACTCGTCGGATTGGGAGTCTTCTGCCTTGGGTTGTGACTCTTTCGGCGAGGTGTTGGAGGATGGAGAGGTTGAATGTTATGCCTGTAGACCCTGATAAGAGCAGGGCAGAATCGAACGCTGCGAGGTCGGACTGTGTGCCGCCGTATGGGCCGTCGATGACCGCGACATGGGTTGCGTTGGCGATTTGAGCATTGCGTTCAATGTCGCTGTTGTCTTTCTTTTCTGAGATGAGGGCCTCGGATGATGTGTTGGCTCCGTGATAGATCTTCTTGGTGAAGCCGCCGTGTCCTTTGAGCAGGAACACCAAGTCGCCATCATGCGAGTCTGGCGTTGACAAGATGGTAGCAGGATGACTTTGCATGAGGCCGAACTTTGGTATCGACAGTAGGACGTGTGAGCCAGGACGCCAGCTCTTGATGGTTCGAGTAGAGATTCGCAGCTTTGTGACACCGCCTTCCATCTGGATCATTGAAGCTCGACTGACACGCAAGTTGTTCCAAGCAACCATCACGAATCGTAAAATGCGATCGAGCAGGTAAAGTCCAATCGGGATGTAGATGTACACCCGGCTTGATATTGCAGTGCTCGGCAGGTGGAGCATGATCGCCACGATGAAGCCAAAGAATGTGATGATGTGCTGTGCCACGAAGAATTCGTAGGAGAGCTCTCGTAGCGGGGCTATTGTGCTGAAATTCATCCATAGTAGCAATGCCAAAGCTGCCATGCCGGTAGTTGGACAATCATCAGTCTGCCATTCCAGCTGCATAACCCCGAATTCTTGCCAGCCGGTGCTTTGGAAGGCGAAATGGAAGACTGCGAGGAGAAGCATGATCCTGGCAGACCATCGGTGGAGCACATTGAGACGCTCCCAAGATGTTCCGGTCAAAGTGCCAATTACGCTGTTCTTGTTGACCAGCAAGATGAGAAGTGGAGTTTGTGCTACAGCAAGCCAGCCAGCACGTACTCCAAGAGCTTGCCAGTATTGTGCTCCTTCAACGTCATTGTCAACGAACTCAAGCGCCAGCACGAATGCCAGATAGGCGAGGACCAGGATGACTGTGCCAACAGGCGGAATCTTGAGGCCGGCTTTCTGGAATGGTGTAAACTGGTAATAAGACATTTCTCGTCCCATCGCAGTGACAGTCGCAAACCACGTCACTGGGGTATGTTTCGGCTTCGATGGGTCAACTTTACGCCTCGCAGCTTCTCGTAGGCGTTTTTGCAATATGAGCCAGCGCATAAGTTTGAAGAGCATTGTCACGCCAATGAAGACCACAATTCCGTACCAGAAATACTTTGCATGATTTGCGCCGTCGATCTTGAGGTATGTGTCGTCGAGAAGGTCTTCCAGGAAAGCGCTTGCTTGAGTTCGGTTGGAGAAGTCCACGCCTTCTGCTGAGAGAGGCTCTATTGATGAGGTAGAGCTCATGTCCATGGACATGTCCATTTCGGTTCCTTCGGTGTGGCCGCCGTGTCGCTTCCAGAAGCCTGAAAGCTGAGCCATGTTGACGAGTGCAGCCCGAGCAGTCCAGCGATAAGTACTTCCTCACAGAGTCCAGCGCCAAGGCATGTAGGGACGAGTTCTTGGTGAACGACTGATTGGTGTCCGAAAGTGGCGACTGGAATGTGAGGACTTCAGCCTCTGCGGTTCGCGCCGACTGATTGAGAGCAACAGTATGAAAATGAGGTCAATACTTGCCTTGCACGACTACAGCAGACTTCTTTGTCTTGTCAAGTTCCGCTGGGACAAAATCGAGAAGCGTGAATGAGCAAGTTTCCACTTCGCAGCTTCTCGGCACGAATTCGTCCGCCGCGACATCAACCAAAAACGGAAAGGCTCTTTCTTGGCTACTATGCTCGTGATTCGGCTGAAGTGCTCTGTACAGTATTCTGTCTCATTGGTCTCGTAAAGCTCTATTCGACTTCTACAATTATGTTCTCAATGGGCGATCGGTGTATCTAATCAAGGCTGGCGAGCCGGCGCATGCTGGCGCAGAGAATCTGGTCTCCACGTACACCTTCTGCATGTGGTCCTCCTTCTTCTCGAACTTGTAGTAGACCTTGTCCAAGTCTTCCACGCGCACACGATGTGTGACCATTTTCAGAGGGTCGATCTCGCCAGCTTGGATCTTCTTCAGAAGGTCCTCCCAGTATCGGTGCACTGGCGCTTGACCGTTACCGATGAAGCGGATGCCGCGCTCCATCAGACTGCCGATGTTGAAGTGGTTGGTATAGCCAACATACACACCAGTGATTCCGACACGACCAAAGTTTCTGACACTCTCGATCATCTCGTTGAGAATCTCGCTGGTATCGGTCTCGAGACCCAGAGCCAGCTCAGCAGCGTGCATCCAGCCCTTCGGGTACTCGCCAGCCACACACTCGAGGGCAGCGTCTGGACCACGGCCATCACACATCTCTTTGAGCTTTGCGACGACGCCACCCTTGGTCTCCTTGAGCTGCGAGTAGTCGACTGTTTCGACCTTGGGATACTTCTCCTTCATGAAGTCCAGCCTCCAGTTGCTGTCAATGACGATGACCCTTCGCGCTCCCCTCATGAAAGCGAACTCGGCTGCCATCTGGCCGATAGGGCCAGCACCCCAGACTGCAACGATGTCGCCCTCGTAGACCACGGTGTCGACCACGCAGTTCCAGCTGGTGGCGATGACGTCCGACAAGTAGAGTGCCTTCTCGTCCGGGACATCGTCCGGGATCTTCAGAAGGTTGACATCGCCGTAAGGCACACGAGTGTATTCCGCCTGACCACCAGCGAAACCTCCCGTGAAGTGACTGTAACCGAACATGCCGGCCGTGCGACCGCCGTACATGGCGTTCTCAATTGTGTTGCTGTTGGTCTTCTCACATTGCGAGGACATTTTTTGCTGGCAGTAGTAGCAGTCTCCGCAGGCGATCTGGAAAGAGGCTACCACTCTGTCGCCCTTCTTGAGTCCCTTCACGGCGGAGCCCATCTCGTCCACAATTCCGCAGAATTCGTGTCCCAAAATGTCCCCCTTTTGTAATTCAACAACGCTTCCGTGGAGGAGGTGGAGGTCGGAGCCACAGACTGTTGAGCCAGTGACCTTGAGGATGACATCTCTCGACTCGATGATCTTGGGCTTGGGGCATTCAGCTACCACATGTCAGTCTTTCCCTCGACGTCGAAGGAATTCTGGTTTACTCACTCATCTCGACTGTGTTCTTGCCGTTCCAGATCAAAGCGGACATCGTCTCAGACGGGTCGCCATACTTCTCGCGGTCCAGTCCTGGGTTCGTGACGTTTTGAATAGTTGTGGCATTGTCGCCGTGGCCGATAGCCTGCTCGAGCTTGCCTGCTGCTTGTGAGAGCGCCATGATGATTCGCGATTGCTGGTGAAAGATATGGCGAAAATGAAACTTGGACGGAGAACCTACGGAAGTGCCAGTTTGGCGTATATACCTTTGCGAATCATCTCGCCTCTCGTACAGCATCGAGAAGGGTGAACGTCATAGTGAGGTGGATAACAGGCGAGCTTGCGGCATGCAGCAAGCGGAGTGGAGGCCGGTAGATGATTGCTCCATCGAATACTGGACGTCATCTGCTCCTGTTGCTGATGCAGCGGATGATGATGATTGCGGTGTTGCGTTCAGATGTGGAGTGGTGGTGTGGGAGTTGTCGTTGACGTTCGGCAGTTCTTCGTTGAAGCCGCCGGCCATGCCAGGCACAGCCGCCTCGATACCCACGCTCATTGGATCAGCAGACGATCCCGCTAGTTAGAAGACTACTCACTCTCTTGTAGGTGATCGAGAAAACACGGCGGACCGAGGGACATCGAGGGCCGCCCACCGCCGCAAGAAACCAGCTGCACCTCGTGTTAGTGCAGGGAAAAGGATCGTGACACGAGCGCTGCCAAATGCCGCTCGGTCCGAACGCGGAGAAGCAGCGTACGATAACCCTGTATTGTGTTAGTTCAAACCAAACGAGGATATTCAGCGCTGTACAGATCCCGTGGCGATCCTCTAGGTGCTCAGGTGCGCCGTGCGAGTGTTGGCACAAGGGCTGCGAAAAGCTTGATAGGTCAAAATGTCTAAACGATCTAAGAGGCCTGTTGCTTGTCCACGGGGTTTCAGTGGGATAGACGACACTCCCGAACCCAACCCGGGGAGCAACGATAGTAATAAAGTCTAGTACTTGTTCAGACGAAATCCTAGTATTAGCTAGGATACTCGGATGGCACGGTCCAGAAGATCACTCCACTGCGGACAGCATGCTGATAATATATAAGCAAGCAGCTGTAGTCTCGAATCTGTCCCCGCAACTGTCCTGAAAGTCCTACACCTACATCCAAATCCTGCGAATACGATCCGTGAAAGCCCTACCTCGAGACTAAGGAACAATGAAGTGGCTTACTATTACCTCTACCTTCCTTCTCTGGATGTCCGTCGAGACATTCGCCAACCCAACTGGACTTGAGCCAAAGGAAGCGCTGGTAGCGCGTGTCTGCTGCACCTGCAGGGACGGCCATCACACATGTGGAGGCGGCTGCTTCGCCAAAACCTGCTGTAAATCTGCTCCCATACCGACTTTTTGGCCTAAGGAGATGTGTCCCGAATACTGACAGTTTTGGAATAGGTGACCACCCACTTTGTTAGGGGCAGTCTAAACGATCGTTTATCAATGATTGGTTAGTTGGTTAATTCCTACACGGTTGCAGCCGCCACGAAGGCAGCTATGCCCAGATGCAGAGAATTGGCAAGCAGCCGACGCAACACCGGCAGTGTCAGCGTGCCCTACTTGAGCAGACCGGTCCTTTCCTTCATGCGGTGGAAGTGTGTTGTCGTTTGTCGTATACTCCGCGTTGTACGTCGCATGTAGCACGTGGGAGATTGGGTCTTGACAGAGAGCCGAAGTGAAAACGCAAGCAAGTTGGGAAAGATGGTCGCTACCACGTCCGCATTGTTCCTCCAAGGCTGCAGACCATGAACTATTTCAAGACCGGCATCACTCGCTCTACTGTGTACGAAACTTCCTTATCGGCACCCCCCTCCACTCCTGTTTCATTTCCCCGTCCGCCTCTGCAGCCAACTGGCTCTCATCACGGTTTTGCTCCTCGTACTCAGGCAACATGACTGCACGGTCCAGCGCATACGGCAAGCCCCTGTGACGACCGCGGATCATCATGGCACAAATGACCAACTTGCTAAAGATCGTGAACTCGCCGCTCAGACTCGCAGAATTGGTAGGGTATCCCAAGGACAGTCCTACGTTGCCATAACCGCTCACGACTTCGAACATGATGCTGAAGACAGAGAAGGCCGGATCGGCATTATCAGCGATTCGCCCTGCTTCGGCGGTTGTGATGCAGAAAGTTCCAAGGAAGATGTACCAGAGGTCGAAAGAGAGTTGATTCCGGATGTGTTTCATAAGGTAGCCCGACTGGTTCGCATCGTCGTCAAGCTCCAATTCATGACTGTACTGTGCTACGGGCTTGTCTTCGTATGCGTTGCTGGCACGGACACTGATTGCGATGGGATATACGGCAACGTACATCATGACCAGCAAGCTGAACTGGACTGCGGGGCTGACGTTGGCGAGATTGAATGTCGCCGTGCCCGTGTGTCGGGCGGAAGCTGATTGGAAGAGCGCAGCGACGAAGCGGTTGGCTGGCTCAAGATAGTTAACAGCTGGGTTGTTGAGATCAAGAACAATGATGAGAATGATGTCGATGGCATTGAGAGCGAAGAGAATGAAGCCGAGGATCCATGTTGGTGTGCTCGGGAAGAGTAGTGTGTAGCATCGACGAGGATGATTGAGTAGAAATGCGAGAGGTTGCTGGATCGACTTGTTCTTGGGGGTGATTTTGGCCATGACCCAGATTAGAAGTCGAAGGAGAATGGGGTAGCATGTGTTTCCGGCGTATGCGAGAAACGTCATGACAAGTAATGGCCAGGTCGCGTCGGCGAAATGGACCATGGAATCTGGGGTCAAGGTGAAGCCTAGATTGCTGATCATGGTTTGCGACGTGTATATCGCCCACCAAGCTCTGTCGTTCCCCTGCTCAGCGAGATATTCGTGATACTTTGCAGGGCTACGATAGATCCAAGGTAAGAGGCACAGCACACCAAGAAGATGTAGACCGACAAAGTAACCTGAGCACACGTTAGCGTGGTACGTCGGTATGTGAAGCATGCGCTCGATCGTACCAACGGCCACTTTGAGCATTAACTTTAAGCTGCGATACTCAATCCCACCCATTTTGTCTGGATCCTCGAGTTCGTATTTCGGTGGTCGCTGCTCTCCACTGATGTTCGCAGCCCTCGTATCTGCTAGACTGCGTGACTGTGTCTTTCGCATAGGCGCTGTCTGTCCAATCACGAACAGAGACGAGGCGATTCGATCGACAGACACAGTGGTCGTGGCATGGCTGATCCGCTCGTGCAAGGAGCTATCGCGACGGTTCCTGCGGCCAAGCACGGAGATACGGTCGTCGTCTACACGAGAATCAGTACAGCTCATGTCTTGCTGACTTGAGCTCTTACCATTACGCTCGAGGTCGACCTCCTCTAAAGGAGCACCTGAGAATCGGGGTTGTCAGTACCTGCTTGCAGCGCACGCGGTGGAAATAGGTACCCCTTTCTCGATCACGAGGACCAGGCACTCGCAGTGCTTTGCCTTTGCCTGCATTGCGAACCTCCTCCGCCCACTGAATGGTGGCAACGCGAGACTCTTTGGGATCCACCGATGCTTGCTCAGAAGTATCTTGCACGTGGTCGCTGGGGACTTGTCGACCATCATGACGCTTTTCAAGCGTGGGAGGGGCCGTGGCAGTCTCGGAGGATGGCAAGGTGTCCTGGGCATCAGAGGCTGAGGTAGAGAATCGCACTGTCCTCGAGTCAGCAGCGGTCGTTTGGAGTCTTCCGCTGACCAAGACACACCATGCTCGCGCATCGCCTTCTTGTACCATCGTAGCCTCGCGATGACGACGACGATGTTGACGAAGCCCACATTCGTGATGATGGGGAAGAAGTAGATGACGAGTTGTTGGTAAAGCTTGAGGGCTTTCACATCCACACTGGACAGGCATGAACGGCTGAGATGGCGGGACAGCGCTGGTTGATATATGACCTACGGGTTCAAGCCGGATTCGGTCGTACAGCTGGCGGCGAAGAAGAAGGCATCTGTCGTCGAGACATTCCCGTCGCCGACGAAGATGATGAAGGCGAGAAGAGTGCAGGTCAGGATGTAGGCATCTGTGTCGGCGGGTTAGAGGGTTGGCGGAGTAGCAGGGAAGTGCGGACTTAACAATGAAGAGACACGAAGTTCAGCGACGGCCGCCACATGGCTTGAGAGATGGTCGTCGGCGGATACACTTTCACCAAGCACGGTTCACAGAGTTGAGGGGAGAGATGTCCATCGGCGCAAGGAGTCGTCGTCCGGTGGGAAGAGTAGGCATGTCGAGGACGATAAATCGCGCACGCTAGACGCCATTGGGCCACGACGCAGGCAGAGGTGGGTGTGGGTGTGGGTGTGAGAGTGAAAGAAGCACGAGCAGATCCGAAGTCCTTCCCGAACCAAGTCAGGCGACACGTGATAGCGCGTCCAACTCGCGTCGTGCCATTTTGCCCCTCGCGTCCACTGACGCGTCTTTCTCCTCCATCCATCGCCACAACTCCATCGCCCGAGGTGACAGCAGCGTTGCCACGATGAGCGGCTTCGGTCATGTCCACCTTCGACGGCATCGTCGCCGAGTTCCCTGACATCCGCATCGACTACTTCCGCCAAAGCTCTTCGCAGCAGAATCGCCCTGCGCTTGCTTACTTCTTGAGCCATGTCCACTCCGACCATCTGCAGGGCCTCGAGACATGCAGATCTCCCTTCATTTGGTGCTCGCCTGCCACGCGCGAGATATTGCTCCGCCTCGAGAAATACCCCCATCGCATGAATTTCGCCAGAGGCATCCTTGAAAGCAGACAACAGACTTACGGGCACTTGAGGAAGATACTCAGGCCAATTCCCTGCGAAGCTCCGACTGAGATCGAACTTGTGCCCGGGCGCTCGATACGTGTCACTCTTCTCGACGCGAATCATTGTGTAGGTGCCTGCATGTTCCTGATCGAAGGCGATGGCAAGGCGATCCTTTACACCGGAGACATTCGCGCCGAAGTCTGGTGGGTCAATTCAATTACCCGCAACCCAGTGATGGTGCCATACGCTCGCCATGGGAGTGTGATGCCTCAGAAGCGACTTGATACGGTGTATCTCGATACAACATTTGCAAGCAAAAGCGATCGTTACCGCCACTTTCCGAGCAAAGCAGAGGGAATCAGCGAGCTACTGCAAAAGGTTGCGCAGTATCCGCCTGATACCGAGTTCTACATCGACGCGTGGACTTTCGGCTACGAAGAGGTCTGGCAAGCTCTTTCGCTCTTTCTCCGCAGCCAGATACACGTCGACGACTATCGTCATGCCCTTTACAGCTCTCTTCACAATGGCGCGGAGCCCAAGGCACCTGAGGCGTACAAACTCATTCGGACCAGAGTCGGCAACGAAGAGCGAGAGGCTTGCCTTTCTACTCGATATCAACGTCTCCACTCATGCGAACGTGGAACTGGGTGCACTGTCTTCAACAATGGTACTGATTCGTCTACAGCACCGTTGATGATTCTCGCTAATGTGAGCAGATTTTGTGCGCATCACGCCCATCGTCTCGAGACACAACGGCCAAGAAATGGCCGAGCTCGGCGCTGGTGGCGGACAGGGAGATCTGAACCAGCAACACGAGCTCGAGATCGATGATAGCAGCATCTTCCAGAAGCTTATGTCGCTCTGCGTGGAAAAGCTTCATTCGCAACCTGAGCTGTTGTCCGGCGTCGTGCAAATGCTCACAGCAACTACATCTGCACGCGGCTCGGCGATTCCGCTCCAGCTTGCAGATCTAGCAAATGGCGATGGGACTAAGGATGTCACGCAAGATGCTGAGGACGACCTGCTTGAGGATCTCGACGAGTTGCCACTTGAGAAAGTCGTGTCTGTGCTGGCGAAGCGCGTATCAGATTCGAAGAGCGATGCACCCACCAACCCACGTCGCCCTGCAGCACGGCCCGGCAGCCTGCCAAAGCAGATCACATTTCCGTACTCACGCCACGCATCCTATGGAGAGCTTTGTGTCTTCATGGACGCGCTTCTGCCAAAGGACATTTATCCTTGCACAGTGGACAAGAGCAGTTGGGGCCCAGAGCATTCCATGTCCTACCTCTTTGGTCATCTGTACAAGATCCCACCAGACTTTCGCCACGACAAAAAGATGATGCAAGATCTCAACGAGACTCACGGGGAGGATATTGCAAATATGCGCCAGACTCAGGCATCTGACGGAGAAACGCAAGACTCTGCCGTTCAGGACGACGAGCTCACTCAGATCTCCGAGACTCCAGTGAAGCCCAAGGTGCTATTGCCTATGACTGTGCATGAGACGAATAAGCGTGCTGCCGACACAGACAAGCCACAATATGCAAAGCGACCGAGAGGAACGCCAAAAGAACGTTCTCATTCGAAGCCAGTGGGAAGTCGTGTGACCCCTGGTTCCGCCACCAGCAGACCATCAGCCATGGTCTCAGGCATCGTCAAGAGCGAGGCTTGGCTCCGCACATCGATCTTGCCAAGCGAGAAGAATGCTCGGAGCCCCGGCATCATCGACGCCCCTCGCAGTTCGTCGGATGAATCCCCTCTGGCCAGGTCTATCCCGGAAACGGAGGCGTAAGTGGAACATAGACTTGCCGTCTGACTGATACTGACTGTCTTCGCAGCGTTATTTCTTCGAGGCCAAGCAACAATCATAGACGGCGTACCACTTCGACCGATCATATCCATGCCTCATCCACGCCAACGCCTGTACGCCATCAACCAAAGACTTCGCAACAATTCACGGAGCTTGTCGGGGATGATCTGAAGGAGGCGCTTCAACGAAATGCATACGATACTGTGCTTGGCGATGGCAAGGAGTGGTCGTTGGTCAGCGTAGATGGTCACACGGTCCAGGAAGAGGAGTTGTGATGCGCGCGCAGATGTTGCTCGCCTTCTGGACGCACTGTCAATCGTGTTGGGGTCGACCCAGAGTATATTCTGAGCATAACTACATTGCTTCGCTGGGATGTTTGCACAACCAATTATGAGGACTTTGCCTCATCGTCAAAGGCAACAAGTCTATCTAGTACCCTTCTCAAGGGAATGCAAGCGCCTTTCGACATGACCGTCAATCCATCTGCCTCATCATTACCATTACTTCTCTCCAGCACTTCTTTCACATTGGCGATTGTCGCTTGGAGCAGCTTTGGCCCGCTTGGTTGAAGGTATGTCCATCGAATGATATCTTCGAGACCTTTCAGTCCCGGTGTCGTGTCGGTGCCCGATAAAGCCGTGATCAAAAAGCCTTTTGCGCGCAAAAACACTCTTTCGCTGTACAGTGCGCTTGGTCTTTTGCTTGCCTCATCTCCCACAAGAGCTTCATAGCCGGCTTCGTTGTAGTACGGTTCGCGAACAAGGACCAGTCCCAGTAGTGAGACCATGACCTGTAGTAATGTGCTTCGTGTCGCACTCCAGCCTTCTCCTTTGCTTCCTTCCCAGGTTCCGAGAAGTGATAGGCAGATTTTCCCGTCTTCGTATAGATTTGGGTTGACGCGGCCTAGAGTTCCAATGGCCGAGATGGTGGGCCAGGAGTGGAAGTAGACCTGAGGTGGTTCGGTGGGGAATTCGGAGGATAGGTAGAAGTCGACCACGAAAGGAGCGTTGGCGTATGGGGTGTCCGTGGGGCCGATGATCAAGCAGCGGAGGAGGTCGAGACGTGATTCCCAGGAGCGGATGTAGACACCTGTGGGAAGGGCGGAGTTGTTACGGAGGATCTTGTGCTCCTTTTGTGTGCGTTTTGTGTGTACAGAACTCGAGGTGGTAGGCTCGTTGCGAAAGCGGTGGTCGAGTGGAACATCCCCATCGAGAATCGCATATGAGGGAGGAGCTTCGATGGTAGGCTCTGTAGGTGCTGCGTCCGTCTTCATCTTGTGCGCAGCCGTATCTATCGGCGATGCAGAGTGTGAGGTTGGCGGTGTGTGAAACTCCTGCGCATCCTCCATGGGCAGATCTTCAGTGTCCTCATCCGCCGACTCCCATTCGTCATTTTCAACCTCGTCCTCGTCCATTTCTTCACCATTCTCGTCCTCCCACCGGATAAGCATCTCCTCTTCCTCGCTTTCCGCGTCGCTGCCCCAATCGTCGTCGATCTCTTCGTCATCAGATACATCGTATTCATCGTCCATCTCGTCCTCGTTCCAGGCATCGACCGCATGGCTCCCATCTGATCTCACAGCAACTACGCATTGCTCCCGACGAAGAACGACATCCTGGACCTGTGAAGCAGCTCCAAGACGCACAACTAGAGAGCCGTCGAGCGGGGTATCGATAAGTTCGCCGAGCCAAGTTCTATCACTCGGTCGGCCGTGAAGTGTGTTGTAGGGAGGACAAGAAATCAAAATGATGTCTCCTCGGCGGTAGTTCAGGGCAGCAGGTGCCTCAATGTCGTACAGACTGATCTGCTGCTCCTCTGCGTGTGCGGAGGAAATGGCATGTGACACAAGTGCTGGCGGCATGCCTCCATCTGGGTCTTTCGCATAGTGAATGTGTGAGTTCTCCAGCCATCGGACCTTTGCCATGCGGTCCACTGCGTCGACAGACTGGACCACGCCGACTTGCTCAGGCTGCTCCACAAATGACATTCCAGGCACCGGCACAAGCTTGAGTGAGTGCGCGATCTCGCCCGGCCAGGCCGCATGCTCGTCGTCCAAGCTCGAATCGGGAAAAAGATTGATCGATCGCTCAGTAGTAATGGATAGATCCTGCCATTGGACTGAGACGGTTGTCTCAAATTTGGTGATATCGAACACATTCAAGTCATAGCCAAGATTCGCTTGTCTGTCGAGATGAGGGATCATATTGGGACGTTCGTTGCTGTTGTATTTTACGCGAGCGCCAGTCAGATCTCGGAAGCGCACGCGCAATCCTAGGCGAACATCGATCTCGGAGTTGGATTTAGTCGATGGAGACTCGGTGTGGCTGTTGGCTGGCCTTCGGTCGCGCTGGTAAACAGAAAATCCTGCCGACTCCAGTTCTTCCGATTCGAGCATAAACGGTGGTTCCTGTTCTTGGGTGCTGCCTATTCTTCGTTGCGCCCAGGCGACTTCTGCAGCCACGGTCCGCACAGCGACGACTGTGCCTACAGGAGGAGTGTTTGCATTGTAAGCACCATAGACCCACTTTCCAGTGCGAAGCTGGCCTTTCTTCGTCTTCGCAATGTCGCCAACACAGAAAGATCCGTAGTGCCCATCGGGATGCTCGCCAGCTTCGTCTTCAATTTCGACGACACAATTGTCGGTCAGCCGTACTTGGATATTGTTCGTGATTGCTTCCACTTTCCCAATCCAGTCTTTGTAGATCACCAAGCAGTCCTCCGTGACCGTCTCAGCCTCCACTAGTTCCGATGCGGGTACGTCTATGATGGGAGCAGGCCTGCCGTTTGGATATACACAATATTGCGAAGTGCTCGCATCGAAGTTTTCGTGAGGAAGTAGTCCCTTGAGCATCTTGGAATCCTGGTAAGTAACGTCACACATCGGCTGCAGAGTGCATTTAGTGAATGTGTTGAGAACCACTCCCGACTGTGCATCCTGTACGGAGCGCTTGACGATGTCGCCGATGAGCAGTGACCGATCAACCAACTTGAGCTTGGTCACCGGCAGTAACTCGAGGTTGGGCTTGTTCTGCCATCGAACCAGAACTGTGTCTTTGGGTGGCGCTCCAACGCTCATGAATTTTCGGAAAGTGGAATGCGAGATTTCGCTGTCGCGATCGATGGGCTCGTCCTCGTCCTTGCCTGGAAAAGGGGTGTGCGTGTCGATATCACTGTGCGTCCGCTCTACAACGGCCAGGGACTTTTCATCGGCTTTACTCGCCACGATATCGTCGGGATGAAGGATCAGAGTCATGGCTGCGATGGCGGCGTCGCGTGGGCCTTTCCGTGGTATTTACCGGAGTGAGAATTTGGCGATGGTCATTCTGCTGGACTGTCTTTCTTATACGGTTCCTTTCTGCAGTTTGGTGCTGTGAATGTGGCCTTGAATGCACATGTCGAAGACTCCAGAAAGTGTTGAAAGTCAAAGGAAAGTGGGTCTGAGGCCGACATTATCTTATCGCGGATCTCGCCGAGGATCGGCTCGTCTCCACTTTCACCAGTAGCCACGTTCAATGGTAACGGACAGCAGCAGCAGTCGCAGCAGGAAGGTCGAGATGGCCGATCCGCTGTACGAGCTGCTGGCTCCCTACTTCGACAACGAAACATCACCTCCGTCTCCCCGAGATCCGCAGACGAGCGGCTATCTGGCGCGACTCAGCACTCTTTCCCTCTCCGACCTCAACACCACCGAGCCGGCCTCCCTCCTTCACTCTGCCCAGTCGCATCTACGCAACTTGCAGGCCCTATCCAAACGATCCCACAAGGCAGTCATATCCTCCTCGACACACGTCAGCCATTTGACGTCTTTACTACCAGAATTTGGGTCCCAGGCACAGTCGCTGAGCAAGAGTGTCCCAGAACTGGAGGATGTGGCGGCAGAGTTTGCGCAAAAATACGACAGAAGTACGGAGAATGCAGTACTGGATCGGAGGAAACGGGCAGCCTTGCTGGCACGCAATGTGGACCGGGTGTCGGACGTGCTGGATCTGCCACATCTGTTGTCTTCCACTGTGACAGCGGCTCAGGCAGGCAGCTCCGGGAGCACTGCAGCAGGTGGAGCAGCCGCGACGTCTTATGCATCTGCACTGGATCTCCATGCTCATATCAGGAGGCTCAAAACGCTCTATCCGCAGTCACAGCTCGTGGCCGATATCTCGACTCAGTCCGAGGGCGAAATGCAAAATCTGGCCTCCATTCTCATCACGTCTCTTCAAAGCCCTTCCTTGAAACTAGCTGCGGCGATGCGGACTATCGGCTGGCTGCGACGCGTCGCGCCAGATCTCACAGAAGATGGGAAGTACGCAGCGAAGCACGGCATTCTGTCTACCAAGTCCTTGAGCTTGTCGCCCAATCCTGCCAGCACCGACGGGGCTTTGCCCTCACTGTTCTTGGTGTGCCGGTTACGCATGCTTCACGAGACTCTTAACGCGTTGGAACCGCTTCGTGATTTAGCCGACCAGGAGACAGCGCAGCGCAAGACACCAGCCACCATGAATGGTAAACCTTCGAAAGCTGCTGCAGAGGTCTCCGTTGGCACGCAAAGCGAACGTTATCTGAAGCGCTACATTGAGATCTTCCGAGAACAAAGTTTCAACATACTGAGCATGTACAAGAGCATATTCCCATCAAATCTCCCAGAATCGGAACACAGTGCGAGCGAGGAGACCAAACGAGCAGCAGATGGAAACCCGTTACTTCCTCTGCCGTCTCCTGTCTCCACTTTCTCTTTGCATCTTGTGGACTTGCTTGAGTCTACACTGCGCGAATACATGCCAAATCTCAACGACAAGTCTTCACGCGAGTCATTACTAACGCAAGTCCTGTATTGCGCCGGGAGTCTGGGACGACTCGGGGCAGATTTTGGCATGATGATCGCTTTGCTAGAGGAGGACTTGGCGACAGACGAGGAATCTGTGCAAAATAATGAGGCCGGGTCTGAAGAGGCCAAGAGCGAGCCAGAATGGGTGCAGGTGATGAAGAAGCACCGCATCCAGGCGAGCAGGCTGGAAGTGCTTGCGAGGGGAGTCGGCATCTCTCGCAAGGCTGGCGGAGATGTGATGTCGCCCACCGCGATCTCGCCCAGTGGCACTCCACCCTTGAAGACGTAAGATAATATGATAGGAGTGTTCAGACTGCGACTTGCACGCATGAAAGACGCCAGGGGCCGGAGTCGCCAGGCAATATTCATCATTGCTTCGCCGGGACACCGCAAGCGACACGTACGGCAAGACTCCATTGTATCGCATCGAAAAAACACAAATGCCGTCTCCACGGCGATCACCCCGGAAAGGCCCGCCTCAGACTACATTCACTGCGATTGCTACAGTCTCTGTATAAAGAGTATCGATTTGTGCTGTCAAGTCGCTACCTTTAAACAACTTCCCGCTCGAACGGTACAGCACGCACCAACGACACACAGACCTCTGCAACCATCATGGCCAGAGAATGGTGGATGGACGACAGGCAGTTCTGGAGGAACCACACTTCGCCACATCTTGAGCGACAAGGCAACTGGCAGGGTATGAATAGCGATGACTACAGTACCATGATCGACATGGGCCCACTGCACTCATACGGCACGTGGACGCAGTACGGATTGTTTCCTTGTGTTCAACCCAGCGCATTTTCGGCAGCCCAAGAGGCTCAAATGTTGCAACAAGCAGATGCAGGTGGAATGCTCATGGATTTCAGCGACTGCGGAGTGCCGATGGGAGGTTGGCGTGGTAGTGCTGGAGACATTGGAGTACCAGGTTGGCTTGGCTGGCAGTTCTATGACTGATAGCGCAGATAGTAATAGCCGTACGGGCAACTGAGAAGGGCCCAGTTGCCAACCTGTTCTCGATTGCCATTGTTCATGGAAAAGTCCCATGAAAACTCGGCATCCCCTGATCAAGCATGTGGCAAGTGCTCTGTACGCAGATTGACGACGGCACCATGGTACAGAGTGTGATTGCAACAAAGCTTTACTTGATGGCAAGTGCACACCACCGCGTCATGTGTCACATGCGCTCACTTGCTGTATACCATGTGAGTTTCCAATGGTCTTATGAGCAGGTGCCAACATTGCTGACATCCGCCTCCCAGTCCTCGAACCCATCCGCCTCTGAGCTTCAACACACTTCGCGAACATCAACTCACTGTCATCAGAACTGCCCACCATGAAGATGAAAGCTGGCACAGTGATCCACTTGTGAGTGCTACGGAAAGTGCATTCGAGGCGATGGTCTTGAAGCACCTTGGTGCTGACATCGCTAATCTTGGTCATCTTTTAGCTTCGGAGTGGCCCTTCTCTTCATCGCCTCCCTCCTCCTCCTCTTCGTCGCCATCTCCGCACCAATCATCAACCACCTCGGGCTCTTGCACGTCGACCTCGGCTTCATGGGAGACAAGAACCAACCCTATCGCTTCGTTTTCGGCACATTTGGCTGGTGCTGTCTTCATTGCGGCGTACACGGAGTCGATCAATGCAGCGGACGCCACATCGGCTATGAACCAAGCCGCCAATTGGCCACGAATCAGCAGATGCCCTATGAGGACATCAGCAGCGGAACATCTGATGCGCTGACCCGAGTCATGGTTCTCCATCCCATCGCTTGCGGTGTTTCCTTTATTGCGTTCCTCCTCAGTATTGGCGGCGGCGTCATCGGATCTCTCGCTGGCGCTCTCGCTGCGGCTTTCGCTTGGATGCTGGTTCTCATCGTCATGGCGACGGATTTTACAACTTTTGGGATTGTGAAGCATCACGTCAATGAAAATGGGTTCAATCTCGTGACTGCGTCGTTTGGTGATGCGATTTGGTTGCTTGTTGCGAGTTTTATCCTATTGTTCATGGGTATGGGGATCGTGCTGTTCACTTGTTGTGTTTCGAGGAGGGAGAAGAAGAGGAAGGAGAGGAGGGACAAGGAGATTGCGAGTACGGAGCCTGTCGGGACGAATGCTGGAAGGAAGAAGAGGTTTGTTTTCTTTTGATGTCTCTGATCTCCTGTCATTCCAAGGGACGGACAAGTGGTGATCGAGATACATTGAGCGATTGATTTGGGCCGACTGACAAAATGCAACAACACTTTGCGATGCAGATGAAATGAACGTTGGAAGACAATGACATAGACAACGACCGTGCTTGAATGAAGCGGGCTTGGCTTAGGTCAAGGATTGAAACGAACCCGAAATGATGGACCTTCGCAGACTCGTTGTGAAAATTTCACGTTACACTCAAGTTCTACAACGACTTCGTAAAGCCTCAGCAGCTATTCAGAGCTTTTCCGCGCACAGCCACGGACGTCGGATTAGAGAGACGGGACCGTCCGCAACCTTCGTTTCGGTCTTTTTGGCCTTGCACAGGTGTACGGAAAAGCTTTACACTATCGAGGAAACATGGAGCCAGATCACAGGATGGAGGCTGACAGTGCAGTATGTCTTACTCCTGGAGCTCTATTCGAAAGTCATCTTGTTTTCGACCTTGCCGATACCGCTGATCTCAACTTCGACCACGTCTCCATGCTTCAAAAAGTTGGGGGGCTTCTGGAACAGACCAACTCCTCCAGGCGTACCAGTCATGATCAGAGAGCCAGCCTGAATTGTTTGTCCTTGACTGAGAAAACTCACAAGCGCCCTGACGCCGAACACAAGATCACCTGTGTTGGAGCTTTGCCTTGTTTCGCCGTTCACTCTCGTCTCTAGCTTGAGGTTATCAGCGGCTCCCAAAACTTCTGTGGAAACAATGCAAGGTCCCATCGGTGCGTATTTGTCATAAGACTTGCTGTATGACCACTGGGGAACAGGTCCGGCTTTCTCTGGCTCTCGCTGCCAGTCTCTGGCGGAGACATCGTTTGACGACAGGTATCCGGCAACATAGGAAAGAGCGTCGGCTTTGGACACGTTCTTCGCATCACGCCCGATGAGAATGGTGAGCTCTCCTTCATAATCGCATTGCGCTTGACCTCGTGGAGGAATCGGAATGTCTTCGTTGGGCCCGGCAAGTGTTGTGGAAGGCTTGCAAAATATCGATGGATTTTCTGGCAGCGAACGACCTGTCTCCAGAATGTGCGTCCTGTAGTTGAGGCCGACGCATCGAATGAATGGCACTTCCTGAACACTCAATGGGCAAAGGACTTCTGCAACCTTCTCAGTGTCTGAGGTGACTGACGCTGAAAGTGCCGTATCGCCAGTGCAGATGTTCACTTTAAGACTGCCATCTCTTGCAAACTGTAGGACATCGCTGGTTCCTGTTGGAAGGATAGGTTCGCCGTACTTGACTTGTCCATCTGTGGACCTGTATCGAATCAAACGCTTCCAGTTCACCAGGCTTGGCATTTTGTTTGTGGTAGTGTGGAGGTTGTGCTGTGGCAATGGACGCGGCTCCAGTGGTGTACCCTTTGAATTGTCCAATTCTCTGCTTGTGGCAATGGAGCTGACCCTTCTCCAAACAGATCTGACATACGACCAGTAAGGTTCAGACGACGTACGTTTATTGGACCTGTCAGAGTGGCTCCGTGGCACAGCGGGTAAAGTGGCAAGCTGAACAAAGCACGCCCACGGAACATCGCGCCCTTGACCAAAACCGCCAAGGCACGGCAGCAGCATACTCTTCGGGATTGAATAGCTAAGTAAGCGCGATTGATCAGAGTGAGTATCTCGGAGCCTTCCACTGATCACAAGTTTCCTTGGCAATGTCGCGGTCAACAGGTAGATTCGAAGACCACACTGCCACTTCACAGTCACTAATTCGTTGCAGAAGTTGAGAACGTAGCAGTCCTCATCGTCGGCGCTGGACCATCTGGTGCGACCACTGCCTTGTTACTGGCCCGCTATGGCGTCAAATCGTTGGTTATCTCTCGACATGTCGGGACGGCAAACACTCCACGTGCTCACATCTTCAATCAACGAGCCATGGAGGTTCTACGTGATGCTGGGCTCGAGGAAACGCTCCGATCTGTAGCGACTCCTGCGAACTACATGATGCATACAACCTGGTCTCACAGTCTTGCAGGAGAGGAGTATGGCAGAATGTACGCCTGGGGAAACCGGCCGGATCGCAAGGGCGAGTACGAGGCGGCCAGTCCTTGTGTCATGTCAGATTTACCCCAGAGTGTTCTGGAGCCGATTCTTGTGGAGAGTGCCACCCAAGCTGGAGCTGAGTTCCGCTTCTCGACGGAGTTCGTTGGGCAGGTGGAAACAGATGATGGAGTGGAAACTACCGTCAAAGAACGTCAATCAGGTCGTGAATATCGAATCCGTTCTCACTATCTGATCGGTGCTGATGGCGCTCGAAGTGCCGTTTTGGAAAGTCTAAGTATACCCGTCGATGGCCGGAGTTTGAACAATGCTTTCAATGTTCACATCAAAGCTAACCTCAACAAGTACCTCACCCACAGGCCCGGGACACTAAATTGGATTCTGAACCCAGATGCGCCCGAATGGTCGGCTGTGGGCAACTTTCGAGTAGTCCATCCTTTTGATGAATTCGTTGTGTCGATGCATCCAGCTGCCAAAGATGGTCAGACTTTCGAACCTACCGAAGATGATATTCTGCAGCGACTGCACCAGATGATCGGAGACTCTAACTCAAATGATCAAGTCGCTATCAAGATCCTTTCCAGCTTTCGATGGACAATCAACGATCAAGTGGCCCGTACGTGGCAGAAGGGAAACGTTATCTGCATTGGAGATGCTGTGCACCGCCATCCCCCGATCAATGGCCTGGGAAGCAATACCTGCATCAGTGATGCCATGAATATCTCGTGGAAACTGGCATATGTACTTCATGGTAGAGCTCATGCTCGAATTCTCGACTCCATAACTATCGAACGGAAGCCTGTTGGCGACGGGGTTGTTCGTCGAGCGAACGCAGGAATGGAAGATCACCGTCGCCTTTGGGATCTCATCGGTTTGTCAGCTGAGGCTCGTGAGCAGGCCACGAAATTGATGGCGCAACCAACCCCGGAGGGCAAGAGACTTCGTCGACGGTTCCTGGAAGCACTCGAGCAGACAGACAACGAGCTGAATGCACTTGGGATTCAGATGAATCAAAGCTATACTGGTTCGCCACTGATCACAGTCGAGAGCGGGGACGCATCGCAACCCGACCTGGCTTCGATCAATCTTCTGAAGCAACAAGTGATATCTACTTTCCCTGGGCATCATCTACCACATGTGTGGATCGCCAAAGACAGTCAGTCGAAAAGAATCTCCACTCTCGATGTGTGCGGACGTGGTGCATTTACTCTACTTACTGGCATCGGAGGCGATCCCTGGAGAAAATGGGCAGCTGACTTAGAAGCATCGCGAGAAGGGCTCATCGTCAACGTGGTGTCCATTGGCTGGCGACAGGACTACAAAGACTTATATGGCGACTGGTCACGAGTGCGAGGGGTGGAAGACGAGGGTGCTGTGCTAGTAAGACCTGATCACTTCGTCGCTTGGCGATGTCAGTCTGCTTCTCGAGCTGGCTCGGCGACGCTGATGGAGGTGTTTGACGCTATACTTCCATGCCCATAGATGTATAAGAAAGCAATGCTCTAAGATTAACTTCGTATCACTTGTCTACGACAGCACATGAACTATTCATCGCAAGATCAGAATTCCTCGGGCACAGGAGGTCCCCACATTGATAGTGTAGTCGGCCCACTCTGCTCATGTGCTACTGGTGTATCCTTGTTGACCAAATCTCCATCAGCATAGTGCTCCAACATGAACCCGCTGGTATCAAACCAGTAGTCGAACACCTAGACACGAATCAGCTAACGCTCCAAGGATGTGTCAAATCATCCCATCAGACGTACTTGACTTCCAAGCTTATGCCTTCCAACGCCCCAGCAGAGCTTGTAGCCCTTTGACGTAAGATAGTCGTGGCCTAACTGCTGAATGTCGATATCGTGTACCTCGAATGCTGAGTGAGAGACAGTTGGCTTCTGGCCCGGCTTCGCAGGCTTGAAATAGAAGGCATGGTGGTCCGTATACTCCTCGTCACGATCGATATGGAAGAATGTAGTTACTGGTTCCTCACCGCGAAAGACGATGTCAGAAGGCGCCAATGCTAGATGCGTGGTGTACCAGTCGAACATGATCTGATAGGTCACTGGCGCAGTATAAGTGACGCCGTAGTGGCCCCATTTGTGTACCTGCGATTCTCAATCAGCGTACCGGTCCCGACATACGTCGTGAATTACCTACTGGTGCGGGTCCTGGCTTGAAGCGGTGAAACCTGCCTTTCCGTGGCTTCTCGTCTTCGAAATTGATCACAAGCTTCTGCAGCTTCATCTCCTCTGTCGGTTTCTGATCCTGACCATGCACAAGGTGCACTGGAATGCCGCTCGGATCATGCAAAGTCAACATTTCCCCTCCTCCTGGCATGGCACTCATTGACTGGATTTCGGACGCGCCTGGTATACGAGAAGCTTTCTCGAGATCATCTCGGCTTTCGACCAGATATGCAGCACCACAGAACTTCGACTCGCCGGGTGTGCTTGATTTTCTGGCGAGATAGAGGAACGGATCCGGTCCATAGCCGGCGAAATATATTTCGTCACCGCCCTCGCTGCGTTGGACGACGTGAAGGCCAAAGTCCAGGAGGAATTGTTCAGCTTTGGCAAGATCTACATGCTCGTAGATGACGAAGGAAGTCTTGACCAGAGCCACTCGTGGGTCGTCCTTTGGAATGGGCATGGCTACTTCTTCGATTTGTGGCTGCTTTGATGCCTTGCTGCTTTGGTTCATTTGTATACATCGACTTAGTCCAGCTGCGGCGCACGTAATCTCACCTGGAAATACTTCCACTCCAACACTGCAACATTCGCGGCTTGAGCATCAGTCAGCAGTGCAGACAAGCAGACTGCAGCCACTACTGGGCCGAAAGAGATCGGCGTAGAGAGCTGGGAACAGCTTCTTGCAGCTTGCCACTTTATCCGCGCGTCGGCTGATCTCACTCAGTTGTCCGCTTCCGCGGTAAGCACGGCATCCCTCATATCACAGACTATGCAGTCCGAGTGAGTGAAGCACGGATATGTTCTAGTTTGCAAGCTGTTGCAGAAGATCACACAGCATGCCTTCGAAGCATAGCACAAGTGTTGTTGGTGTTCAGAACAGGCCGGTAGAGCGCATCGTTGGCTATGTGCTGATATCATTCGCGCTGTACGCAATCTGGAAGGTACCTGACGTACTGGTCATCATTTCCATGATTTCAATAGCTAAAGCTCGACAGATTGTCTACGCATATGTCTTTTCTCCTGTTAGGCATATCCCAGGACCCTTCTGGTCGCGGGTGACCAGTATACCATACCGCTTGGCCACCTTCAAAACTCGACGCAGCGCATATGCACATGATCTGGTCCAGAAATATGGAAGCATCGTGGTCATTGCTCCTGATCAAGTTCATACTAGCGATGAAATCGCGATGAAAACCATCTACGATCGCAGTTCAATCAAGACAAGCTTCTACTCCAACATGGGTTCCTGGAAGGGCGTCGTTACTACTCTTGGTAAACTGGACTATGCTTCAGCAGGACCGACGAGGACCAACTTGATCCAATGCTTCCAGAACCGTAACCTTGAAACACTTGCCGACAACATCGATAAGCACGTCTTCCAGTTCGTCGAAGTGATGAAGACCACAGCTGAGGCCGGAGAGAATGTCGATGGCGTCGTCTGGTTCAGGCTGCTTGCATTGGATATTGTCACAGATGTACTATGGGGAGAAGATACTGATCTCTTGGGTCACGCTGGAAGCGACACGCCAGAGCTTTTGAAACGCTTCTTCGCATTCAGTCAATACAACGCCCTCAAAAGCTTTATACCGGTTGTCGAGCTCTTGGCCAAATATGTTGGACCGCCCAAGTTGTCAAAACTTCGACGAGAATGCCGCGATATGGATGTCACAGCTCGGCAAGCATTGACGCGATGGCATGAGAAGACATCAAAGACACACGACCGCGACGTCCTATCGATGTTGCTCAACTCGCAAACTTTGGACGATCCAGAGAATCGCATCAAACCTGAAGACCTCCCGGCGTACATGGTGGAGATGATGGCAGCAGGATCTTCGACCACCTCCCATACAGCAGCATTTGCGTGCTGGGCTCTTGCAAATCATCCCGAGGCGCAAGAAAAACTGCGCAAAGAGCTGTTCAAAACGCTGCCAGATGCTACGCACTTTGACATGAAAGACTCTCAGAAGTGCGAATATCTTGATGCTGTGATCCATGAGACTATGCGACTGTGGCCAATGATCCCAGGACCACTCGAGCGGTATCTTGGCAAGGCAATTACCGTTGATGGTTTGACAGTGCCACCAGGCGTAGTTGCATCAACATCCGCACTTACTTCTGGGCGAAACGCTGAAGTCTTTCCAGAGCCCGAGAAGTGGCTGCCCGAGCGATGGCTCAACGCGACAGACAGGATGAAATTGAATTGGACGCCGTTTGGATATGGCTCTCGAATCTGTCCTGGCAGCAACCTGGCAATGACCGAACTGAAATATATGCTTAGTGCAACGTTCCGTAACATGCGGGCGGTGCAGCCGGTTGGAGTGAAATGGGAACCGATCGAACTCGCTGATGTCTTTGCTGCTGGCACGAAGACTGGGCACTGCTGGTTGCGTTTCGAAGTAGATGCGGAGCAACCGTGAGCTATTAAATGCACGGCAGACCATGTAGCGTAGCTTGAAAATACGCACCTTCATTGTTCCTGTGTATTTAAAGCAAACGGGTTGTCTGCTAGTGCTCTGACCATTTTTGCGAACGAGGACTGCTGTCCCCAAGACGATGTTATCTTAGGGTACAGGTCCTCGAATTGATTCATTAGCACCTCAGTATTGTCCCGGCGCAAGAGGAAATCACCCGCTGAGCCGTCATTCTGGGCGCAGAAGCTCTGATCTTTCTGAGCCTCAGTACCAGCAACAAGCCACACAAGTGCTGCAGTGTGATGGAGAGCGATTAATGCTAAGATGTTGTACTTTGCCTGAGTTTTTTCTGATCTCGAAGTTTCAGTGTCGAGCATCTGCCATATTATTCGAGCATGATGTATCGCTTCGCGGGCCTCGGGCGTAAAGGTCCAGGCGGTGATGTCTTCTGCCACAGCTGTATCGCTCGCACTAGGTTCATGCAACCGATATGCAGTCTGTTGTATGGAATTCAGAGGCGCACAGAGCCGAAGAAAGCTGAGCTCGTAGAGGATTAGTGCACTCAGATATATAGAACGATTCTCGGGCAAGGAATGCGACAATTGGCAGTGCGTCAAAGCGGCCTTCCACTTGTCCAACGCTTTAATCACGCGAAGATAGTCATTTTGCAGGCTACGCATTCGTCTTCCAGTGCAGTCCAGATGGTCCGGCGCTGACTTCAGACCCGATTCAGCTGCTGTTAAAACTGGCCGAGCTGTCTGTATCAATCGTTTGAATATGTCAGGATCATGGGAGAATCGCCACACTTCGTGTTGGAGTCCGAAGAGAAGCAATTCTACGTCGACGGGCTTGAGAGCTGGTAGAACCTCGTCTTCGTCAAGTGCAATCCGCACGAGGTCCGAGAAGAGCATCTCGGTACGCTGCTCCGCTACAGATTCACTGCCAGAGATGGCATGGAATACCTCCCGCGCGTGGTTCGGACTTGGCAACGGCAGATTGATTTCCTCGTACGAAATGAGTGGTTTCTTGTTGAACAAAACGCTCATGAAAGTTTCTGCTCGCATTATGCCAAAGGCTAGCATCTTGCGACCTTGCAGCATGGAGTTATCGATGGGGCGAAAGACATCATGCTGATGACGATGGAAGAGAGTGGCAGGCTTCAAAGCGAACAATCGCATCCGCTGAGCGTGATCACTAAGCGTGGCACCCAGTCGCTGCGCCGCAGAGAAGGCTCCGTCCTGCTCAAAGTACAAAGCTGCGACTTGAGTCAGAAGCATTGATCTACCTATGTCCAAGGCTTCAGACTCGGTGGTCTGATCTCGTAAGCGCTCCGAACGTAGCAGCACTTCCCGAATCATTCCATGTAGAATGGAACCATATCTTGCCGCGGCGTTGGTGCCAGAGTACAGTGCACCAATCGAAGTCAAAGTCAAGTAGAGCAGGGGGTGAAGGACATCCCGGCTAGTGTCCCTGCTAGGCACAAACGGCCACAAGGGATGAAAGTGATCGAAGTACTGTTCTACTAAGCCATCTAAGAGATGAGGCTTCGGTGATCTGGGAGACTGACCTCCACGAGTAGAGATGAAGCTCGTCAGGCGTTTTGAAAAGTCTTCCCACTTGGCAGACATCGCAGTGAAATGAGCCGTTGTGGCATCTTCGACCATTGTACCCAATACGGTACGCAACGAAGGAGTTGAGACTGCAGAGTTTCGAAGCGATACGCCATCGCCGGGCAGAAGGCTACCCAACGAGTCGGCGGCCTGAGGCAATGGCGCTTCGTGAATGGAGACAGGCAAAGCGTGCGAATCATTCTCCTGGAAATCGTGGTTCGTCTGCTCAGGTTCAAGAGCCAAGTCTGGGAGTGGATATACGAGATCGTCCTGCGCGAAGCCTCGCTGCAAGTAGAAGTCTTCATGTGTCCACTGCCAGCCCGTTGAGAAGCCCCAGAAGGCAGGATCCGTGTGGTCCACCATGTTGTCGCTTGGCAACGACATCAAAGTTTGAGCGACATCAACGTCTCGCATTGCATCTACGTCCGATGCATCAGTGATCGAGAGGGCCGAGTCACCTGTTGGAATCCACGGCTCATCGCTTGTCGTTGTTGTGGACGCAACGGTGTCCAATATAGAAGAGTCTACTGTTTCCCGCTGACTAACGCGTTTGGGAGCAGAATGGTAGACACAGTCGCGAGCAGCCTTGGAGCAAGCCGAGCACGGCTGCCCGCCATCGCAGCGAACGCGCCGTCTCTGACATGCCTCGCACGCCGTGTGACATCTTCTACGCTCAGTTTGCGGACGCGACGATGATGGCGAAGCGTTCAATCTATCCTCATGAATTCGAAGATGCCTTGAGAGCAGATCGCTCCTCCGGAAGGTGATGTTGCATTCCGAGCATCGGTGTCCAGCTGAGATGCTGTGGTTCCGCTGGTGCCGCATCAGAGTGCCCTTGGAGGAGTAAACTTTGCCACATTGTCCGCAGGTGTGCATGGTGATGCAAGAAGCTTCGTGGAGTGAGGGCGCTTCTGGCCCGCGCATATATTGAGAGCTGCTGCTCAGAGTGCGGGTTGATCGTCGCCTTGGGGCGCCCAAAACATGGAGGAGAGTGCGGAGAAGAGGTGGAGAAGGTTTGGCCACACTATCCAGGGTCCTCCCAGGGTCGGGAAAGCCACTTTATCCGTACAGTGGCTCGTAACGCTGGACGTATTATGGTGTAGGCAAGATCCAGCAGCATGCCATGTAGCAAGCTCAATCCTGGTTAGCACAGCAAATCGTTCACGATGGGCAAAAGTGCACTGATTACGGGCGCCAATGGCATCAGCGGAGGAGCCATACTGGAATACCTGGTCAAGAATACAACTGCCGATGAATGGACTTCGATCATAGCCACGTCGAGAAGTCCGTTCAAAACGACCGTTGAAGACCCGAGGATCAAGTTCGTGCCTTTGGACTTTTCGAAGAGCTCAGATGCTTTGGCGACTGAGATGAAGGATGCGTGCGCGCATGTCACACACGCGTATTTCTGCTCCTATGTCCACAAGGACGATTTCTCAGAGCTCAACAGCGCCAACGAGGCTTTGTTTGAGAATTTCGTCGACGCTCTTGAGCAGGTAGCGCCCAAGCTCGAGAATATCACCCTCCAGACCGGTGGCAAACACTACTATGTGCATTTGATGCCAGTGCCCTCGCCGGCGCGAGAGGAAGAGCCTCGTCTTGAGGGACCGATTCCGAATTTCTACTTTCCTCAGGAGGACAAATTGTTCGCCGCTCAGAAAGGGAAGAACTGGTCGTGGTACGTGATCGTGATCGAATTCTGCCGCGAATGTGCGCTCCAGCTTCTCGATCGTCGAGTGGTCGTCGAAATGGAAGCGTAGCGGCACCTTGAGGTGGAGATCAGACTGTGAGGAGCAGCTGCTAATCGTGTCAGGAATGTCATTCGACCCGAAGCAATCATTGGCGCCACATCGAAACCAAATGGCATGAACGAAGCGCTGACTATTGCCATGTATTTCTTGACGTGCCGGGAGCTGGGCACTGAAGCGCCAATGCCAACAAATCAGCGTTACTGGGTGCGTATCCATGTCATGACTTTGGCATTTTGCAGCAGTAACTGACATCGACTTCGTTCTTGCAGGAGGGCACAGACGATCTGTCGTACGCGCCGCTGATCGCTGACCTGACCATTTACGCATCCACTCACGCGAACTGCGCGAATCAAGCCTTCAACGTCACGAATGGGGACTACTTCTCATGGAAGTACTTGTGGCCAAGGCTTGCGGAGTACTTCAATGCTCAAGCGACACCGGATCAGAAGTTTTCGAAGCCGTACCCGAAGGAAGGCGATCTTCAGCTCGAGCTGAGCCTGCTTGAATGGTCCCAAGACAAGCGACAAGTGTGGGAGAAGCTCTGCGAGAAGCAGAATCTTCCATCGGCCAAGAGCACGTTCGACTTCGGCACCTGGGTGAGTGTAGTCGTTGAGAGACGTCTTCGCCTTGCGAAAATTCCGTCGCGTCCATCCTCGTCCTTCCACTGACTCTCCCTGATAGGCCTTCCAAGACTGGGTGTTCCAAAGGACGTGGAGCGCCACGTTAAGCATGAGCAAAGCACGCCAGTTCGGCTGGAATGGCTACATTGACTCGTATCAAGCCTTCATTGAGACTTTTGAGACCTTCAAGAGGAATGGTCTCATACCGGCGTAGGTAGAAGAAGGATGGCGGCTGCTCTTTTGTGAATGTATAGACGTGTCTTCCTCCTCGTGCGCATAGGGTCCCAGGTTCAACGTAGAAGAGAATGTTTAGTGCGTGTCGTACGCACAGCTTCTGCCTCTGCTCCGTCTCTTGTTACTCTCGCTGCTTCGTCTCGAAGTACTCCGGGGTCTGCCGCGGTATGTTGGCATCGTGTCGTCGCTGTAGGTAGATACTGTCTCGCATCGCGTTGGCCGGGCGCGTCGTCGCATCGTCGCGTCGTTACGTCGTCGCAAAAATGTGTCGGTGGGCATTAGCTTTGCCTCTGCTAGCAATCGTATTCGGACCGTGTCTTTGTCGCTACGTGTCGGTTCCGTACAGATAGTTGCGGCCGGCAAGGTTCGCTCGTCGCGTCGTAGACGACGAATCGTAACGCGTTAATCTGTTCTCGCGTTCTTATATTATTTTAAAACTAGTAGTAGCTAGCAAATATTAATTAAATATAAGCTTAGTCTACTATAAAACTTAGTATTTCTATTTACTAATAAATAAAATCTATTAGAAAGTATAGTCTAGCTAGATATTCTAATAGATATTTTAGAGATTAGAATTAGATAATATAGGTTATATAATATTAGATTATATAGATAGATAGATAATTCTTATATACTAGTCTACTTCTTTTAACTAGAATAAGTAGT